AAGCTTAGGTGAGCAGCTTCAGAGAGGAGGGAAGGCGTGTTTGTTGGATTGGAATGCACGTTATAGAATTGCTCTGGGAGCTGCAGAGGGTTTGTGTTACCTTCATCATGATTGTAGACCTCAGATAATTCACCGTGATATTAAATCGAATAATATTCTTCTTGATGAGATGCTACAAGCTCATGTGGGAGACTTTGGCTTGGCTAAGTTGATTGATCTCTCTTATTCGAAGTCTATGTCAGCTGTTGCTGGCTCTTATGGATACATTGCTCCAGGTGAGTCTAATATTAAAGGTTTCTTTCTCCACACACAAGCTTATGTAGACCTGCTGTTTTGAACCAAACCAAAATTTTGGTTAGTTCGGTTATGAGTTCGATTCAATTTAGCAAGTTTATAAAAAATCTTTGGTTTTCTATTTGGTTCGGTACAGTTTTTAGCTCGGTTTTCTATATAATTAACCAAGTTTCGAACCAAACCAACTGTTAACCAAAAATTTTAAAACTTTGGTTTCTTTCTCCCACACACACAAGCTAGGCCTGCGGTTTTGAACCAAACTCCTCGCCGAACCATACCATTTTTTTTTGGTTAGTTCGGTTTGAGTTCAGTAGAATTTGGCAGATTTATATAAAAAACTTTGATTTCAATTCGGTTTAGTATGTTTTCAGTTCGGTTTTCCAAAAAAAAAAAAAAATTAAACAAGTTGTGAACCAAAATTTACCTGAATTTAACCAAATTTTTAACTGAAATAAAATTGAAACTAAAATTTAGTTAGTTTCAGTAAGAAAATTAAAGAGCAAACTACTGAATCGAACCGAACCGAAGTTTTTCGATTCAATTCGGCTAGCTTTTGGATGAACAGAGCTATCCGAACCCGCATGCCTAAGCTTATGCAAAATTAGTCCGTTTTTCCTAGACAACTTATTTATAAGTCGTCCAGATTTTTTTTTTTTAACATACAAAGCTGGAAGACTTAGAAGTAAGTCGTCCAGCTCATCCAGAAGACTTACAAGTAAGTCTTTTACGCGAACAGATCTGGAAAAAATTTCAATTTCATACCTTAAACTAAGTGAGATGACTTTCTTAGCACACAAAGTCTTCTCCAACCACCCAGAATATCAAATGAAAGTAACCCACCAAGAATTGTATGCTTAAATGGCTCTATCAACCATAAAAAAATTTGAATCAAAACTTGGGTTTTTTGTATGAATATGGAGACAAAGTGAAAGAGATGTTGTTTTTAGTTCATAACAATTGAGAAAGAGAGAGTGTAAATCGATTTTTGGTGCATTAAGAACTTCAAATTGGTTGTTCATGGTAGTTAGGGTATTGATGGCAATGTCAATCTTGTAAATACTTGAAGATGATGAGGTTGAGAGAGTAAAAAAATAATTTTCAAAAAAAAAGAAAAGAAAAAAGTGTAATGGCATTTTCGTAAATAATGTGAACAGATGAGGTGAATAAGACAAACGAAAAATCAAAAAACAAGAAATGTTAGTTTTGTGTTTGACTTTGAGTTTTGAGTCAAATTTGCAAAAATCCCTTATAAAAATCTTAATATCTTTCTTTCTTTTTATTTTATGTTGAATATCTCATGCATGGTCGTGCCTGAGTACAAACCAATCAAGCATATGCTTGGGACCTTGAAAGATTATATGAATAGTAGAAGTCAATTTGTAACAAAACTAATAAAGTAGCTGTGTTAGTTACGTATTTATAAGATATAAACAAGGTGAGCAGTCCGATTCCTTCCCATAATATTTTTAATCCTCATAGTTTTGGGAGGCCAAATAAATAATTGGGCTTCAGGGCCTAAAATTCTCAGGCACCCTGATCTCATGTAAGTATTTTCTACATAGATTTATTGATGTATAAACATTACTGGACTAAGCTGCTATAAATCGATTATACTTTTTATTTGATTTGCCAAATGGCAATTTAGCAGTTTACTCATAAATCATAATGCTCAGATGGTAAGTTTATCAATTATCATGGTAAAGGTATCTGCTGATATCGTGTAAAGCTACAGTCTATCCAGCACTATATGTATTGGTGAGACGAGAGATGGGCAAAAGTGTCAAAGAACAACTCCTTAGTGGCTATTTAACAGACAACAAGACGGGCGCGCGAAAAAGACAGCAACCACACTTCCACTTGCTTTAACGGTCAACGATAAACATCATGAGCTCACAGACTCCAACACTTCTCTCTCTCACCCGTCACCAAGAAAAAATTAAAAGCAAAAAACACATCACGCTTATTAAAGAGATCATTTTCCTGAAAAAATCATCCTTTTTCACGTGTCGTCTTCATCAAATCCTCACCGTCCCAACTAAAACAAGATATCCTCTGTTTGACGACAACCCAGAGAAACACTAAATAAGAGATTTTTTTCTTTTTCTGATTCAATGGATCTGTACAAACCTAGCTCTAGCTCACCACCACGTGATTTGAAACCACTTTCTTCTTCTGAAAATTATCGTAACCAAACCGGAGAAAAGAGAAAGGTTTCGCCGACAAAGAGAGTTATAAATAAAACAGAGTTGACTTTTTTTTTTTACAGACAGAGAAACAGAGACTTTTTTACAAGATTGTCTTTTCTTGATCAATCAAGATCAGTCTTTTCTTTTCTTTTTTATTTACCCAATTCCATAAATTTCATTTCTTCATTCTTTTTGTTTCTTCAAGATTTATCCAGATGCGTAGAAGCTAAGGCATTCTCACAAACCTAAAAAAAAATGAGTGGTATCATCTGTTTCTTGATTCTCTCTTCTTTCTCCTTCATTTTAGTGACATCACTAAACGAAGAAGGCCACGCTCTCCTTGAGTTTAGAGCATCTCTCAACGACTCCAACGGCTATCTTATAAACTGGAGTCTTTCAGATTCAAACCCTTGCAACTGGACAGGAGTCGAATGTAACCGTCTCGAAACTGTGACTTCTCTTGATCTCAGTGAGATGAATCTTTCAGGTACACTGTCTCCTCTCATATGCAAGCTTCATGGTTTAAGTTACTTAAACGTCTCCATCAACTTCATCTCTGGTCCAATCCCTAGAGAGTTCTCTCTCTGTAGATCCCTAGAGGTTCTTGATCTCTGCACAAATAGGTTACATGGAGTGATTCCTATTCAGCTCACCATGATCAGTACTCTTCAGAAGCTGTCTCTGTGCGAGAACTATCTCTTCGGTTCGATCCCTAGGTTTATCGGCAGCTTGAGTTCGTTACAAGAGCTTGAGATCTACAGCAACAACCTCACCGGTGTTATCCCTTCTTCTATAGGGAAGTTAAGACAGCTCAGAGTGATTAGGGCAGGAAGGAACGCCTTGTCCGGTGTGATACCTTCTGAAATCAGCGGTTGCGTGAGCTTGAAGGTACTTGGTTTAGCAGAGAATCTTCTCGAGGGTTCTCTTCCTAAGCAGCTTGAGAGGCTTCTCAATCTCACTGACTTGATACTCTGGCAAAACCGTTTGTCTGGAGAGATACCTTCTTCAGTAGGAAACATCACTAGTCTCGAGGTGCTTGCGCTGCACGAAAACTACTTCACTGGAACAATACCTAGAGAGATTGGTAACCTAGCAAAGATCAAGAGGCTGTATCTTTACATGAATCAGTTAACCGGAGAGATACCTTGCGAGATAAGTAACTTGACTAATGCAGTTGAGATAGATTTTTCAGAGAATCAGTTAACAGGTTTCATCCCAAGAGAGTTAGGTCAGATTCTGAATCTCAAGTTACTTCACCTCTTTGAGAACAATCTCCAAGGTTCAATACCTAGGGAGCTTGGAGAGTTATCACTGTTGCAGAAGCTAGACTTGTCTATCAATAGACTTACTGGTACTATCCCACGTGAGCTTCAGCATTTAACTTCACTTGTGGATCTGCAACTCTTTGACAACCAGCTTGAAGGAACCATTCCTCCTCTCATTGGTTACTACAGCAACTTTACTGTTCTTGACATGTCTGCTAATAATCTCTCTGGTTCAATCCCTGCTCACTTCTGCAAATTCCAGAAGCTGATACTTCTGAGTCTTGGTTCAAACAAGTTATCAGGAAACATCCCTCGTGATCTCATAACCTGCAAGTCACTGACAAAGCTTATGTTAGGAGATAACATGCTAACAGGAAGCCTCCCCATTGAGTTGTTTAATCTTCAGAACTTAACTGCGTTAGAGCTTCATCAAAACTTGTTATCAGGGAACATATCTGCAGACTTGGGGAAGCTGAAGAACTTAGAAAGACTGCGTCTAGCTAACAACAACTTCACTGGTGAGATTCCTCATGAGATTAAGAATCTCACAAAGATTGTTGGCTTAAACATATCCTCAAATCAGCTCACAGGTCACATCCCTAGAGAGTTGGGGAGTTGTGTCACTATCCAGAGGCTTGACCTTAGTGGTAACAAGTTCTCAGGGTACATAGCTGAAGAGCTTGGTCAGCTAGTGAATCTAGAGATTTTGAAGTTGTCTGATAATAGATTAACTGGTGAGATTCCTCATAGCTTTGGTGATCTTACAAGGCTAATGGAGTTACAGCTAGGTGGTAATTTATTGTCTGGAAACATCCCTGTGGAGCTAGGAAAGCTAACCTCTCTTCAAATCTCACTCAACATCAGCCACAACAATCTCTCAGGCACTATTCCAGACAGTTTAGGAAACCTTCAAATGCTGGAGATACTTTACCTCAATGACAACAAGCTATCAGGTGTGATCCCTGCATCTATTGGGAATCTCATGAGCCTCCTCATCTGCAATATCTCAAACAATAACTTGGCGGGAACGGTACCAGACACAGCTGTCTTCCAACGAATGGATTCATCAAACTTTGCTGGAAACCACCGTTTGTGTAACCCTCAGGGAAGCCATTGTGAAGAATCACTTGTCACACATTCTGATTGGTTAATGAGAGGCTCACAGGGGAAAAAGATCTTGACAATAGCATGTATTGTGATCGGTTCTGTTTCTTTTCTTGCTTTTGTTAGTATATGTTTGGTAATAAAGAGACGAAGGCCAGAGTTTGTTGCTCTTGAGGATGAAACAAAACCAGATGTCATGGAGAGCTACTACTTCCCTAAAGAAGGTTTCACATACCAAGGACTAGTGGATGCAACTAGAAACTTCTCTGAAGACAATGTTTTAGGGAGAGGAGCGTGTGGAACAGTCTACAAAGCTGAGATGTCAGATGGTGAAGTGATAGCAGTTAAGAAGCTGAACTCTCGAGGAGAAGGAGCTAGCTCTGATAACAGCTTCAGAGCTGAGATATCAACACTTGGGAAGATAAGGCACAGAAATATAGTGAACCTTTATGGTTTCTGTTATCATCAGAACTCAAATCTTCTCTTGTATGAGTACATGTCAAAGGGAAGCTTAGGTGAGCAGCTTCAGAGAGGAGGGAAGGCGTGTTTGTTGGATTGGAATGCACGTTATAGAATTGCTCTGGGAGCTGCAGAGGGTTTGTGTTACCTTCATCATGATTGTAGACCTCAGATAATTCACCGTGATATTAAATCGAATAATATTCTTCTTGATGAGATGCTACAAGCTCATGTGGGAGACTTTGGCNAAGCTTAGGTGAGCAGCTTCAGAGAGGAGGGAAGGCGTGTTTGTTGGATTGGAATGCACGTTATAGAATTGCTCTGGGAGCTGCAGAGGGTTTGTGTTACCTTCATCATGATTGTAGACCTCAGATAATTCACCGTGATATTAAATCGAATAATATTCTTCTTGATGAGATGCTACAAGCTCATGTGGGAGACTTTGGCCTGGCTAAGTTGATAGATCTCTCTTACTCAAAGTCTATGTCAGCTGTTGCTGGCTCTTATGGATACATTGCTCCAGGTGAGTCTAATATCAAAAGGTTTCTTTCTCCACACACAAGCTTATGTAGACCTGCTGTTTTGAACCAAACTAAAATTTTGGTTAGTTCGGTTATGAGTTCGATTCAATTTAGCAAGTTTATGAAGAAAAAAAACTTTGGTTTTCTATTCGGTTCGGTACAGTTTTTAGCGCGGTTTTCTATATAATTAACCAAGTTTCGAACCAAACCAACTGTTAACCAAAAATTTTAAAACTTTGGTTTCTTTCTCCCACTCACACAAGCTTATGTAGTAGGCATGCAGTTTTGAACCGAACTCACCGAACCAAACCAATCTTTTTTGGTTAGTTCGGTTCAATATGGCAGGGTCTATATAAAAAAATCTTTGGTTTCAGTTCGGTTTGGTTTTCCAAAAAAAAAAAAAAAAGAAATTAACCAAGTTTCGAACCAAAATTACCTGAATTTAACCAAATTTTTAACTGGAATATAATCAAAACTAAAATTTAGTTAGTTTCAGTAAGAAAATTAAAGAGCAAACTACCGAATCGAACTGAACCGAAATTTTTTATTCAGTTCGGCGAGATTTTGGCTGAACCGAACTATCCGAACCCGCATGCCTAAGCTTATGCGACATATCTGATTCTATCTTTTGATGTATTTTAGAATATGCTTACACGATGAAGGTGACAGAGAAATGTGATATCTACAGCTTTGGAGTTGTACTTCTTGAGCTAATAACAGGAAAGCCACCAGTTCAACCGTTGGAGCAAGGAGGGGATCTAGTCAACTGGGTTAGAAGATCAATCCGTAACATGGTTCCAACAGTTGAAATGTTTGATTCAAGGCTGGATACAACCAATAAGAGTATAGTTCATGAGATGTCTCTAGTACTAAAGATAGCACTGTTCTGCACCAGCAACTCTCCAGCTAGTAGACCAACAATGAGAGAAGTTGTGGCTATGATTTTCGAAGCTAGGGCATCATCAACAAGCCTCTCTTCCTCTTCCATCACATCAGAAACTCCTCTAGAAGAAGAAAAATCCTCCAAAGGTCTGTATACATATGATATATTCATTCTCTTTTTTTTTTTTTTTGATTCTCACATGAACATTTCTTGTTATTATGCAGATATTGACTTTGTTCCATCACCTTGAAGTCAACAAATTAAATCCAGTTTCAGTATAGAGAGGAAAAGATAGAATTGTTGATTCAGATTCATGTAAAGCATGTTGTATCTATTTTCCCAAAAGGACAAAACAGAATCAGAAACTAGGTAGTTTTGAAATAAAATATGATATTAATTTTTTTTATTTTTTATTTATCGGCAGTCTATCTAAACTAGATCAAATGGTGGTCAGACGAGCCGATTCTCCTAGGAGCATCTTCGTATGGTCGGGTATGATCTATATGGGAAAATGCAAATCCTCGTGTCCTTACTTCTTGCTAATGTGTCCGCTCGACCATTCCTACTTCGGAGAGCATGAGACATACTCACATTCGCGAACTCCTCCATCTCTGGAATACTTCAATCTTGGTCTTGAAAATATGATATTAATTAGTTATGTTTTTTATTACTCCCTCTGTTTTAATTTAATTGTCATTCTAGAGTTTTGCACACAGATTAAGAAAACAATTAATTTTACATACACCTACCCACTTTTCAACCAATGAGAAAATAAAATAACATTTAAAATCAATAAATTTTGCATTGAAATTATAATACCATACTTATTTTGAAACGAAAATTTTACTCTAGAATGACATATAATTTGAAACGGAGAGAGTAAGATAGATTGCGTAATAATCTATGGGGATTAGCATTTGCTTAGAGGAAACCAATAGAGGTATCTTCCTGGAAACTTCTTTGCTTTGGTAAACTCATTTTACATACATTGAACATAAACATACTTGTCCAGAAAACTACAAAAAGAGTACTAAAAAAGAGAAACGTGAAACCGAAGTTAAATCTTGATTTTATTTCCTCAAACAAAATCTTCTGTATCGATTGAATAAAAACTGAAAAACGTGTAGGTTACTCCATCGATGTACGGCGAGATTACCTCACGCGCAAAATCCCTAAGGTTTTGTAGAGACGAAATCTAGACCAAGTTCAGAGACACAAGCTTTCTTCATATCCCATATATATGTCATTTGAAATTGATATATCAAATCATTACCAATGGCTGGGAAAAACTCAAACTCCAAAAACAAGAACAGCTTCAGTTCCAAGGGCACTTCGTTGATGAGACAACAACACGCTCGTCTCTGTATTATTCGCATCTGCGCTACAATGCTTCTACGATCCTACTTAGACCAAGACGACGATTGTTAAACAAGTTAACAGAATGTTATACCAAAGTTATGTTTACAATGTTTCGCCGGAGAGGCACCTCACCTCACTGCGTCCGTCTTTTTTTTTTTGCATTTTCCAGGCCAGTCTGGATGTTTTGTAGTTAGTTATTAAATGCAATGATGTAATAGTCAGATGCGTGTACTGTACATGTAAATGTAGTCGTGTAAGCAACGTTGTTTCTTCGCTTCTAGACCAGAACATGTATGACATTGATATTATTATTAGAGTAGTAGTTTCCATTAACCGCAGATATTAAAACTTGAGTGACACGTTTCACATATTATTGCCTTGCACACACCAATAAAATCATACTATAGCCAAAAAGATATACCAAAAGATCATGTAGGGTTCATAATATTCTTCAGTATTATCATTACTCATTAGAGTAGTAGTTTCCATTAACAACAGATATGAAAACTTGAGTGACACGTTTCACATATTATTTATTGCCTTGCACACACTAATATAACCGAGCTAAAGCCAATAAGGTATCCAATGGCAATCCCAATCACAAGTGTTTTCCTGAACTCATCATCTTCTGCAGGCTCCGGACTTGGAGCTGTGCATGAAGTCTCTAGCACACCACCGCACAACAAAGGGTTTCCTTCAAAATAAGATTTTGGAAAAGTATCAAACTGACTTCCTGTTGGTATTGGCCCTTCCAGAGTATTGTTCGCCACGTTGAAATAGGACAGGAAATGGAGTTGCCTCAATGATGAAGGGATTCTACCAGATAGATTATTGTTGGACAGGTCGAGCCTCTCTAGGTTTGTGAGGTTTGACAGTTCGTCTGGGATCCTGCCAGAGAAAATGTTGCCAAGAAGCTCCAAGATTTGAAGAGCCTTTAACTGGCCAACCTCGACAGGTATACTCCCGGTTAGATTATTCCTTCTGATGAAGATGGCAGGTGGGACGTAGTACAGGTTATTGTATTGCAGATTAGCGGTAAGGTTATTGGGTTTGACAAAAAGAGGCAGCTGTAGATAGTTCTTTTCTGTTTCCTCGTAGGTCTTTTGGGACATGAGAGCCTTGAGGTGAAAAAACTCCTTTGGCAGCTCTCCTGTAAGTAAATTGTCAGAGAGATCAATGTAGAAAAGGTTGGGAAGAGTTCCCAACCAACCAGGAACAGACCCGACGAGTCGGTTTTGAGACAAGTCCATGAGTTCTAAGCTCTTCAACTTGATCAGCCAAGCTGGTACTTTACCTTTCATTCGACACCCACCAATGCCAAATATTTAGAGTTTAGGGAATCCATCTGAGGAAACAAAGTCTACGTTGCTTGGAAGCGTTTCATCGTAAAAGTTCTTAGCTAAGACTAGAGTGGACAGTTTCCTGCATCCCTGCAGAATGCTGAGAGCTCCTGTAATGTTTGTTAATCTGTTGTCTGAAAAAGACAGGAAAGTTAGGGACACAAGTTCCTTTACTTGGGGAGATATCTGCCCTGTTAACTTATTGCCTGCAAACCTTATAGCCGTGAGAGACTTACAGGAGAAAACCTTATTAGGGATATCACTAGTGAAGCTATTGTTCCCAAGATCAAGAATCTTAAGACTCTGCAACAGATTAAACTCTAGCTCTGTTAAGTTCCCTCTCAGTCGGTTGATCCTCAAGTTCAACTTGATGAGATTAGTACACTTTGTAAGAGAGAGTGGAACTGTACCAGTGAAGTTATTAATATGTAGTTGGAGGCTTTGTAATCTGGAGAGATGGCCTATGTCCTTTGGTATTTCTCCTTCTAAGTGGTTGAAGTAAAGCTCAAGCAATGTTAGTTTCTTGAGCCTGGTGATGTTGTTATCAATCTTTCCAGTTAACTGATTAGCTGGTAAAACGAGTTGCTCTAGCTCGGAGAGATTGTAGATTTCAACAGGTATTTCACCTGAGATGTTATTGAAGCCTGCTCTTAGGACACTAAGTTTCAAACATGTACCTACTCCTTGGGAAATATGGCCAGAAAAATCATTATAAGAGAAGTCCAATTTGCTGAGCTGAGGGGAACTCATGCACATGAAGGAAGGGTTTGGACCAGTGAAGCTGTTATTGCTAACATTGAAACTGATTAAGTTGAAAGCTCCCAAAAGAACTATAGAAGTAGGATTTGGCCTTGGAGAAGATTGCTTGACAAGTCAACGGTCTGAATTGGGAAGAAGTACTTGTAGCTTCTTCCATCACTAAATGATTGTTCAAGTGGTAACTCACCAATGAAGCTATTGTAACTAAGATTAAGAACCATGAGCTGATCAAGGGCCGAGAAAAAACCTGGTGGGATAGGACCTGAGAGGAGGTTATGAGAAAGATCAAGATGAGAGAGACGGTGAAGGTTTTGAACAGACGCACTTAGGTTTCCTGAGAGTCCTCTAAGGGGTAAGGAGATTGTAGTGACGTGACTCTCTGGTGTATCATCGCATGTTATTCCCTCCCAGGAGCAACAATCAATGGAGAGGTTCCAGTTCAAAGGAGAAACTGAAGAAGAAACATTGCTGGAAAACCACAGGAGAGATTCTTGGTCTTGTGGGTTACAGACAGCTTCTGAGAGTGTAATAAAGAGAGCACAGAGGAGGCAGAAGAGATGTATGTGAGAACTCAGAGCTTGTACATGTTTTGTGGTTAATGGTCTCACAAGACCTTTGGCTTTGGATCCCATTTCCTCATCTACCATAGTAAGAAGAACAAACTCATAGATGAAGAACAAGAAAAAGAAAACTTCTTGTCAGTACATGAAATGGCCAAGGGAAAAAGTCAGACAATAGTCACCAGAGGAAGCAGGTTTCTTGTGAACTTGTCAATACCATAGTTGATTAAGACAAATAGTCAGTACCTCATTTAATCAAATTAATTTAATCGATTTGAGTAAATTTTCTGTACCATTCTAGTGCCATTGGTGGAGTTTCTTGAATACCTAAGAACATCTTCTATAGGGCTTTGATCTGGAGATGATGAAGAAAGATTGAAGATATTTGATTGATGGATCCACACACACATGAGCTCTTTGGAAGAAAAAAGTTGGATAAGCACTAGGTACACATGAAAACCATAAGGTTCTATTTATCAAATGCAAACCAACCATATACTATACAAATTAGTTCCAAACTTATGTTATATATGGCCTTTAAAAACACAAACCACGAGAAGGGGGCTAAATTGAGTAAATTCAAACAGAAGAAGAGCACTAGACAATAGAAGACTACTCTTGATACTGAGGGGAGAGGGGAGAGAAGAGAGATTTTATCCGAAGAGTCAACATCCATTTCTATGTTTTTTGTTACATAGAAAATCAAAGTTGAAGCAGAGGTAGCGCCATTACAACCCCGAAAACCGACACTAGCAGCAGTATAATCCACGCTGGCAATCCCTGCTTCTTGTTCTTCCTCCTCTCCTTCATGCCACCATCTGAGTCCTCCTTTGTTGTGTCGACTGTTTTCTCTGACTCTGCTTTGGTATTGCTCTCTTGAGGAGACTCTGGTGCGGTCTGCTGCGTTTGCTCAGCTAGTTGCTGCTGGTTGTACTTCTCTACATACTCTGGAAACAGCTTTCTGAATGCTGGGCTGTAACAATGTAAGAAACATTGGATTCAGGTTAAGAACTGAAAACACACACATAAGCTCGTTATGATTGAGCATTCATTCATAATATTGTTGTCTACTCAACTTTTTGAATATACTCAATACAAATGACTAACTTTGTAAAATTCTGATGGATCTTACGTTTTACAGTTGAAAGCGAGAGATGACTTAGCCAACCGTTGTTTCTCGGCTACAGTGGTGTTCACACTTCCGGTTGTCGGACTAGTATCCATCTGCACCACAAGGACAACATTTAGAGAAAGCTCAATAAGAGAATTAAAAGATATTATCATGCTAAATGATCAGATGGTGGTAAACTAGTAGACACCATTACAAAATTAGAAAGTTTGATTTCCTTATTTCTGAAATTCCCTTGAGAAAAGTGAAAAAGAAAAATTATACAGCTTACAATGAGCTTACCATAAACGAGAGAAGCCCTGTAAGTATGCTGCATTCACGGAAAAGGATTGGTTAACTATGAACTTCCTGAAAGTCAATTATTGTATGTCAAAAAGGAGAAAATTTATACCTTGACACAGACCACATTGGATTCCAGCTTTCTGGATGAACTGAAAATATCATGAAAAGGTGATCAGACATTGAGACGCTTAATTGCAACGAAACAACAAATACAAAGTACACCACTGAGCTTACAATCACTCATAGACAAACAGATCTTCTTTTGTGTAATGAATCGACCATTTGGTGTTGTCATTCTGAAACAAAAACAAAAAGGATGTAGTTCATTGGACGAATAGTATTGAGACTAAATTCTGAAGAATCAACTGAACATACGTAATTCCAGGTGGCTTGTAAGGATACTCCGGAGGGAACTTAATCTTTCCATAGTAAAATCCACCTGTTGGAGATATAGAGTATCAAAATTAAACACCCATAAGGGATGCAGAAGACAAAACTAACAAGAAAATTCAGAAAGAAGATAATCACCAGCAAAAGGTGTTCCCTCACTTCCTTCCAGCACATAATCTGTAAGATAAAACGCCAATAGTTCAAGTCTCTGTTAGTAAATGATCAAGGTAATGTTCTATCTAGCCTCATAATAGTAGCCCATTGTTTCATAGTTTTTATTTTCTTGTATATTCCCAAGTATAGAAATATGTCCTTCGAATATACCACCTTCATAGAAAAGCTTCCGATAGACAAAAAAATAATTAAGGAAGAGATAGAAAAATCTTACGCCACTCGAGAATGTCATTTGGGGAAGGACGAGCAACAACATGGGAGACTGGTTCCTGAAGGCACAAAACACAACATATCATTAAAAAAACCTAAACATTCACAATACAGGTACAGCAACATTTGAAAAGTTCACAGAAAACTTGGTTGAGAAAAACTAATAAGGAGTCTCGAAACCTTGTCAACAGAAGAGAGTAAGTACCTTGCAAAGTGCTCTATATTCCTTTTGAAGACGTTTTATACAAGCCTTTTCTGCCATCTATGAGCTTTAACTGCAACTGTTTGATAAACCCGTTTTCAGATAATCAACAAAAGAAATATATAGAAGAGTGAACGTACAGCTACTAATCTTAGTAGCATCAATGGTTTGCCTCAACCTTGAAAATAGTAAGGAGTCTAAAACCCAGAATAATAAGATAAAAAAAGAGCCTAGGAATAAATCCTAGTGCCATTGATGTAAGGGATTTACTTATTGGACTACCTCACAAAAACAGAACAGAGAGAACAAGAATAATCCAATATACTATGCATTACTCTCATGACCTAATCAAAGATGCAAAATCCACACTAGATCAGATGAAAATGCAATCAAGAACATAACTTTGATAACCAAAGACAGGTTCTAACAAGAACCCCCAAAAAAAATCTAGATTTTTGGTTAAATCACTCCACCCCAATTGAAATCAACCGATCGATCCCAATTCAAGATAAACTCCCTTTGATTAAACAATTATTAGTAAAAAAAGCTAGAATCAACTGCAATTTCTTTGATTAAATACCTCAGAACCCCCTAAGAAAAAAAAAAAAAAACTCAATTTCGATAAGAGGATCCAATTGCAATTGAAGCTTCGCTCTTACACAGAAACGCAAAATACGAAGAAAATCAAATGCATGGAATAGATTTCTAACATCAGATCCAAGTAAAATTTGGGGAAGATGAAGAGCACCTTTGATCGAATTTTGTCGAGGAGGAGCCGAGGAGGAGGATTCGCTGTCTCGTTAATATTTTTACTTTCTCTTTCTCGTCTTCGGGTAGAGAATAGCCTAACATGTGTTGGTTTATCTAAACCGAACTAAATTCATCAATTTATCCCACACGTTTTGCCGGTTCTGTATAAAACCATTTGTTCCGGTTAGTTTTTTGTGAGCCAAATGTTTCAGAGCCACAAATTAAAACAACCTTTTTGTCATTATACAACCTTTCTTTATTTAGTCAAAGGATTCATACTACTTTCCCTTTTTAATATCTTTTAGTTATTGTTTTAATCAAACATAATTTGCGTAATGAACTTTTCTCTACTTCTTTTATATCCTCCACTTGAGAATCTACTTTACTCATATCAAGAATCTGAACCAGGTTCTTTGAATCATTTTTCGTTTTTCTTCTGTTACAGTAATAAATTTAATTGATTAGTAGAGAGACAAAACATCTGTTTACATGCAAACTCAAAAAAAAAACACAAAAGTATTGATTGGACTTATCCTATTACAACCTCCAAGTTCCAAGTTCAGCCTCTTTTGAGTTCCCCAATAACAGTAAGCCAGAAATCACGTGCCCCAATCACATGACCACCGTCTTTCTAGATTTCAAACCATTTACATGAGTTAGGTAATATGTATATATGTGGATGCTTTGTGTCTACGTATGAAATTTTTATATGATGGTGAAGAATATCATCATCTCAGTAAGTGATTAAAGATTAAGATAAGTATAGCAGCAGTAAAAGTAAGATCACGTGATCAGATCCTCAAAACTATGTGTTCCAACACAAATATCTTATTCTATGAGGCATCAGACTATAGAACTATCTCGTCTGTCTCTCTCTCACTTACTCTTAACTCACATCTGTGTCCACGTTTCAGTTCTTAATAAACAGAACACAACAAGTACAGCTTAAAGAGCTTTTTAAGATTCCTAGTGAACGACAAGAAGAAAAGTCCGAAATGAAAAGATACTTGTCAGTGGCTCTGGTTCTGCTACTTCTTCTAGCTTTCTTTAGCAGCAAGTACAGCATAGAGGGACGTTATCTGTTAAGGATGACACATTCAAGTCAAGCTGTTAGAGATTTTCAGACAAGCAAGGATATGAAAAATGGAAAGCCACTTGGAGGAGAAAATGATAGCTTTCGAAGAAGAGTCCCTAGGAGTGGCTCAAACCCTCTACAGAACAAGTAAAGAAGATACAAGACACAATCAAGATTTCTCTTTCATGCATACCCATGTATGGGTCTTAGGTGTAATTGACATCAAGGTGTAATCCACCAATAGTTTTTGAAGGAAGTAGGAAACAACAACACATCACACCGGCAAGAAAACTTTACATTTTTCAGTTCTTTGGCATTTTTCTTCTCTGTTATTTTACTTTTTTTCCTTAGATCTTTTATGTTTAATTTATTCTTTTAGAATAGGTTACTAAACTTCTTTTTTTGTTATAACTGTTGTAATCTATGTAATATATGAACTCATCTTTTTATTTTGAGGCATTCAATCTTATGTATCAAGGATCTCTATAATATTATTTGAGAAGTCAGTTTCCTACTTGTCGCGCTCACGTTAACTCTCGCGATGGTTGATTACATAGATACCCTTAATGAATTATTATAATTTAAGATTATTATTAATCTTTTTATTTAGTTTCTTTTTTTACCTTTTTCCAAATAACATATATAATAAAAAGGAAATATTTCTAAAACTTTTTAAAAATTTTAAAAACGAAAATATATGTATATAATATGACTTTATTAAAAATGAAAGTTGACAAAATAGTAATACCCCCATTAATATATATTTTAAAATAATATAAAATATATTTTCAAAATAATAAAAATATATATGTTCATGACCATTCAAATATTTATCAGTTACATTATTTTCTAATATTTTTAAGAAATCATCATATAATTTGATAAATATTATGAAAATACATGTATATTTAAGCGATAAATAAAAATAATTTAATTTAAATTAACTAAAATAAAGAGTAAATAAAAATTATGAAAATACATGTATATTTAAGCGATAAAGAAAAATAATTTGATTTGACCTAACTCAAATAAAAAGTAATTATACTTCAATTTTAATTTTAAAAATATATTTAACTCAATATGCTCACAAAATGAATGACTCGACTAATCTAATTTATATCCAAAATTAAACATCTAACTACAATAAGAACATATAATTTTAAATAATAATAATAATAATAATAATAATAATAATCTATTTAATTTTTTTAAATGATAATAATAATAATAATAATCTATTTAATTTTATACATATAAATTAGAGATTGACTCAAACCATATTAAAAAGAAAAATAAAATATTAACCAATTACAGTTTAATTATTTTGTAGAATTTATATATATGCATGAGACTTCAAAATATTATCATTATATTCCTTTATGTAATTTTGAATCAAACACTTCAGTTTATTATTTATTTCATTTTAAGCACAATATATATTAAGTTATACATAACTTAACTATCTATAATATATTTACATATCTAAGACAATAACCAACCGAAATGAAAATAAGAAAATTAATCAAGTTTTATTATATTTAGAATAAAAAATAGTATAGCTGAATTCGAAAAATAGATATTATCCCATATACCAAATTGATAACCAAACCGACTATTGATCCAAAAAATAATACATATAAATTTATTCAAAATTAAAACTAAAACTAAATAATATAATATTTATTAATATAAATTATACATATAAATTTATTCAAAATTAAAACTAAAACTAAATAGCAATTAATTATTATAAAACTTTACTTTTATGAATATTCATATCCGTACATGAGCACGGGAAAATCAACTAGTAGAGACCAATATACAATCCCTACTAGCTTAGTGGTATCTTCAAATTCTCAACCTCTTTGTGTTCTGCTTCTTCCAAGTAATTTCATTGGAAAAGAAAGATCTAGTTCTAATTCTCCTTTTACTGCTTTGTGGTTTCTTTACCTTCAAGAAGTCTATCCTCAGCTTATGATCACCTTTCTATGTGTTCTTGGTTCTTACGCATGTAAGGCATCTTCAAATTTGTTAGAACGAAAGATTGATGTTTGGGAAGTTTTGATTTTCTCCAACCAAATGAAGAACAAAAATATTTGTATGCTAATTTGTTTAGCTGCATGTCTTGATTTCCACTGATTAGTTCACACCGAAAGCTTCAACGTACTGAAGTAGCTTGTATATAAAGCATCCTCATTAACAGTATACATGCATGCCTCGGTTTCGCTGATAATTTAATAGCAAAAAGCCAAATAATTAGCAACTCAATTGCAACTGAAATCTCAAAGTCAAACAGGCTGAAAACTAAAATAAACAGAACTTAGTTGCAACTAGAGGTGTTCAACGAGTGCCAATTAAAACCGAACCGAACTAAAATAAAAAGTGGTTTTGATTTGATTATACCAAATAAATCGCAAATGCTAATTTTTAAAAATCGTGGTATATAGATATGGTGTTGTATATAAATCGATCAAACCAAATAAACCGATTAATTAAAATATATTAGTATATTTATATGTAAATTTTATAATAAAATTAATAATACATATATGATTATTTATTAATATGATATTCTTATTTAAAGCACTGAATATATTAATTATTTATTTGTTCTAAGTTAAAAAATTCTTATTTTCATTCAGTTAAATAAAAACATATTTTTATTGGTAAATACTTGTGCTAAAATATGGTTATTTAATAATATCATGATATTAATATGTTTTATATTTTAATACTAAAATGAAATTTAAGATATTATATTTTAAACTTAGAGTATAGAATATATATATTATGTCTTAATAATCTGATTTTTAATCCTATAAACTAAAATTATGATAAAAGGTAAATATAACTATGTTTTTGGTATAAAACTGAATAAAGCGAAAACTGCTAGTATATAAATCAATTCAAATAAAAATAGATATGATACTAATTTGATAACTAATTTTTATAAACCAAAAAAATTGAAAAAGCCGAACTGATATTTGGATTGAACAGTAATAGTTGCAAACACTACAAAAAAGGGAAAAATGATAATAATGTAGTTTGATTCAAAACAAACCCAGGCCTGCTTCCGTAAATATCTACAAATCACATAAAGTAGAGAACATATTAGGCCAGAAGAAACACGTAGCCGTAATCTAGGCCTATAATAGCCCAATACTTATTTTAAAGACCGAGATCTGTTTTCGGACACTAAACACATGGGTCGCAGTCGCTGTTTTCGGACACCAAAACACATGGTTTTGTTTGAATCCACGATTCAGATCTCATTAAATCGGTCGTTAACACTATAATTGACACTTAACAAAACAGAAAGAGAAAAAAAAGGAAGAAAATAAATAAAAAGTATTCGACGAAACGGATTTCTTTAATAAAATATCCGTTGAAAATAAATGCAAAATTCCAATAAATTCCAAATCGGTGGACGCAAAAAATTTGGCAAAAAGTAGTGTGAAAGGGAAAGAGACGAAACAGGAACGGGGAAGTTTCGTGTTTGAGACAAAAACCACTAATCTTAATTAGATTGGGGAGCAAGTATTATAAAAGCCGACCATACCGATGCGGAGATTCGTGATTGGCCAAGCCAAAAATCTTATAGATCAGACTCGTCGTCGTCCTCAACACAATAACCTCAACCTTCTCTCTATTCTTCATCCTTCTTCATCGCGTTTCTTTTCAGACATGTCTGCCTCTGATTCATCTCTTCCCGTCACTATTGACTCCATCAACCCCAACGTATAGTTTTGTTTTCTCTCTCTCTGTTTGTTTTGTGATTTGCATTCTTTGAGCATCGTTTAGTTTCGGATTGATTTGTACTTTGATCTAGTGTTGATTGAACATCTGCATAGGGGTTGATCATTGACACTTGATGGATGTGTTTTATTATACATATAAAGATGTGATTTTTGTGGATATTAAAAAAAAAAAGTCTCTGCCTGTCTTTCTGTATTCATGTAATCTTGCTAGATTCGATCCTTGTGATTATTATATGATTGTTTTTATGTTTCCCTTTTTCACTCCTATATGATTATGCTCACACTGAATAGTTACTTTCTCAGGGAACAGTTCTGCAAAGCTCTAGTGATTTGCTTTTAATTTGGTTATTATTTACTTAAAACAAGTTGTGTTTTCTTCTTGGGTTGTTTCAGGTTCTGAAATGTGAGTATGCTGTCCGTGGTGAAATTGTCAACATTGCGCAGGTAAAGCAACCATCCTTGGTCCTAAATTGTCTTCTCTATTGTTGAAACTTCTTTTGCTCATTTTGCTGTTTACTTTCACCTCACAGAAATTGCAAGATGATTTGAAGACTAACAAGGATGCTTATCCCTTTGATGAGGTACGTTACTTATCATCCGTGTGTGGTCCTTTTTGTGTCATCAGATTGATTCTAACTTGGAAGTTTCACCTCTTTTGGCAGATTATCTACTGTAATATCGGAAACCCGCAGTCTCTTGGCCAGCAGCCTATAACATTCTTCAGAGAGGTAAATAAGTGAGCTTTGATGGTTCTGGTTTGTTCACCATAAGTTAATCAGTAGTTAACTTGTAACTTCCATGTCTCTCAGGTTCTTGCTTTGTGTTCCCACACAGCTTTGTTGGACCGGGATGAAGCACATGCTTTGTTCAGGTAACAAAAAGAATTGGTTTATGTTTTCTAACCTCACTACAATTCAGCCGCTGTGTCGTTTTCCTTCTGGTGTGTAAGATTTTGTTTAACAATGGATGTTGCAATCTTATCAGCGCCGATTCTATTGCGCGTGCTTGGAAGATTCTCGACCAGATTCCCGGGAAAGCTACCGGTGCTTACAGTCACAGCCAGGTTTGTTGTGGCATTGTGTATCTTCAACAGCACTTATCTTTCTCCCTCTCTCTCTGTGGATGAATGATTTCCTCTCTTAATCTTCTGTTTTGTCTCAGGGTATCAAGGGACTACGTGATGCAATTGCTGCTGGAATCGAAGCACGTGATGGTTTCCCTGCTGATCCTAATGATATTTTCATGACAGATGGTGCAAGCCCTGGGGTAAGTATCATCAGACTTTCCCTAAACTCATGGAAATTACAGAACAAGTTTGTTTTAATGGTGACATTAATGTTTATTTCGTTCTAGGTTCATATGATGATGCAACTTCTCATAAGCTCTGAGAAAGATGGAATCCTTTGCCCCATCCCTCAGTACCCATTGTACTCAGCTTCAATTGCCCTTCACGGTGGAAGTCTGGTATGTTCGTTGTCTCCTATAGTGACTGAAGTTTCTTTTTTTTTTTTCTTTTTTCTTTCTTATGTTGTCATCTTCTTCTGGTAGGTTCCATACTACCTTGACGAAGCATCAGGATGGGGTCTTGAAATATCCGAGCTGAAGAAGCAACTGGCGGATGCTAAGTCAAAGGGCATCACTGTAAGAGCCTTGGCGGTTATTAACCCTGGTAACCCAACAGGACAGGTAAGTTTGATCTTCAACACTAAACTACAAATCTATTCCGATCCAGAGATTACTTTACAGTTTGTCTGAATTTTGTCCTGCTGTTTTTTTTCCTGGTTTTAAGGTTCTTTCAGAAGAAAACCAGCGTGACATTGTTGACTTCTGTAAGAAAGAGGGCTTGGTTCTTTTAGCTGATGAGGTTTATCAGGAGAATGTTTACGTCCCTGACAAAAAGTTCCACTCCTTCAAGAAAGTAGCCCGGTCTATGGGCTACGGTGAGAAGGATATCTCCTTGGTCTCGTTCCAATCTATCTCCAAAGGTTTGGAAAAGAAAACTAAAGTCTTAGTCCATTGAGAAGCTTATGAAAGTGGTATGTATCTAAACTGGATTCATTGTTTCAAATAGGATACTACGGAGAGTGTGGGAAGAGAGGAGGTTACATGGAGGTTACTGGTTTCACTTCTGATGTAAGAGAACAGATATACAAAGTGGCTTCTGTGAATCTTTGCTCCAACATCTCTGGTCAAATCCTTGCCAGTCTCGTCATGAGCCCACCCAAGGTATTAAAACATCTACATCACGTTATCAGCTGGTTTAGTTTCAAGCACTTGAATGGCTCGAACTTGCACAATGATAATTTGACTTTTAACAACTTATTATGAAATTTGATCAGCCTGGTGATGAGTCCTACGAGTCATACATAGCAGAGAAAGAGGGCATTCTCTCGTCTATGGCAAAACGTGCAAAGGTTAGCCATTCACAGAGAACTTAGCAGCCATCATGTTTGTTAAGTTTTTTCTGGTATTAATACTTTTGAGTTTACTGTACAGACCCTTGAAGAAGCTTTGAACAAGTTGGAGGGTATAACATGCAACAGAGCAGAGGGAGCTATGTATCTGTTCCCTTGCATTAACCTTCCAAAAAAGGCTATTGCAGCTGCAGAAGCTGCAAAGACATCACCGGACACGTTCTACTGCAAACGCCTCCTAAACGCTACTGGAGTAGTCGTGGTCCCTGGTTCTGGATTTAGACAGGTTTGATGAATCTCTGACAAAAGCTTTTTCTCCATACAAAACCTCAGTTAAACTGTTATTAATCTCGTGTGTGTGTGTTTTTGTTGTGGGATTGATGTTAGGTACCGGGAACATGGCATTTCAGGTGCACTATACTTCCTCAAGAAGATAAGATTCCGGCAATTGTAAACCGTCTCACTGAGTTCCACAAGAGCTTCATGGATGAGTTCCGCGACTAAGTGGATTATGTTTCTAAGGTGTGATCAATCTTAGAGTAATAATAATAAGGAAAAAGGGGGCCCATGCCGTTTCTTTTTTTTTGGTCAGACATTTGTGTTAAGATGTGAGAGCATCTTGTCTTCAGCTTTTTGCGTTGCTCTTTTATATTGGCTGGTAGTGATAAACGACCATATATTTTTATTGAGAAGAGCTTTTATAGACAATTAAACAATTTGCATGCTTTTCCATATATTGAAATTCCGTTTCCCATATAATTGTTGTTCTTGGTGGTTGTTACGGAAACGTTTTGCAACGGGAATAAAAAGGATAAAAACTCTCAGAATTTTATCCTCACCTGGATTGCAATGCATGATAAGTTCTCCGTGGTAACAAGTGCAGCTACAAAAATAGCATGTTCACTTTGCCTTTTGGAAACTAAAATGGCACCCATCTTTGTAATGCAGTTACTCTGCTAAAATTTGAGTGAGTGGCAAGATATTGTCTCACTTGTAACAGACTGAACACAGAGAGTGTTTCATAACTAAGATATGTCTGAATCACATGGAGAAAAACCATCAACTGTTATTAGAGAGAAGGTTTTGTGGCCTTTTTAATAAGGGTAAAGAGGTAAAAAACCTTGAACCTATATATTAGCGGGGGTGGTCATCGTCGCCGAGAGAAAGCAGCCAAAAATCGAAAGTCAAAATCTAGTCCACCTCCTCTTGAACTTCACAGCTGAGTGAAAGAGAGAGACAGAGAGATGGCAAAGGCGACAACGAGGAGGAAAGCGGAGGAGCTGGTGGAGAAGGTGATGAAGGGAAATGATTCTTCTCATGATGCTTCGCACGTGTGGAGGGTACGAGACCTTGCTCTCTCCATTGCTCGGGAGGAAGGTCTCTCATCCAACTCCGACTCCATGGAAATTGTGAGCACTAAAATATAAATCCTCTTTGGTAGAGAATCTTCTTGTAGTAGTGATAAAGAATGTGAGATGTTTTCATTTGTTTTCTCATTTGGTTTGAATCATTTCTGTTGAAACTTTGCAGGTGGAGCTTGCAGCTCTTCTCCATGACATAGGTAGTTACTTCCTTTTTGGCTTCTTTTTAATTCTTTCATGTGTTCATATTCCACAGATTAAACTTAATGTGTTTGTATCTCTTGCTATCTCTTGTCAGGTGATTACAAGTACATAAGGTTTGTTTCTCTTTTTGTCTTCTTGAGTTTTATTTCCAACTTTGCTTTTGAACCACTCATCAGTAGACTAACATACATTGCACCATTCTTGATCTTATTTCCACGATATTAAGCATTTAAGTGTTTACTACTACTCTACGTTCCCTAGCATTTAACGTTCTATGAACTATCCGTGAGGGGTGGTCAATACACTTGGAAGTGTTTCTAGGATCTCTACTCCCTAATTCAGTAACCTTTGTCCTAGATTATATCTCTTTGTATATACTGTAGTGGATGCCATTAGTTGAGGCTTGGGAGGAATGCTTTGCTCACCCTAGGACTAGCTGTGCTCTACTTAGTGTATCTTGGTGTGAAAACTATGAATGATGAAGACTTGTTTTCTGCCTGTGATATTATAACCTGAATTTAGAGACCCTTCGGAAGCTAAACTTGTTGAGAATTTCCTGGATGAGGAGGGTGTTGAAGAGACCAAGAAGGTGAAAATACTAAAGATCATCAACGGAATGGGTTAGTTCCCAGCTCCAACTATTACTCTGCATATCCAATGTACTAGACCGCTTTAGTTTTCACTGCCATTAAGTTAAGAGCTTGTAAAAAAAATAGCATTCTTTCTGTTGTATCTTAATTTATGAACATAACAAATGTATTGTTTCCAGGTTTCAAAGACGAATTATCAGGGCAAGCACTCTGCGAATCTCTTCCTGAATTTGGGGTAGTTCAAGATGCTGATCGCCTTGATGCCATTGGCGCCATAGGTTAGAATGCTTCTCTTGTCTTTAGTTTACTTCTCGAAAGTGTAAAGAGATTTTGATATGCCATTGCCAAAATGTTTTCTCTATTGTCTCTTTCTATCTTTGTGCCAATAGTTGTTTTTGACCTCTTTCTGTTTTAGGAATTGCTCGTTGCTTTACATTTGGTGGAAGCAGGAACAGAGTGCTTCATGATCCGGAGATCAAGCCCCGGACAGAGTTAACCAAAGAGCAGTACATGAAGAAAGAGGAGCAAACAACTATTAACCACTTCCATGAGAAACTCCTCAAGCTGAAGAAGCTGATGAAAACCGAGGTGAGATCAACTGGAAAACTAAACTATACAACTTTGAAATCTCTTTCGATTTGAGCTTTGAATGTGGCGCTGTAAAAAAAATTATCAGGCGGGTAAAAGGAGGGCAGAGAAAAGGCACGAGTTTATGGAAGAGTTTCTTAAGGAGTTCTATCAAGAGTGGGATGGGAGAGCTTGACAAAGTTGATTATGGAGAAGAAAAGCAGAGGATGTATTCAAAGGGTTACTTAACCGGACCTCGATGAAGTAAGCTGTACCAGACCAAACCGACCAACATGTGGTTTGTGTTTAAAACAAGTGAAAACTGTTAAAATCTGAAAATATTTATTCCGTGATGAATTTATAAAAGTTAATTGTTTGTGAATGATATTTTTACTTTTCAGTTTTGTCAATCCTAATATAAATATGATTGTGGAATGAATCAAGGTTTACATGATAATACTAAACGCAATAAGTCGAATTTTTAGACAATAACTTCAATCTTGTAAATATTGACATTCTATTTGGCATTTTTAAGTCTTCGTTTCAGTAATATTTGACATGGTTTAAGAAAACGTTTTCTGGATGTTTGAGTAAGTCATCGCGAAGCTATCATTGGTCGGCTATCATATGTCATGAACTTGGTTTGAATTTGTATATTTTATAGTCAACTGACGTAATTTTCAAATTTATTAGAAACTTGATATTAATAACATTTGCAATACTAGTTACATTAGGTAAGAGATTTGTTTGGTAGATTTCTTACAAAGTCAGTCGTTAACAAATAATATTTAAAAAGAGTTTGAACTTATCAGACAAGTAACTTGATAATAATATATAGTATATAAAAAGCATGGAATGAAGGAATTGTTTACATATAGCCAAGTCTTTTGATTTGTAGTATTAAAGAAAACACAAGACTAATCGCGATCGCGTATAACTAAATAATATTCTATCGTTATGCATAACACATGTCCATCATTAAGAGGACTCTGGTTATCCTAACCAACGAACGGTGTCGGGCGTTGCGTGTTCAAATTGTGTGTTAAGTAAAACATTATAGTTAATCAAATTCCAAATATGTAAACCGTTTGTAACATGCATTTGCAGTTCTTAACCAAAAATCATCAAAAATTGACATCTATAAAACTAGCCTGTTTATACACCAATCTCTCATTTATAAACTAGACTATTTACATTCATTTTTTTGTGAACTAGATTAATTAATAGTTATGAACAGTGAATAGTATAGTATCATTTGCAAAACTTATGATATATATAACTCGTGGCTCGTAAGTAAAAAAGTCATAATCGTGAATGATATTTTATGGATGTTATGTGGACCCAAATCTCCCTCCATGTGTTTAGCGTGCACCTCTACGACAATCCATCGTTGAAAAGGCGTGGGTACACTAATTGAGCTCAATTATTTTACAATCAATTAATTTCATCCGGTTAAAACTTTAAAAAAAACTCAGAAATTTCGGCGAAAATACATTCACACTGACTAATAAGAGGAAGCAAAAGGAGAACTGCCTTTCTAAAATTTTAAAATATTTGACAAAGAAAAGGTGAAAACGTAATACTTCTAGTTTAAAAAAAGCAATAATACTTTTCATTTAGATCTTAATTAGATGCATAATCTACTAATGACGGAGAAAAATAATAATATGCAAAAAGGTGGACCTTTTATAAAACAAGGTACTCCAGAAACGGCATCGTATCGTAGACGCTATAAATATAGCCATTAAGCGCGGAAAAGTAACAAAGAAAAAAAAAACTTTTTTACCATTTCAAAAAAAAAAGGTCTTCTCCTCTCTCTCCCTCTAGGACCTGGTCACATCCTCGACGTCTCCACTCTTCCTCGAATCATCTTCTTCGTCCTTATCTTCTTCACCAATATTATATTTTGTGACTCTTCTGACAAAATTTAATCCGATTTCACGTCCTTCACCCTCTCTCTCTCTCTATAAATATATATCACGTTTCTGTTACTCTGTATCGACCGGTTCGAAATCGGGGTCAAACCGGCTCCGAGCAATCTCCAGGGCTCGAGAATTTCGAATTTTAATCTGGTCTGATGGGATCAGAGCCTCGGGAAGAAGACCCGAGGCGCGAACTGATTGACTTGCCTGTTCTTCACAAACTCAAGCTCTACAGTACTCGCACGGTACCTCCTCATCTTTTTATCTCAATCATTGTTATTAATTTTACCATTGATCCGCATTAATGTGATCTTTTACCGTCAACTGACTTACCGATAATTACGTTTGATACATTTATGATTTTTTTAATTCTGTTTTTAGACATAACGGTTTGCATTCAATAACGGTTCGGTTTAAGTTTGGTGAAACTGTTTTTTTTTAAGTATTTGCTTGTTGGTTTGGTTTCATATGATCTGTAGTGTAAGGCATGAGCCTTTAGCTTGACACAATGTAGAGTCTTTGGTTTTAAGTTTTTCTGTAATAAATTAATAATAGTGAAAATTAAAAAAAAAAGTATAGTGAAAAAAAAATTAATAATAGTGAATTTTATTATGAAAATTAAAAAACTACATTTTTCTGGTTTGATTGATTGGTGAATGAATTGGTTGTTTGTGCAGAATTTTTACTTGATTGGGAGAGATGAGAAGAAGACGTTTTGGAGGATTCTTAAGATAGATAGAACGGACTCAAAGGAGTTGAATTTATTCGAAGATCCAACAAGGTATACACATGATGAAATAGGCCAACTTAAGAAATGGATTAGTAGAGGGAACCAGGAGTATGGTGGCCTTAGAGCAGAGACTACTTGCTATGGAATCATTGGTATGTTTGTCCCAAAACCATTGTTTTTTTTCTCCTCTCAGTGTTTGTGTCGTTTTGAAGTAATGGAGAGCAATGTTGATTCTCTGGGTGCAGGTTTTGTTAGATTCTTGGGGCCTTATTACATGCTTGTGATAAAAAGAAGAAAGAAAGTGGGGGAGATCTGTGGCCATAGTGTTTATGGTGTAGCAGAGAGTCAAATGATCATGGTTCCATATCCTTCCGCTGAGACCAGAGTGGCTGGTTCTGCAGCTGAGAAAAGGTATTTAGTCCATAGTCCTTGTAATGGTTATGTTATCCATATGGAAAGAAACTCTTGTGTAAACTTTTACTTGCTAGATCACATATCTAACATGTTCTATACCCTTCGTATTATAGGTACAGGAAGCTCTTCAACATGGTTGATCTTAGCAAAAACTTCTACTTTAGCTACACCTATCACCTTATGTACTCCCTGCAGAAGAACATCTGCAACACTGAGAGAGGAAAAGTTCACGACAACAGTATGTTTGTGTGGAACGAATATTTAACACGTGGGATCAGAGGGATCATCAAGAATACTGTATGGACAGTTGCACTGATATACGGATTCTTTGAACAAGTAACCATAAAAAATGCATATATGATTGTTTTAGTAACTTTTGCTAATCTTAACAAGACCTAAATCTCTACCGCTCATTTGCTGTTGTACAGATTAAATGTTCAGTATCTAATGAGGAATTTGTTTTGACTGTCATTGCTCGACGTTCACGCCGTTATGCTGGTACAAGGTACTTGTATATAGTGATAGCATTACTCGCTGTATGTTCTTCTTCCTATGGACTAACAATCTTGCCTCCTCTCTCTGTTAATGTGCAGATATTTAAGGCGTGGTGTAAATGAGCAAGGTAGTGTAGCCAATGAGGTTGAGATAGAGCAGATCGTCTCAAAAGAGGTTTCAGAGGGGAAGAAAATCCCTATAACATCAGTTGTGCAGGTTCGAGGCTCCATACCACTATTCTGGTCTCAGGAGACATCTGTGTTCAATCCACAACCCGACATAATATGTAAGCACCATTTACATAAAAGGTAAGGATCTTACTTCTTACACTATTTTAAACGCTTATGATTCTCTCTTTTACATGACACAGTGAACAACAATGACGGGGATTACAAGGCTACTAAACTCCATTTTGAGAATCTGAGACAGAGATATGGGAAGCGGATAATCATCATGAATCTTCTAAAAGTAAGCTTTCTAAATTTACTAGGACAAGTTAAAGTGTATACACTGGTTCTTCCCTTTTCTTGAATTCCTAAAATATTGAACATCTTTGCTATTACATGTGATATATCAGAAAGATGATAAAAAGCATCGAGAAAGCCTCTTAAGGGCAGAGTTTGGAAAGGCAATCTGGTCTATCAACAGAGAAACGGAGAAGGAGAATCGTTTAAAGGCAATTCATTTTGATCTAAACAAACACTTCAAAAGGTTCTCTGCATTTATTACCTATTAAGCAAATATTGATGTGTTGGTTTAATAAGTTTTACGTCCTAAAACTTTTTGCCTATTTTTTTCTTGCATTTTGCAGTGGAGTTGATGGTGCATTCGAGCAGTTGTGTGTCCTTGGGAAGAGAGCATTGGACTTAATTGACTTATTTTTCTGTGAAGCTCCGTTAGGCATAGGAACTGGAAGTGTAATTAACGACTCATTCTTCAAGTAAGTTTGGTTATGCTATACGTATATATGCATCATCATGTGAATGAAACATAATACTAATGTTACCATGCTCCAGTAACCCTATTCTGAAACAAGATGAAGAGGAAACTATTCAAGAAAATGAAGCTTTGAAAGTGGATATACATAAGCTTCAAAGTGGGGTCTTGAGGACAAACTGCGTAGACTGCTTGGATCGTACTAATGTTGCTCAGTACTCCCACGGATTGGTAGCTCTTAATCAGCAGCTGCGTACATTGGGTATCACAGGACCTCCTATCGTCGATAAGGACAATCCCGTGGCAAAGAAACTGATGGAAGTTTATGAGAACGCAGGTGACGCAATTGCAATTCAGTATGCTGGCTCGGAAGCACACACCAAGGTGATTTGATCTCCAACAAATTTATCTATTAAGCTTAAGTTGTTGTTGTTGGACTATATGTAACAACTTAAGTTATGGTTTCAAAGATGTTCAGTGCCCTGAGAGGTGAGTGGAACATGATGATGAAACACCGTGACATCATCACAGCTGTTCGTCGTCACTACAACAATGCTTATCAAGATGGTGAAAAGCAGAACGCCATCAATGTGTAAGCTTTTAGAAACTTCTCATCTCTCTTTTTTTTTTAAACTTGTTATGTGTGTTGTCTGGTCTAAATATCATTTCTATTATCAGGTTCTTAGGGAAAGCCGGGCCTCAATTGGGAAGGCAGTCCCCGTGGGAGTTGGGTTCTGACCAACGCAACACTAGAAGAACTAGTTCTAACCTAGACAGGGAAAACCTGAGGTACCTACTTTTGTTGACCAAACCAGCTCTCTTTATAAGGTGACATATAACTTTCAAAAGGCTGAGATAATGCTCCATTACTGCAGGCCAAAAATTTCAAGATCCTTTTCTGATAACCTTCTTTTATTGGGTGAATTGAATTTGGAGGAGCCAATACTTGAAAATCCAGAGCCTTCACGTGAAGGGTTAAACGGTGTTATATGGGAAACAACTTCAGATTCTGGATTCGTTGAAGCTGAACCAGCTTCTCCAAGGTGGTTGGTTCATCAGAGTCTCTTTATTTAACTCACTTGTTACTCCTTTTCTGATTCTTCTTCCTCTTTTGATCTTCAGCTTCCGCTCAGCTATTGGCGATGAAGATCATTTGATAAGAACAGGATCAAGACAAATGTTACAAGGGAGTAACTCTATGTCTGATTTTCTCGGGCTGGATGATGTACCTGGCTTTTCACACTCTTACAATGCTAGATTCACTCCCGCAAACGAAATGTTTGAAATTTGCAGGTAAATTTTTTTTTGTTATTCATCCCTTATACATTTGTCACTATAAGGTGCACTTTGCAATTGCATTTACAGACACTATATAATACAAGGCTGGTAAACTAATGATGTAAATGTTTTGTGCAGCTCCGTGTCATCAGATAACATGTTCACGGACATGGACGAATCCATCACTTCTACAAATGATACGAACATTCTTGAGGTAATACTCCTTCATCACCATTACACTCTTTTATTTATTTCACCTTGTAAACAAATACACTGACCCGGTCTGATTGTTCTCATCTTGATAGTTTCCTAGCCATTTGAATGAACCAGGAGGTTTCATTGAATATCCTTTAGTAAAAGGATACTCAAATGAATTCACTCATTGGGTTATACACGGAAAATCATCATTGTCAAGGGTTCCATGATGAAACGTGTGCCTTGCAAGAGAAGTTAACGGTAGTTACTTATCACGTAAAGCAGGCGTGGACAGGCAAGATAACAGAAACACACAACAGCCACATCTTTGTAAATACTAGGCTCAGCTCTGTACAGGTCCCGGCTTCTTGTATTTTGTTTTTGTTTTTTCCTACCAAGGTTCTCTCTTTTTTTTTCATCACTCACAAAATTTGATTTTGTTTGTTTTTGGTATATAGAGGGTTTGGTTTGGTTTGGTTTAATTATTTTGTTGTGGCCCAATGGCTGAACCGCAATGAATTGTGTGATTAGAAGGTTGGAAGCAACACACCATATTACACTTCCTAGTTCCTATTCCATCTAACATTATTTGAGAGTTAGAATAGATTCATGGACCAATGCCTCGTTGTATTCAAAAATTACCAACAAGCCAAACATATCACATGCGAAAGTTATTAGACGTGAGTCACAAGAAACACAATGAACTGAATAAAGCTTTTACTGAAACTTTCGAACTTTTTTAAAAAACTCTGTGTTCTCAGAAGAGTACAACGTGGTCTTATATAGACCTTATGAGCTGAAACAAATTCAAAACAAACGACTTCCTACTAATCCGTAAATCCTAAAACTTCTCAACAAACTTATTCAACTACTCCTACAGACTCGGACTTCTTCATGACTTAGTCTTTTATTCTTTGACTTCAATCCCTCCCCTAAACTGGAAATACTTCTTCTTCCAGTTTAGTAATACTTCACTCGAACCCCCATGTAACCTCTGAGTGTCTCAAACACTTCCAACTTCACAGCCTTTGTCATTATATCCGCCAACTGATCTTTTGTAGAGCAGAACTCTAGCTCAATCACTTCATCACTTACTAGGTCACGCAGAAAGTGAAATCTTACTTGAATATGTTTGCTTCTCCCATGGAATACTGGATTTTTGGACAATTTGATTGTAGAACTGTTGTCACAGTACAGAACTGTCTCTCCACCTTGATCACATCCGATCTCCTCCAACACATTTCTTAGCCACACTGCTTGACACGCTCCTGCAGCTGCTGACACATATTCAGCTTCAGTGGTTGATAAAGTGACTATGGGTTGCTTCTTAGATGCCCACGATATGGCTCCTCCTCCATTCATAAATATGTAACCTGAAGTACTCTTTCTATCATCTTCATCTCCTGCATAGTCACTGTCCACAAAACCAATCAATCTGTCTTTGTTGTTGTGCTGATATTGAATCCCAAACTCCAGAGTTCCTTGCACATATCTCATGATTCGTTTGACTGCAAGCAGATGTTGCTCCTTAGGCGTCTCCATGTATCTGCTCACAAGATTAACTGAGTAGATGAGATCCGGTCGTGTTGCTGTGAGATACCTTAAGCTCCCAACCATCTGCTTGTATGTTGTTGCGTTAACCTCAGAACCAGCCCCTTTTTTAGTGAGTTTGCAACCTTGTACTGTCGGATTTCTGACTGAATTGCAGAGCTCCATCCCGAACCTCTTCATCACTTCTTTTGCATATTTCTTTTGACTTATAAATATCCCTTCTTCATCTTGAATCACCTCCACACCAAGGAAATACTTCATCATGCCAAGATCTGTCATAGCAAACTCAGACTTCATTGATTCCTTGAAACTTTCCTTCATTATCTCAGAGTTGCTTGTGTAGATCAAGTCGTCAACGTACACACTGACTATCAACACGTTGTCTCCTTCCTTCTTCACGAATAGTGTATGTTCACAGTAGCACCTTTTGAATCCTTCCTTTGCAAAGTACCCCTCTATCTTGCTGTACCACGCCCTTGGCGCTTGTCTCAGCCCATACAAAGCTTTGTTAAGCTTGTACACCTTCATCTCTTCGTCTTTTACCTCAAATCCTCTTGGTTGCTCAACATACACATCTTCTTTGAGTTCACCATGTAGAAAAGCGCTCTTTACATCCAGTTGATACACACGCCATCCTCTCTGAGCTGCTACACTTAGTATTAGTCTGATGGTGTCCCACCTTGCAACAGGTGCAAAAACTTCATAGAAGTCGACTCCATGGGTTTGGTGAAATCCCTTGGCTACTAACCTTGCCTTGTGCTTGTCTACTTGCCCTTTCTCATTCAGCTTTGTTTTATAAATCCACTTAATTCCAATGACCTTGCTCCCTTCTGGCAACTCCACCAGTTTCCATGTGTTGTTTTCTTCTATTGAGTCCATCTCGACTTCCATTGCCTTCTTCCACTTGTCATGCTGTACCGCTTCTTCAAACTTCTCTGGGTCTCCCACTTCTGTAACCAGAACCATAAGGTCTTCTTCTTCTTCCATAAATAGACCCATCTCATAGTCTCTCATCCACACTGGTCTTGTCTTGCTTCTACCGGTTCTGTTCCTCTGTGACCCTTCTCCTGCTTCTTGTGCAGAGCTAGTGTTTGTGTCTTCATTGCGTGGTGATACTGCTTCATTTTCATGCTCTGCTGCGTCTCCTTCTGCAGTTTCATTTTGAGTTTCTTCTTTATCATGTCTTTCTTCCTCTACTGGTGTTGTCTCTTCTTCCCCATCTACTTCAATGAACTGACTGTCTTCTGTACTCTCTTCCCAGTTCCACTGCTTGCTTTCATCAAACCTCACGTCTTTGCTGATCAGGATCCTCTTACCTTCAGGGTCATATAGGCGGTATGCCTTGGACTCTTTACTCACACCGAACATGACACATTTTATGCTCTTTTCATCAAGTTTCACTCTCCTTTCATACGGTATGAGAGCATAGGCAACGCATCCGAAGACGCGCAAGTGGTCAACTGATGGTTTCACACTGCTCCACCTTTCAGATGGTGTCACATTTCCTAGGATTGCCGTGGGACTTCTGTTCAGGATATGCACCGCGTACTGTGCTGCTTCAGGCCAGTATTTGATGGGAACCTTCATGCCAAACATCATGCATCTTACCATGTTCATTAGACTTCTGTTCTTCCTCTCTGCCACACCGTTCTGCTGAGGCGTATAGGCTGCTGTCAACTGCCTCTTGATCCCATTCTCAACGCAGTACTCCTGAAACATCTTTGAGTTGTACTCACCTCCCCTGTCAGACCTCAGGCACGCTAGCAGCTCCCCACTTTCTCTCTCAACAGCCACTCTGAACTCCTTAAATGTCTTGAGTGCCTCTGATTTTTCAACCAAGAAAAACGTCCAACATTTACGACTGTAATCATCAATAAAGTTGATTATATACCTCTTTCCACTCTCAGATGTAGGTGATATTGGACCGCAGATGTCTGTGTGAACCAGCTCCAGGCATCTACTTGCTCTCCACTTACTGCACTTTGGAATGTTTGTACGGATTTGCTTCCCTTTCATGCACACTTCGCAAACTCTTCCTTTAGCAGTAAGTTTAGGTAAACCAGTCACCATTTCCTTCTCAGCCATTGTTGTCAAGTTGTCATGGCCTAGGTGTCCGAATCTGCAGTGCCAGATCTCTTCTGAGTCTTCAATAACACTCAACATACGTACTTCCTTGGCGCCTTTTCTTGCTTCTTTAGCACGTACAATGAACATTCTGTTCCTGGACATTGTTGATTTCATGATCATCTTCTTTTGTTGTTTGTGCCACACCTCGCACACGTCGTCATCTATCACTATTCTCAATCCCTTCTGTTGAAGTTGGCCCACACTCATCAAGTTGTTCTTAAGTCCTGGGACATAGTACACTGAAGTTATTATCTGACATATACCATCAATCTCCAATCTCAGATTACCCTTTCCTTCTACTTCCATCTTTCTATCGTCTCCCAGCTTGACTTGGTGCTGATAACTTCCATCAAAGTCAATGAACCATTCCTTCACACCACACATGTGGTTGCTGCAACCTGAGTCAAGGTACCACACATGTTTCTCCTCTGTCTTTAATGGATCACTCTGAGCCATCAGGAGCAGATCTTCCTCCACTTCAGCATAATTTGCATTCCTTTCCCACGTAGGGCACTCGTTTTTGAAATGCCCCATCTTGTGACATCGATAGCACTCGATGTTGTCTTTGTTGAAGCTGGTACCACCTCTGCCTCGTCCTCCTCTTCCACCACGGTAAGAGTTTCTCCCAGGGACTTGTCCACCTCGGCCCCTGTTTTCTTCCACCTTGAGTACTTGTTCTTCACTCACATGTTTGCTCAGGTTTTGCTCGTGTACTAGCAGTGAGCTTTGTAGCTCGTCCACCGTCATCTCAGTGATATCTTTAGACTCTTCAATAGCACATACCACATAGGTATATTTCTCCACCAGAGTCCGAAGAATCTTCTCAACAACTTTAGCATCCGGTATGTTCTCACCAAGGTTTCTCATGTCGTTTGCCACCACCATTATCTTTGAGAAATACTCAGTGATTGAGTCTCCTTCTTTCATCTCTAGTACTTCAAAGTTTCTTCTCAATCTCTGCAGTTGTGAGCTCTGAACTCTCTTGTTCCCCTGGTACTTGTTCTTCATAGAGTCCCAGATGTCTTTTGACGTCTCCTTCTTCACAATGGTCTTAAGAATCGCCTTGTCAATGGATGCAAACAGATAGTTCTTGGCCTTTAGATCCTTGAGCTTTTGTTCTGCAAGCTCTGTCCGTTGTGCACCGGTCAGAATCACATTTCTGTCTGTCTGCATTAACCCCGTCTCAACGAGCTCCCACCATTCCTTGGACCTCAACAGATTCTCCATGAGCATAGCCCAATGCTCGTAATCACCGTCGAACTTTGGTATGCGGAACTCCTTCTCACTCATCTTCACTTCACAGGCTTTGGAACACACGCTCTGATACCACTTATTAGACGTGAGTCACAAGAAACACAATGAACTGAATAAAGCTTTTACTGAAACTTTCGAACTTTTTTAAAAAACTCTGTGTTCTCAGAAGAGTACAACGTGGTCTTATATAGACCTTATGAGCTGAAACAAATTCAAAACAAACGACTTCCTACTAATCCGTAAATCCTAAAACTTCTCAACAAACTTATTCAACTACTCCTACAGACTCGGACTTCTTCATGACTTAGTCTTTTATTCTTTGACTTCAAAAGTGACATTGGGATCTCTTCTGAACCAGACTGTTGTATCTACAGCATCTTCTTAAGTGTTGTATGTGGACATGATATAAAACAGTAAAAGTTCTTAAGTGTTGTATGTGGACATGATGTAAAACAGTAAAAGTTTTATACGAAGGAAAAGTCTATTGACATAAAGTGTCTTTGAGAACAACAAGATACCAACTGGCTTATTTGCTCTTGCAACTAACTTGTTTGCTCAGATTATTCTATTTTGATTTAAATATTTTAATTGCGTGGGCTGTTGGCTAGCAATTTGTTTGCCCACCAAAATCAAAAGCTGTCTACTCTTTTACTAGATAAATAATGCAATTGTTTGCTTCACTATTAAAAATTCAGTTGGATGGGGTTGGATTTAACAAAACAATAAAAGCTCTCAATCAATTGAGTTGGTATATTATGATTAATGAGGACCACGGTCGTGTTTTTAAACATATTAGTATTCTAGTTTCAAAAGTTATAAGTTACCAGTTTTGATATATGATATTATACTTTAAAAAGAACTATTAGCTGCTTACATTTAATTAATCACAGTACAAAATGATATATGATCATTTGCGTTGACTTAATTTGATAAACGATTGCTTTTAAAAATAAATCATTTGAATGATTACTAGTACTAATCCACAGTATTACTTAATTAGGCAGAGAATTTGTGATGCTCGGGGTTGTTTTTTATTGTTTGATTTCTCTTGGCGTAAACTATTTATATATTAAAAATAAAGTTTGACCATTTTTGTATGTTATCTAATCTCCTTCAATTATTAGCTTCACTTCCACAATTTGTGTTCCACAACGACAGCTGCAAAAAGTTTTCTCCCACCGGATTAAATATACATTTATGATTTCAATTTTTCGAATTTCCTTTAAAAAATATAACGAAAGTGAATTACGTAGAATTAAGATGTATCACTCCTTCAAGGAAGAAAATACTTAGTTTACCAAAAAAAAAAGAAACCCAAAAATTGACCGCTTCTTCAAGGAAGAAAAATATATACATATTCCAAATTATTTCTGGTCAAGTGTTTTGGATCGTATTCGCATGAATACATTTAATATAGTTATATATGTTATATAATCAACATACAAATATGTTATTTCAACATCATGGACATGGTGTAATCTTTTACTAAAAAATCATCGATTACCCTGTATGCCTGTATCCGATCGGTAGACAACAACCCACAACAGGAGATTGTCCAGCTCATACACACACGTATGCACGTATCAACATGCATTCATGCACATATATTCATGTCAATATATAATATATAAAAACATAGCAACGAGACACTAGTTTTACGGATTCTTCACCCTTATCCCTATTAGCTGTTCACCTTTCTCTATCAATCTCTTAGTATAAATACAAACGTGCATACTTCTTCGTTCTCACGTCTCACAAACATAACTTTTTAATCTTTATTCTTGATAAACATACACACACAAAACCCTAGCCTAAATCTCAAGAAAATCTCCAATATTACTAGTTATATTTTCATGTTTTCTTATTTTGTTTAAGAGCCTTAAATATTGTTCAAAAATTAAAGATTTTATACTTTGCTCTAATGGCTAAATTTGGGAAGCTAACAAAGCTTAAGTCGGTCATAAAGAAATGGCCTTCCTTCACCAAGAACCACCACTCAACAACCGTATCCACCACTTCCGCCACCGCCGCCACCGAGGTCTCAAAATGCGATGATCATCTTCAACTAGTTTACGTTGGGAAGTCTCTAAGACCTTACATGCTTAGTTCCCACGTCATTGACCATCCACTTTTCCAAGAGTTACTTGATCGTTCATCGAGATTCATGGAAGAACGCCACAATCAAAAGACAGTCTTAGTAGCTTGTGAGGTTGTATTGTCTGAGCACTTGCTATGGATGCTCAAGAACAGTTGCTCTGATCACAATGATTATGATGATGATGATGATTGCCAAAGAGAATCCGTCGAGGAGTTGGCTGAGTTCTACACTTATTGACAGCGATATGTTCTTATATTTCTATTAACAGTTTATTTTATTTAATAAAAATTTTGACTTGATCCTACATGATCCAGTTCGACCCACAAAAGATTTCCTTAGAATTTGTTTTTTTTTTCTCAGTAAGTTTATAAGTTTTTTGTACTCTTAGGACATCTTCCCTAATCATACTAAAAATTGTAATAGCGTCACTGATAAAAATGAGGTTATAATGATTTTTGTTATCCTTTATACACATATGTATCTATACTATTAAAGATAAGTATAAAAAGTTAGTGTTTGGAAACATGAATAGGAATATTTAAAATTATGATGATTGGAAACAAGGATAATCTACAAATCTAATGGGCTTGATTATTAAACTAAAAATTACTGCGGCCCAAGGTACTATTATTATTGTTTTTGGGTTTTCTATCATGATATTACTTTATTTCCGAAAATTATTTATACATATATGTATTCATTTTAGTAATAGTTTACTTAGCCAAAAAAACTTTATAAACTATTACTAAAATGTTTACGGGTCACAACATTTTACGACGCCCATGTTACACAATACAGTGACAAAATACAATGTTTAAATAGTATACTAATACTTAGTAAAATTGGAACCATTAAATTGTAATTTTGAAATGTTATATATACCATAAAAATAAAGACCCGTCCAGTCGGGCGGGTTATGATCTAGTAGTGTTTATTTTGCATATATGTGTTTGTTATAGTTTTCAAAAGAATAGATTGCGCCGCCACATGACGCGCATGGTCACCTAGTTGCACACACCGTCCTACTTGGCTACTTGCCTTTCTAGTGGCAGAAATGGCTGTCACGGAAGAAGTAATTCGTAAACCATTAGTATATAAATTTAAGCCTATAGTGAGTTAACAGTATATAATATGCAGCACCATTGGCACCATGTATGATTTAAAAATGCTGCCAAAAAGAATAAGGTGAATCCCAAGATAGTTGACTAATTTTTTTTAATGCTGATTTATTATAATATTATAATTATAAAAAATATATAAACGATTCGACAACCAACAATACTACATGATATTTACACCTAATTGCATTATTTGAACCATTTTATGAAAATTCACGCATAGTTGAATTTATTTGTACCATGCTAAAGATAGTGAACTAGTTTTGAACTGTAAAAAAAGAATATATGATTTATATTTAACTGCATCACCTTCACTTGAGCCGTCCTATAGAGATTACGCTTGGCCAAGTTTACTTGTATCTTGCCAAAAGATAGTGGACTAGTTTTGAATTGCAAAAGAGAATGTGGACTATTAGTCTATTACTGAGAGTCAGTCACCTGTAGGTGTTATAAGGCCGTAACTTAAAAGCCTGGCCCAAAACAAGCCCATTACAGAAGATATGGGTCGTAAACGCAGCGTATGAGAACGTCAACGTGCGTCTTGATAGCTTGACTGCTGCTCCGACGCTGATTGTGCAACGTACGCGACCGTGACGGAAAATCCCAGTGAGTGAGTTCTATATTGGTCGCTACGTTTTCATCTAAAACCATAGAGATAGAGATTATCATGTCTGTGTGTATTTCTAAGCATTTAGTTTGTCATAATGATCAGATCTTCATGTTTTGAGTTTTCGCAAGTCCCTGAGAAGTTTAGACTATCAGATGGAAATGGCATCTCATAAATAGCGTCTATGATATTTTTTGAGGTTTTGCTTTCTGAAGAATGTTTTCTTGTGCCGTCTGCATTTGTGATAAACTTTATCGATTTTTTTGGCGTACAATGTGTTTGTTGAAATGCCTCAGTGAGTTAATAGTCTTATTCACTTGTGTATTTGGAGCTGTTATGTTCTCCTTATTATTGTATTCATATGGGACTATGAGTGAAATATCGTTGATTAGGTCCTAGATACGGCATCCTAATGATCGTGAAATCACTTCATTATCGATTTAAGCTTCTCCAATCTAGTGTATAAAATAGTATTTTTTTTTTTTTTTAATGAGTGAGCTTCTAATATAGCTTAATCTTGCAAAGATGTTATCTTTTATATTTTGTTAAGAGTGTGGTTATGATTATGGAGTCTTAGTGTGTGAGATTTGGTGATTGAAATTTAAAAATATGAGCTTTGGTTCGTAACAATCAGTGTTTTATATTTATATACAAGCTTTCTTTTATTTTCTCCTTGGGAAAGCAGATACAGAGACATGTCAAGGTTTCGATCGTTGTTGCAAGCCTCAGTAAATGCAACGAGAAAGGGTATTCACTTACTACCTTATGTTTTTTTCATCTACTGGTTCCCTGCTTGTGTGTTGATAGCAAGTAATGTTTGAAGTTAAATGACGCTGTTTTTATGTTCCAAGATTTATCAACGTTTTGGGAACTACCATTATATTTTCTACTAGCTTTAATGCTTTTGAAGGTAGCAGGGAGTGCTAATATCTGACTTATCTTCACCACTTTTCAAACTGTTAGCTTTTACGTGGAACATTGAAGAATGGATCCCACCTCCAGAGAAGTATATATATAAGTTCCATTCGAAAGAAGACTTGAAGAAATGGCATCTCTATTCTGATTCTGAATATGGAGGTATTTAATTAGACAGGTTCAAGCATTTTGTTAGTACAGAGCGTCTGATATTGTTTTCTGTTGCTGTTTCCCCTGTATTTCCATGCTTTAATGATTCATATGGAAAAGTACTGAGACAAAATAAGATTCCTGAAGATTTGTGTTGCACATAAGCCATTCGTTATGCATTTTATAACTTATTTGGGGACAACATGTTTTCTACAGGATTATCTTCGGCTTCTTTGGAGATTCCAGATGGAGGAAAAGGATCAGATGGAACTGGTTAGCAATTTCGTTATGTTTTTGTGGATTCATCTGCCATTCATCATGTCGTGGTCATGATATCCATTAACAAAATAGGAGACATTTTCTATGTTATGGTAGCATTGTTTGTTCATGTATTTATGATGTTTGTTACACTGCTAACTTGGTGATTTTTTTCTCCCATATATCTTTTATAGGAATTTTCTCAGGGAACCTTTCCGTAGACCTTAGTGAGGGATCAAAGTTGAACATCAGCCGGAGTGGCTTTTGTGGAATGCGCTCAAAGAAGGTTAAAAATGAACAGCTTTTATTTTAGTTACAAAGCAATGTGAATCAAAACTATAACGCTTACATTCAACTATTCTTTGAAGGCAAGATGGAATTGTCATCTTGGTTTGTAACCGGAATACTTTGTGAGTTAACTGAACATACTATTTCAACTAACTAACTTCCTTTTTTTTTTTGCAGTTTGATGGCTTCATTGATCTCGACGGGTATGATGCAATAGCCATGAGGCTTAGAGGAGATGGAAGGTGTTATATCTCTACCGTAAGTTTCATGCGGACACTCACCTTTCCTTTACTCCAGATAAACAACAAATGCTGTAGGAGGGAAAAGGGTTTGTTATACTAAACCTTGATTTTGATTCAGATCTATACAGAAAACTGGGTGAATTCACCGGGACAAAGCGAAGATAACTCGTGGCAAGCTTTTGTCTTTGCTCCAAAGGACAGGTGGTATACTGCTAAGGCAAGTACTTACTTCTACAAATGTTACCGAAAAGGAGTTTTAGTGCATTATACATATCCTGTTTATTGAACTCCCAAAAAGACAGATGGCGATTATGATAATCTCACTCAATTTTTTCTCTTCTAGTCTAAGGCCATTAGTAACTTGAGTTTTGAATATATATCAGATTCCTCTAGCTAGATACTTGCCAACATGGAGAGGAAATGTTATAGATGTGGAAATGGAGATGAATCCAGGTCGTGTTCTGGGTATGTCACTGTCGGTAAACGCAGAAGGTGGTGCGGTTGGAGCTAAATCAGGAGCAGGTGATTTCAAAGTTGAAATTGACTGGATCAAAGCCACGCGAATGCCATGAATGAGTGAAGCATCATGCCAGTGTATGTTGTCTTTGTTGTTTCTTCTTTGTTTTAGCTTGTAAAAACCTTAACTGAGTTGATACTTAGTTCCCAGAAAAGATTGTTGAACTATAGCTGGTCATCACTTTGAGCAATGTTCATCAAATAAAATGACACAAGTCAAAAAGATATTTTCAGTATGTTCTGTTTTGTAGTTTATCCGTTGTTGGCCGACTAGTTTATACGTATTTATGGTCGTGATTGAATAAGAGAGATTATTAATTGGTTGGTAAACGAAGAATTTAATAGTATTTGTTATAACGAGTTTACATCACATAACTATAGACTATAGTCAACAATGTAATGAATGAAGGTTTTAAGTTTCAGTTTCACGCATGACAAACACACACACCTAGTTGGACCCTAACGGTGTTGCACTAGTTTTATATTTTCCTTTTGTCTTGATAAAGACACTCGTGTAATCACCGGCACGGCAGATGGTAGGACCCATTATGTACAGCCTGTTTTTTCTTTACTGGCCAATCTGCTCCGTTGGATGGATCTACTCATTTGATTTGCATCTTATATTTTTCTTTTTATCTTTACATAGTCGCTTGATGATGCGGTTGTTTTAGTGGATAGCCGGACCCACTACACCACCCGGTTCGTTTGTGGGCTCAATGGAAAAGAAAAAAAGCTGCAATTTGTTTGGTTTGGGAAAATCTAAACCAATTTAATTTCCCATTTTTGGCTTACAGAAGAGGTAATAGGATGATAAATGAGCATCAATTTTCAACGCATGTTAAACTATTATGCTATATTCTTTTTCTTCTTCTTATATTCTCGTGTGGATTAGTGATGGTTTGCTACCTTTATACTACTTTTTGTCTCAACACTTCTATTTTAGAATATTAGGCTTGGAATGTGAATTCACAAAAGATGAAATAACCATAATTGTTAATCAATTGAGTTGTATTTAGATCAATCAAATCATATAAAATATATTAATTCTCGCATGAAGATTAATAAAGAAAGATTAATGATTGAGGAGAAGACACATGGGACAAAAGAGGAAAAGAGAATGCGAGGAACATGTCGCATGTGCTGAAGCTTATGTCATACCGACAATCTGGAAGCATCTTGTTCACTCAAAGGCTCCTCCTTTGTATAGTAGATGTGATTTCTTCCTCCAAATTACCATGATTAGTTGCCTTAAATTAAATACTTCAGTAAGGAGTGGATTTAATTGTTTTATGACTTTTTGTCACATTTGGTTGAATTTTAATGTAGGGTATTTAACTAGAAAATGTAGACACACACTCTATTAAATTGGCATATATGAACGATATTTGGATCTTTAATATTGCATGTGAAGAATAATACTTTATTTTATTTTGTCAAAAGTAAAGAACAATAATACTACGCGTTCACATCACGTGAACTATTCCATGAAGATTCATAAAATCATAGAAAATCATATAGTAATACATATACTGTACGATTTATATGAAAATGTTTATTGAATAAACTCAGGTTATTGATCAATTAATGAACTTCATATTATGAGCTACACAACGATTTGCATGGTTACCAGTACTCATAACAATAGTTATGATATGTATTCTTGTATGTGTTGATGAGATTATTTCCCTTGAATTGAAAAAGGAAAAAAATCTGAAAGAAGATAAGTTTAGCTTAATTGTTGTCACACTCAACTGTTTGTCTACAAGTATTTTTACGAAAAATAGGGGGAATTATATCCTTAATTTCCTCAGAAGAGAAGAAAAAGATAAGAGGCTGACAAAATAATAAATAAAAAAATATATAAATGGGACTTTGGTTGTCTCAATCAAGGTATTTATAATGTTGTTTCCCAAAATAATAAAATTTACCGTTAAAAAATTCTATCATTGGATGTTTGGTTCACATAGTAGAGAGAGCCTTGACCACATTCCTCCCACTAACTCTTATCTTACAAGACTGCCCCCAATCTCACTAACAAAACCACTTCAATAACCGGATGGGTTTGAGAGAAAGAATTCCACTGACCGATAAAAACTATTGACAATACCATCAAACCTTAGAAAGCTATGTGTATTAAAATATTTTTAATTATATAACAAAAAATAAATGTATGATTAATTTGGAAATTTTGATGGGAACATAGTCCAAACCGGGTTTTATTGTTTTTTTTGTAACATAAATAACCGGGTTTTATTGTTAATATGGTTAGATTCGGTTAACTAAGAGGATGATTGTTAATATTGTTAAGAGGGTGGTTTGGTAAATATAAAATGTGGGTGGTGGTGAGAATCTTCTTCTTGACTCCTGCGTCTTTTGTATTCTCTCATTTATTAAGTTACAGACTGTTACGCCAAGGAAGAAAATAAAAGAAGTGAAAGTTGTCAGAAGAAGCTCTCTCTCTATCTCTCAAGAGCTTCACATTCTATATATCTTCTAGAGATATTAAAAAAAAGGGAAAAGCTCTTCTTCAATTTTGGGCAAAAAAGAAAGATTGCATTTTTATTGCAAAAAAACACCATTGTCTTCACGACACAGGTATTCTGATTTCAGACATGCATTTAAGTAAGCAAATCTCAGTTTCCCTTGTCTGCGAAACAACTATAGTAAATAAAATTTTGGATAGTGATTTCAATGCTGGATCGGCTTTGTCATAAGCTCGAATATGTTTTTCTTATTTATTTGCTTTAGTTTCTGCAATTTTTTTAGCATAATTCTTCAACGTGTTCAAGAGATTTAAAGTTAGTCAGATTTTGGATATTTTTTTTTTTTACGGTTTTAGTGTTTTGTGTCAGATCTGAGAATCATCGGTTTCAATTTCTAGCGTTTTAATTGTTTAGATAGTGTTATGGAGCTGCCTTTCATCCTTATTATTATTGTTGAGTTGAAGTCTGTTTAGCTATTTTTGGGTTATGTTTTTTTTTTGTTGTCTTATTGGTTTCAGTCTTAAAGTTTGGTAAATCTTTTTAGTGCTCTTACATTTTAATTACATTCTATACTCTCATGAATATTAACAAATGTTTCATTGATTAGCAATCCCATTCCATTCCTATTCTTTTCTTCTTTGTTCCTCAGGTTTCTCTGGATTTGAGATTGTTATAGAGGTAATCTCTATAATCTGTTGAAGGATTCACATTTTGGTCTATAGGAAGAGAAGTTTTCACTGTGTGAAGTGAAAAAAAAATGAAGGGTGATAGTATTCTTGACTATGCTATATTCGAGCTTTCGCATAAACATTCACGGTGAGTAAAAATCTAAATCCTCCGAGTGGAATGTTCTGTATTGATTGATTATGCTTTTTATGTTGTTTGATGATATTTTATTTTATTTGTGGTGTGTTTATACAGATGCGAACTGTTTGTATCGAGTAATGGAGAAACAGAGAAACTGGCTTCAGGACTGATCCAACCTTTTGTGAATCATCTGAGTGTTCTTGCAACACAATCATTGTTTAGAGCTGAAGTAGAAAAAAGCCAAAATGGGAAATCTTGGTTCACAAGAAGAACACTCGAGAGGTATTTTACACAACATTTTGCTTTTGTCTTTTCAGTTTTAACACGCAAAATAGCTTAATAATATGTTCCTTGGACCTTCCTTGTTTTTAGGTTTGTTCAATTTGTTAATGGTCCAGAAGTTTTGGAAAGAGTCGGTACGATTGATTTGGAGATGTCACAGTTGGAAGCAGCTCGGACATTATATTCTCAGGGTCTGTTACTCATTTTTTTCTATCAACTTTTTTAAATTTTAGGACCAAACCTGGTCTTAATTTTATTTTATCATGTGTTTCAGATGATGGAGGCGTAACGGATGCTACAAAGTAAGTCAAGCTCTCTTGTCAATGGGGCGTTCTGAAATGGTTTTGCTGATTGCTTTGCTTTACTGTGTCTGTTCTACAGGAAGGAGCTTTCAAGAGCTATTGATTTAAGACTTGAGGCAATCAAGAAGGACTTAACCACAGCGATTACTCAAGCCTCAGCTAATGGTTTTGATCCTCAAACTGTCTCTGATCTCCAACGTTTTGCTGATACATTCGGCGCTCATCTTTTGAAGTAAGCACTTTTTTTCTTGATAATTCACTTTCTTACTTTCTGTTTTAAAAGTTGATCCGAACATTATTTTGTTTATCAGCGAAGCATGCGGAAAATTTATATCATTATGTCAAAGAAGACCAGACCTGATCAAGAAAAACTTGACTACCAATACACAAGCATCAGTCAATGAAACAAACATCAGTCAAGTTCAACGTAGTAAGACTGAAGAAGAGGTGAAAAAAGATGAGAGTGTGGATGAATCCTCCACGGTTAAGACCACTCAACATACAAGGAGGCTCAGCGTGCAAGACAGGATTAATCTCTTTGAGAGCAAAAAGACGGAAGATTCAAACTCTGCAGGACACAAACCGGTGGTTGTTGCTAAATCCACCACAGAGTTGAGGAGACTTTCCTCTGATGTCTCATCAGCTGCTCCTGTTGTATTCCCTCAGAAATCTGTCTTGAGAAGATGGAGTGTTGTTAGTGACATGAGCTTTGATTTTACATCGGATAACAAGAAGTCTGACGGTAGTGGCAACGAAGAAGGTCCCTTGAGTAGACCATCGTCTGGTAATCCTGATGCCACTGTGCCAAGCGAGCCTGAAGAGAACAGTAAAAAGGATGATGTTGATGATGTGTCTTCTACTAAATGTGATGAAAACCAGTCTGATGGTGATGATTTGAGGCAGCAGGAAGAGGAGAGATATGCTTCCAAGCCCCACAATGTGGCACAACCATCAGTTATGTTTCCTCGACATTCGCGGTCTCGATCAGCCCATATAGGAGATGGTATTGATTTCAAAAGTGATGAACTTCAACCACAAAGCCGGAAGAAAGAGGTGATATTATCAGACAAGCAACCTGCCTTAACAATCTTGACAAAACCAGTTTCTGCAGGTTAGTTTAACTAAATCTAGATAAACATTTAAAAGTCAACGTTTTAAATACTAAAATTGATAGATTTTAACTGTACTTCTCCAGGGTCTGGACAGAGACACATATCATCTGGTGTAGAGAATGATCTTGAGGTTAATCTTGTGAATACAGATTCAGCTGCTGGAAAAATCAACAGTAGTAGAGTTCGTGCAACATCCGTGGATCATATGCAGAGAACAAGAAGCTCTCAAGAGGTTAACGATGTGTTGAAAATGAAGGCAAATGACCTTGAGAAGATTTTCGCGGAGCATAAACGACGGGGTGTTCGTGAAGATCAATCAGCTGGTGATGTAAAAGACAACAAGAATGTTGTAATGCATCGGAATGTATCTGATTTAAGCTATTCAGATGATGCCAAAGGCAAGTTATATGAGATTTATATGAAGAAAAGGGATGCGAAGCTGAGAGAAGAATGGAGTTCAAAAGAAGCTAAGTTGAAGTCAATGCAAGAAGCTCTTGAGAGAAGTAGAACCGAGATGAAGGCTAAGTTTTCTGCTGCATCCGAGAAGAGACAGGATTCTATATCAAGTACACGTCAACGTGCAGAGAAACTTAGATCTTTTAATACTCGGTCAAGTATGAAGAAGTTTCAGGTAATCAAAAATCATTTAGTTACTATGATTGTAACAAGATATTGTTTTACTATTTGGTTAACTCTTTTCATTCTTGTATAGCATCCTATAAGCTCATTACAGAGCGAAGAAGAAGACGTGAAAGATAAGCCAGTCACTGGAAAGAGTGCTTCCAGGAGCTCTCAAGTTAGGAAGGCCCCATCACCAAACCGGAGCTCTCGAGTCTCAAAACCATCAGGTAAAGTTTCAAACACTAACATTGCTCCCGGAAGAGGGAGAAGAACAACAGAGGTTAATCCGGTTGCACAATCTTCTATTCCCAATTTCTCTGATCTTAAGAAAGAAAACACAAAACCATCTTCTCTACCTGTCAGAAACCCTCCTATGATGCGAACACAGGTGAGAAGTGGTAACAAGAAGACTACAAAGGAAGATATACCGTCTCCTGTTAAGCCCCGGAGACCGAGATCACTAAGGAAAAGCTTCTCTGCCAACATAGAGTTCACTGAACTTACAACTCTCTACTCTGATGAGATGCTGAACAAAGAGATGAATGAGAAACAGAACACTGACATTGATGACGCACCAGAGAACTTGAGGAATGAAGAGTTTGATGAAATTGAATCTGAGGCAGAAGAAGAAGTGAAACAAGTTGTGGAGAATCCTGTGAATGAAGAAGAGGAAGCTAGAGAAATAGTTGTGGATATTATTGATGAAAAGACTTCACTTAGTGACAAAGCTGAGAACTCCTCAGAGGATGATGAAAATGTCACTTGCGTGAGGTCAATCTCTCAGGTAGACTTACCGATGAACACTACTCTACCTTCACCCTTCCAGCATCACCTCACCTCGTTAATGGATTCACCTAGTGAGAGTCCCCTCTCATGGAACTCAAACTTGCAACACGCTTTCTCTTATCCTCACGAGCATTCAGATGCTGATGCTTCAATGGATTACTCTCCCATGGGAAGTCCTGCTTCTTGGAGTTCAAGAATGAGAAAGAAATGGGGAACAACAACTCAGAGTCCTACTATTGTTTCAAACTCGTCACCACTCCACTCTCGGAAAGATTTAGCAAAAGGGATCAAACGTTTGCTTAAGTTTGGAAAGAAAACTCGTGCAGCTGATAGTCTGATGGATTGGGTTTCTGTAACAACATCTGAAGGTGATGATGACTTTGCTTATCGATCATCTGATGAGTTAAGGAAAACAAGAATGGCATCTTCGCAGAGTCAGCATTCTGAAGATGAACAAGGTATACAAACTGTTTACTTTTTCTTTTGTTGTCTTAAATGGTTTCATGAAAGTTATCTGGTCATAGCTTTGTGTGTTGTGTGTGTTCAGGGAGCTTTAAAGCGAAAGATGGCGAGTTTAAGAAATCATTCTTCTCACTCTCTACATTCCGTAGCAAAGGAAACGACTCGAAGCCAAGATAACAGGAAAAAAAAAGAACAAAACCAATCTGTGTTTTCATTTACAACAACACAAGTACAAAGTTTGTAATGTTGAAACAGAGTTACAGTCCTTGATATGATTTGAGTACATTATTGTTGTTTTTTTTTAATATTTAAATGAGATAAACATATTTTTGAAACACTGAAAAGTATATATAAATCTTCCCAACAGAGTTGTTTTTAATCCAACATAGCTTATGAATGTTAAAACAGATATCTTTTGATCATATAACAACAACACAGTTTTTGTTTCCGTACACATCACAACAAAGTAGTTAAATAAGAAGGCAAGTTAAAGAAGTCTACAATCATTCTTCATGTCCTAATCTTCAAAGTCTTCAAGACAGAAGCTGTAGTTAAACGACCGTTGCATCTTCAAAACAAGAGTAAAAAAGGTTCTCAGGTCATATTTCATAATCTCCAAACATTGAACACAAGATATACTATGGAAACAAGTTACCTTGGGATTCACTCAAAACCAGTTGCATCTTCTCTAAACTAGAACTACCTCGAAAGAGGTCAATGCGCCACTTGGACCGTAGATAACTACTACTGATTTGATATTCCTTCATATCAAGTCCTACGAAAGTTACTGATAAGAAATTTATTTTCTTCACCACCATCTTGATTCCAACATCAAAAAACAATAAAAACAAATCACATGTCAGAATATGAACTTATAAAAGGGCTATTAAAGTAATTACTTACTTCCACTCCATCGTTTATACATTTTTCGCCAACAGCATACGGATGGCGAAAGAAAAACAACATGGTTGACTGGAGAATCAAACTCCATTGCTGAGAATGTTTTATAGCACGTAGCACCAGAAAAACAAAGAACGTGTAGATCATGGATCCGAATACGCCTAGCATTAGGTACACGGGAACAATTGCTACTACATCTGCTATCACAGCAATTAGGAAGACTGTGATCCTCATAGTGTTCATTATAGAGTCTGTGTCTTTCAGTGACAAGACAAGAGACATCTCTAGCCTGTAAGCATACACCTATAGAATACAGAACCATAACTTAAAATAGTTTCCAAAGGAAAGTTCATTAATATCAAACTTTTTTTTTGAGTTTTTACCATAAAATGTAGTAGATCTGAGCAGTTGATTCGGGTTGTCTTATTTACCCTTAGTTGTAGCCGAGATGAGGTGCTAATTCGGGTTGTGTCATCCTTTGATGTCTGCTCGAAGATGCTCAAAAACGACAAGGCATCAGTCTCCGGAAGGAAGCGAGCTAAATCTCCTAGCTCAATGAAGCTGAAACAACCCAAGGATTGTATGTTAGTGGTCAGATCTGATGTAACATTGGCCCTGGTCCCAAAAACTTTCAGAGGTTTTTTACATAAGTATATGCCTCCAAATTATTTTTAAAAAAATTATAATGCTTATAGTCCTCAAGTTCTCACGTATAATGATCAGACACAGGAAGAAAAGAAAAACATTATGAGTGGGATCATTTACTCTGAACCGGGCTTCGCTACGTTTAGGAAGACTTCCTTTGCTGCAACTCTAGCCTCAGACTCATTTTGGATCTTCAAAGTTAAGCCGTTTTTGACCCTTCTCTTCATGCTCCACGCTAAGGTTTTCTCAGGATTTACCAAGTGCTTAACTTCGATCCAAGAACAACGGCCTGAGAGTGCTTCAGTGATGTACCAGTAGAAGAGAAGCTCCTTGATCTTCTCTTGGTACCTCGTGGGGTGAAATTTTGCTGTGATGATCATGAAAGCGATTGGATAGATGAACCACACCATGGCGCAGATAACATTATCGATTGTTTCATCCAAGAACGTATTAATCACTACCATTGCTCAAAACCTGTGAAATGTGTTGTGTTTTGCTTCTCTGTCTCTTAGATTCCTTTCTTCTTTAGGGTTTCTCTCTTCACAGAGCTAGGTTTGAGACTTGAGGGAGTGATTAATGAGGGTAGTTGGCTTCTAGTTAATGAACCACTATCCATCTTTCCCTTTTTAGAAAGGGATTTTAATGACAAAAAAACCTTCGAATATATATTTCCTAAACAAGTTGATTGGTTTACTGTGATAATTTCTACTGTAATTAAGATATAAAAACACGTTTACAACTCAAGAAATGACATTAAGTTACAAATCAAAGTTGTGTTTAGAAAGAAAAAGAAGTACTACTCGATATTTAAGTTAGATTATGATTACATACTTTAGTAGAAAACAAAAACAAATACTTAAATTAGTCAAAGAGCATGGAAACGTTAATCTATAAACTCAGTTTCTAACATATATATATATATATATATATATATATATATATATATATTGAGCTTACTATACTATAGCCTAAGTTCCAAATCTTTCGAACACTGGCTTTCTTCTTTAATCTCCATAGAAATATCATTATCGCCTTTTGGTATGGGGTGGGACATGGTTTGACCAAAATCATTCTCCGGTTGCTTTGACGACTCCCCTGCTTCAAGTGGTTGACCATGTGTAGTTTTTGGCTTGGGAGGATAATGATGATGATCCGCATTTTGGTTAACTTGGTATGGAGCTCTAGTCACTGCTCTGTAATTGTAATAAAAATGAAAATCACATGGCTGGTGAGTATACAAGGATCATTTAGGAGAACATATAGTTAAATAAATCATTAACTTTTGTAGTAACTGGAGGAACATTAGAACATAAAGCAAGAAAGAACATTAAAAAGTATGGTCAAGTTAATTGGTTTTTACCTGTCTTTCCGTTTAGCAAAGAATCGATGAAGAGAAGCTCTACGTGCTATACGTTCCACGACCTGGTTTTGTTCTTGTTGCTGTTGATTGATATCCGCAGAATTTGTGGGCTCGTTGAGATCAGGGAGAACCATGTTGTTTTTGTTGTTGTTTTCGACTTTGGTTTGTGTCTGAATGTTAATATCAGTCACAGGCTTGGCTTGCTTAGCCACTTCCATTATCTCTTTAGCTTTGTTTGCGGGGAATTGGTTGTATACTAAAACTTGACCTCCAAAGAATATGGTCAGCTGCGAACTTTCTGGCTCTGATGATTTACTGTAAACCAAAACGCCGATTTTAAAACAATACCATTTTAAAAACCGGGATCAACCGGATTTTCCATTCTCTAATCTCCCTTCCAATAACAAGAAAGCAATCAAAAGAACAGTAGTATATACCTGAGGTTGGTATCTTTGTTGGCTTTGCCTCCAGATGAGGGAGAAGGTTCGCCTTTTGAAACCTTCTGAAAGAAGCCGAGGGATTTGTTTCCCAAATCTGCCTTATGCATCGTAATTTCTTTCCCTAATAAAAAAAATACAGAACACTCTTGTTAGGCTGTTGGCGTTATTTGAATAAATCCTAAAAAAGTAAAACTAAATAACTCCTTTTTAGAAAAAAAAAAAAAATTAAAATCTACTTCTCAGGGAGATACAACATCTTGTCTAAGAGATGCATAAACTGTATTATAATCTTCATAATATGACAAGAGAAAGTTATTTCAAGGAACTGACTTACAAATAAAGAAACAAAAAAACAGAACTAAAGATTCAGTCTTCTATTACAAGTGATGATGACCGTGAGAGAGGGAGGAGATAAAGTACCTAGTGAATCGGAGTTTCCAGGCAAGGAAACGGGCTTTCCGACAAAACCAAGATCTATATGACCGAAACTACCCTTCTCCTTCAAGTAACGGCTGAGCAAACTACACTTCCGGGTAAAATTGGACTTCTCCAGAGGTTGTGCCTTCGCGTTTTCATTTCTTGACATCTTGTAAAAATGATAAGGAGAAACTCTCCAGAGTCCTTTTCTTTTATTTTCTTCGTTTTAATATGTTTTATTTGTTACTTGCGTGGATTGCGCGTAAAATAGAAGAGTACAAGAGGTTATGTTTGGAGCTAGCGCATGTTTTTATCATGTTCTCATTTAATCTGACTTTAAATAGCCTCCAATAAAATAAAGGGAAATTTGATAATATCTCACTCTATTTTCTTACTATAAATTTAATATTTTCTTCGATATAGTTATTTGGCAAATTAACCCTAAAATAAACTAAAGAAAGAAAAAATGGAATGTTTTGTTTTACTTTCAATATGTAATGTAATTACAAAATTTGTTTACATGATTTTATTAAATAACTGCTACGATTAATACATTGTGGTATCTTTTTTTGATTGATAAGTAAAAAAATGTTAGGTATACTACGTTGTTAATAGGTAATTAATATCTCTCGTGAGAAGGTAAGGAAATTCTTATGCAAAAAATGGTAAGGAATTTTCACACTACGTTATTCGCAGCAATAACGTTAATCATTCATCGTTTATTTATTTAATTTCTGAGTTGTATAACAAATCTATCGCCTATCTTATCATTAAAATCTCTTCACCTTTTTTATTTGAGTTTGGTATAGTTTTATTCTAAGTGGCAAATTTATATGTAAATTTTGATTCAATTTATTATTCGTGGTGATTCTAACCGAAAAATCTAAATATCCGTAACTCTACGAAACAAAATAAATAATTATAAATAATATCCGTAATTATATATGCACATATATATACATTTAAAGAATTTATATATATATATATATATATAACTTATACATATTATATTTTATATAAGTTTTATATTTTCTTGTTTATTAAATTTATGATATTAGTTATACGAAACAAATTGGATTACTAATACCTTTAAAGATCTGGATATTCGATTGTGTCACCCAAACTCACCCTTATAAATCTACTAGATTTTGATCCGCGCTTGAAAGCGCGGAAATTTTTATGATTAAAAATTTATATAATTGAGTTTTTCTTAGTTTAAAGAATATTTTGATATAAAATCAGTTCACCAAAATTTGTGGTGATGATTATTTTCATTAGTTTTTAGTTTCAGTTTTTTTTTTAGGTTTTGGTTTTTAGGTTAAGTTTCTACTTTTTATTTTCAGTTTTTGGTTTAGGTTTTTAATTTTTAAACCCGCTGAGTTAGTTTGAACTAATATTACCAACAAACAAATCTCAAATAATCGAACATCTAATTCAAAGCTGAAAAGATGACAACAAATTTTTTTAAAAAAATTTGAAATAGTTTGTTTTGTAAATAAACAAAGCAAAAAATATAACATGTGTTTTCAGCTTTTGGTTTTGGATTTTAGTTTTTAGATTTGGTTTTTGGTCATTTTTTTAATCAGTAAATTATTTAAGAAAAAAAATAAATTATTTAAAAGTTACCATTGAAATTTGTCAAAATAAAGTGATTGTTATTTAAAATAAAAAAAAATATATTAACATGTTTTAAAGTACATGATTTAAATAAATGATTAATAATAGATAATTTTGTTTTGTTAAAAATATTAAATACCTTTTGAGTCTGCAAATAATAATTGATTTTTTGATCTTTTAAGGTGAAAAGTTTATTCAATGTTTTTAGAGTTTTTTTCTTAATACTAAGCCCAAAAACCAAACTATATAATTTGTTCAAAAAATAAAAGTAAGCACAAGACTATATTCCAAAAAAAACAACTGGTTTAATTTAAGTATAATTAGTAGATTTCCATATTCCAATTTTGATGATATATATTCTTTTAGAACATTCCATATTTGTAGGAGAAAATATGTGTTTTCGGTATACACATAGATACCTGCCATATTTTGAAGGTAATTTACATTAAGGTCGTCTCTTTACATTAATTGTGTTGGTTTAATTTAAGTAATACGGTTTAATCAATTATATGACTTATATTATTTGTAACATTCTATAAAATGTCCAAATTTAAATGACAACTTATATCATTAGATAAAAAGAATGACTCTATTTTAATAGAGTAGATATATGGACGGTGAGATTCTAAAACTGGTTTTTCTAGTTAGAAATTCCCACATGTTTTCCTTGCGCGTAAAGATAAGAGTAATAAAGAACCGACGACAAACGTTACTAAACCGCCGTTAACCAATCTGTTACGAATCGCTAAAGGACCCCCACACGGCCACACCCCTCCACTGATGCTCTTATTTACAAAAATGCCCTTTCACAAGAACTCATCTTAACTAATCTGTTAAGTAGTCGTGGTGGCATGGCATCATCGTAGTTAGAACTCACATTCTTAAGCTTTTCCAACGAATGCGAAACTAGTTAACTTTAACGACGTTTGAAATTGAATAGTATGTGGCGCCTAAGGGGGCCTACCCCTATAGCCCATCCACGAAGTTTCGTGAAAGAAGCATACACTTCTTGTCTGAGATCCGACAGGAACTTTAAAACACGTGATTTTAAATACTCTGATACGTTAAGATTGCGACAAGTTGAGCAATCCGTCCGACGCACTGGCAATAGTACGGTGTGATTCGCGTGTTTTCTCCACTTCATATAGAGAGAAAGAGAGAGAGCAGATATTTTGATCCCACCACCTAATGAAGAATTGGTCAACAACTTAATCAATGGCCTCTTTCACGGATACAATAGTCAATACGTTGTTGCTTCGCAATTTACGACTCGTTACAAAAACGTGTTTGGGAAAGTGATGAAAAGACATAATCTGACACCTTTCACTAAATTCAAACCAAAAATCTTTCTTTTTTTTCTTGGCATTAGGCATGCAAGTTGGTCGTTCATAAAAAAACAAACCTAAAAGCCTTTTAAAGGCTTTTCCACTTTTTAAATCCTGTGAACACTCATCCTTAGAAGCACAAGCTTTATATCACTAGTATCAACTTTATGTTTGAAATGGGCTTGGGCTGAAATTTCATAATTTGTTATGTTTGAGAAGGAGTATCTCTATGCTTGGGCCAAATTAACCCATAACTTACTGTTACATTTTTTTTTTCTTTTTTAACACAAACTTACTGTTACATAAAATTAAATGTTACTAAACTTAAATCTCTGTTCCATTTTGGGACAAAATTATATGGCTTGAGGATATGATTAAACTAGGTATCTTAGCCAGAGTTCTTCTTAACTTATGTTTTGATATTTTTTTTGTTTTTATTTTTTTTACACTTTTCAAATAAAAAACGGTTCTTAAATTTTTTTATTTAAAATATGATTTTTAATTTTTCATAGTTAAAATCTAAAAAAAAAGTTAAGAACTCTCTCTTAACCGAAATTAAAAATCTCAGTTAAGAGATTGGCTTAATGATAGTCTTACTAGTCAAGAATTCGATTTTAAATATTTGGAGAAAGCCAGTCGAAGAAAAACGGCACCCCAACTCGAACGTTTTTTAAAGTTAGATGCAGTCAAGATTTCATCTTATTTTAAATTGTAATTGTTTAACTAGTGCTATGTTAACTCTAGCAAGTAGCTAGTGGTTATTACGTATGGGTTAGGAATCGGGACAGAAGAATCCAAGAGAAGAGAATGGGGAAAAAAATCGAGAGCTTATATGGTTTTTCTTCATCCTAAGAGAATATGTTTCCTTTGGTAATTCATTTCAAGATTTTACTTGTCTCTTACAAACTAACTAAATCAAATGCAGAAAGAATGTAATAATGAATATGCGGTATTATTAATCTTTATAAGTTAAAGGTTATCCACCTTAAAATTACACAAACGCATGCGCACATGTCTGTGTTCATGCATGTATGTCTCAAGAACATGTTTGGTTCAATGGACCCAAGCGGCACACAGAACAAATCATGCAAAAATAAAAGGTATACATTACATGTGCAGATGCACCAAAATATTTCCTCAAATATAAGAGACTCGTTTCATTATTTCTTTTGACATTTCTAGACAAGTGTTTGAATCTGCATAGTTGATAAAACCAAGTATCTCACGTAAGTTTTTAGGAAAAAGAAACATAAAAGCTTAAGTGATTCACTTGTGTTGTCTTAGTTACCTTTGCTGTTGAGAGGTTATTGCAAGAGCTTGAAGGACAAAAGTTGAATCAGATCTCAAGAACTATGACTGTAGTCAAAATAAGATTGAATCAGTTCTTGCTTCTTTTTGAGTTTTAGTAAAACTAATGAGGATTTGATGGAAACTCACAGTCAGAATCTGTTTTGACCCATTTATGTTTGTCACTACTGCTTCTTCTTTCGTTGGTTTCTTCTTCCTCTTCTTCACTCTTCAAAGATAGCTGTTTCTTGTCTTGCAAGTTTGTCTTTGTTGTCGATGAAGTTGGTTTTGAGGAGGCTTGAGCGTTAATTTTCTTATGTAGCATCATCTTCAACAACTGTAAACTTATTTTGATCAGAAACTGATACTTTAAAAAAATCTTTGAATCAAATTTCTATATTGTTTTACCTTCTCCATTCTCGATTCTTGAAGCGTGTCTCTCAAGCTAGGGTTTGGTGATGTAGAAAATCCATCTGAGCAGACAAAGATCTTCTTGAAAAGATAAGAGACAGACTTCTTGCTTATGTCTGTCTTCTTCTTACTTTCTATAGATATCTCTTTGCATCTACCTAATATAGCGTTAATTGTTCTCTCCATGTTCTCATCCTTATTCTCTTCAGATGAATCCACAACAGCACATAGCGCATTGCTGATTCGCCTCTCGACCTCTAAACTCGATGGACAATTCAAGAATCTATCCAAAGGAAGATTTTTCATGAGCTCTCTATTGACATCAGACTTCCTTTTCTTGGTTCTTGACAAGAGCTTTATCAACTCCTTTTGCAACTTCCCAACCTCCTCGGGAGTAAAATCCTCAATATCATCAGATGAAGAAGACTCTTCTGCTTGCTCGGGTTGCGAGATAGACTCCTTCTCTTCTTGGATCTCTTCTTGAACATTCTTACTCTTGGTGTCACTCACACCGTTGCTTGTTGAACCAAAAGTTCCAATAGCGAGCAGCGCGTGTGGCCAGTCGCTAAACTCCTCTCTAGGCTCTTGCTTCACGTGATCTTGAAAACAAGAATCAAGACAGGGAACAAAATTTAGCGGACCAATTAAATTCAGAAGAAGCAAAGACAAGAATCTTGTTAAAATAAGATCCAAAAAACAAGAATAATTAGGACATAAAATTCTAAAGAGACAAGACTCTTTGGGGCATTACTTTGCACATATTCCTAGCAGACAACAGAGTCTTGAAGTTAAGATTTAATGAAAGTAAGAGCTTACGAGATGAAGCAGAGGAAGTGCTTGTTCTGTTATGATTCCGCATCCACCCGAATAACTGAATACAACAAGCAAAAAAAATCAGAAACCACATGAGAAAATAATTAATGAAACCTATATCATGTATATATCTGAATATAAATACAAAGGATCATAAGACTAACCTTCATGGTTTTTTTTTTTTGACGTTCTGTGACAAAGATTGAATTTATAAATGTATGAACTAAGTTGTTTGGTGAATAGAGATTGGTTAATATAGAGATAGAATGGGAGAGAGATTCAGACAACTTGGAGTAAGATTGATGAATTTGATGGTGTTCAAGTTCCAAACTTTGACTACTTAAAGGAAAGAATTTCAAGTTAAAAAAATATACTGCTTTTTGTAAATTTGTAATCTTGTGTTCAGATGTTATCTCACTATTAGCTTCTTTATACAACTCACAAACTTATATTAAAGCACATATCCCCACGAGTCCACCAACATTCTTCTACATTTTACTACGGCCCACAGATTAACTAAGATTAATTAACCTTTAAAAGAAAATTAACCCTAAAAGACTTTAATTAATTATATATACCCATCATGTATTGGAGAGAACGTCACGCCTTCGATCTCGGCTCATACACCGCGGAGCAACCTTGGAGATATGTAGAAGTTAGACTACATTTTGATCTGTTTTCACCTGTTGAAGTTCTAAGAACGAGAAAATAAATTGAATCCCTAGAAATGAATAACAGTGAATGGTTACTATGGTGACACACGGAAAGGGTACTCCTGGATTTTGTTATTTACTTATAAACTTTTGTGTCTAGTTTACATAAATGTATGTTGGTGTTGTGATCCGATATAGAAGTTGCCTTATAGGGGTACATTCCCATTTTCACTGTCAATATGAGCACATGCAAAACATTAGATATCAAAGATATATTATAGTCATTGTTATCGGTTGAGACTACAATAGAACCTCTATAAATTAATACTCGATAAATTAATATACACTAAATATCTTTATAAAATAATATAATTTTATAGTCTCAAATTGAGTTTTTAGTTCGATTAGTATATCGATAAATTAATACCTCTCTAAATTAATAAAAAATAAAATTTTGGTGTACTCCCAACATTATTAATTTATAGAGGTTTCACTGTATAAAACTTATATTAATATAATTTATGTTTTATCAATATTATAGGAATACAAATTATATTATATTTACGTAATACAATATGCCCCATACGTGACAAAATTGAGCATACGAAGTGTTTGCACACTTTGAATTGAAAGAATTTACTTCCTCTTGATTGTAGAGGAGAGGAGGCCACTATAGAACAACTTACTTGACTATATATTATAGCTAATATTCAAGAATTAAGTTAATTATAGTTTATATTACATACTAGTATATTTTTCGAAGCAATATGGTTGGTTTTCAACAATGCATTTAACCTAGACGATTGAATTGGTACCAGCTCAGTGTCGTAACTCATAACATACAAATCAAACGTCAAACAATATAGAATAAAAGACAAGCCGTTTAAATCCAAGTTTAGTCATGTCTGCTATACATTGTATTATTGATCATCAATTATGTATCCACAATAGTCTTTGGATATTATGGAAAAACTATTAAACAATCGTAAAGTGATAAAAGTAGAGTGCATACAAATCTAAAGAAACAGAGTCAGAAAGAAAGAGCGAAAAAATAAATTAACGAAAATCCACGAAAAAAGCTCGTGTGATGTCCCCTTAACTCTTTAACCCCCTTCTGTATAAGGGCAAATACTGTCTTACAACTTTAGGGCAAGTGTCCTATATTTTAAAATATTGTACTCACATTAAAAAAGTTTTAAAACCATAAATGTACACTACTAGGCTACTAGCTAGTCACCATTGCAATTAGATTTTTAAAAAATTGATTACTGAGTAATTTTTGTTGAGATATTCAGTTTATAAAAGAGAAATTTACATCATGGGCAAGTGTGCGCTCGCTCTTTTTCGCGTCCCAGCTCACAATTCCCAAATTACCTTCTGTCATCCAATAAAACATAGCCACGTGACCATAACATTAATGGTAAATTAATGGAGCTATTTATACTGATGTTTTATAAAAGGAAAAAAAGAATGTACACGTGCCTTGACAACAGATGCTGCTTTGGTAATCTTCTGTCCGTCCTTTACCCAAAGAGGTTGGGTTGACTTTCAAACTGTTGTTCACTCAACAGGGCTTCTGGCACTTGTACGTCTTTCAAACTGTTGTTCACTCGATTTTCAGAGAATGAAATGGACAAAAAGATGGAGATTCACCTCAAATCCAATCCCGAATGATCCTTTTATTGGTAAACAATTAAGGAATTGGATTGACACTCTCAGAGGAGGAGGAGGAAGTGGCAGGGAACCCCAGCATCTTGGGACTGTGGTTTGATAAAAGATGAAAGAGGATTAGAAGATTAGTTTTAGTATCATTCTTTCAATGTATTTCTATCCATTGTTATTCATTGTACAAAAGTTTTTGAGTTAAATAAATTTAACATTCATCTAGAAGAAAAAATGGTGAATTCACATTGATATATTGATTTGATTGAAAACTTGGTCATGTATTTAAACCGAGTCATCTCATTATTAAAGTTTGATGTGCCTTTCTAAATCAATTATTATTTTTTCTTTGTATTTTGGTTGAGACATTTAGATAACTCTTGTGATCCTTATACCATATACTACTTACTATTTCTGTAGTTTCGGTTTGCAATCAATTCAAATATACATATTTATGTATATATACACACACACACACATATATATATATATATATATATATATATATATATATATATATATATATATATATATGTTAATGTATCCTTATTTATTTGATAAAGAAGGGTTTCTACTTAGGGTATGTAAATAATAAAATTAAAATATATCATCAACGTCCAATAGAATTGCATGTTACCGAATGAATTAACCTCATTGGATTAGCTAGCCAACATTTTCTTGGTGTCCATGAATCTTGTCTTTTACGTCAACTTGCTCTTCCACCTTCTTCTTCATCTCTTTTATAATTCCTAAGTACTATCCTCCAATTAATTATTTCTTAACAGTATCTTTAGCAAAAAAAAAAAAAAGATGAAATGAAACATTAATCCGAATGTTTGTAGCGACATTACACTGACACGCCCACACAATTGTTTTAAAAATAACTAACTTAATTAAGAATACGTTGGAACATTGGGACAAGAATTAGGATTCTGGGACCACTCTAATTAGCAGTGATTAATATGTGGTTCATATAGTTAATACGTTGCCTAAACTCTTGTGAATTGTGATTTAACACAAAATCTAGGGTGTTCTTTAGATGCCCTTTTGTGATTTCAAACAGTACACGTGTTAGGCATCTAAATTATAATTATTTGATTTTACTCCATTTTAGAAAACTTGGAAACATATATATGTATTGTTTTAGGTAGCTGCATGGTGTTTGTTGTTAATGTATGCTCTATCGTCACGCGATTCGTCAGCATGCAACTAGCTTATGGGTTAAGTATACCAACAACAAATATGGATAAATTCAAACAGAAATTATGTTTACTGGTGATTCGATGTTTAAAACCATTTGTTCAGATATGAAAAAAGAAATGAAACTCTTAAGTTTGGTTTATGTATTGGTTTTACTGTCACTGTTTCAGTTTAAGGCATAAAACCGGTTTAACTGGATTATACACAAAAATGTTTCCAAGATGGCATATGAAGCCAGTAGTGTATTGGTCCAAAGTCAAAACCCTACTCGTCATTATAGTCGTCAATTACAGAAAAGGGTTTAGTTTATTAATTAGCGAGTGAGGGAAAGAGAGAAAAGATCTCGAGATCACAAATTCACTAGAAACGAAGAAAGATGCAACAGGAAGAAGAAGAAAGGAGAAGCACGTGAGATTTTGTTAGAGACGAGGCATTTTTCCTCTCTTCCGTAAACGTCCCGGTAGCGTAACAGTAAAGTTTTCTATTTTTGGAAAGTTTTTTTTTTCTTACCCTTTTTAGTTATAACATTATTCTTTGCTATCAGAACCATAACAACAAGTTACCAGGCCGTTGCCCATCTAACTTACCTGGGCTAGGCCTGATTATGGATAAAGCGTGAAGAAAAAAATATGCTTATTAGCTTTGGGTCTATGCATATATTCTGAATTTCTGATATGTTTATGGTTGAAATGTGAATGATAGATATATCATGTGGTAATTGCTCTCTTCCCAAAATGTTATGATACCACTAAGGATAAATCCCAAAAACTTGAATGCAAATCCTTACCAATTACAATGTAAGTGACTATCAAATAGATCAAACTATAGGAAGAAATAAACTGTTTTATTTGTTTGACTAGAAGACTCATATATATAATACATACAGTTTAACTTGACTCCTTGTGACTTCACTCTCTTTAATGTCTGCTATAGATAGATGTGTAAACTCCTGAAACCTAGAAAAGCAAACGTTGAAGGGATATCACCATAATGAACTCGAGCTTAATTTCAAAAAGATGGTAAAAATTTGTTGTTGTTTACCAAGAAGATGAACGTAGCTTCGGATTTTGTATTGAAGTCCTTCAGTAGCGTGTCATATGTTGTAACATGTGAGGACCAGATGTCTGCGAAACCAATTGTTCTGAACTCGGTGATGGTCTTACCAGATGGTTTTGACCATTTGGGTTAATCATCACTTGTCTAATAGTTTCCTTAGAATTGCTTGCATTCGTATCAGGTTTTGAGGATTCCATCAACGCACGCACCTGGTGACCCAAAACAATAAAAACAAACTTGTGAGCTCCAAAAATTGGACTCTACACAGAAAGATGTCAAGGATTACCATTGCAAGTCGCTTCTTGTGGAGATCAGTTGGTACCTGCAATCAATAACTTTGAATCAGCACATCACACATACTATGGTCTTGGAGAGTTTTATAATTAAAATCACTTACGTTTTTTGTTTGGTGTTTATCCTCACTTGAGAATCCAGGAACTGTCAAGTGCAAGTTTTTCTCTGCATGAATTTTAAACCCAGCGAACAGTAAAATGAGAAACAATAACAGCTATAATGATCCAACAAATTAAACAGAGGTCAAGATGTACAAACCTAAGTGGAGTAATATATCCTTTGGTTCCAATATGGATGATTTACGATGCTTAGCCAAGCTACATGCAAATGAAGTCACCTGCAACCAATAATTATATAATTAGATAAGCTAGAGATAATTTGGCACGATCATGGAAAGTGAAAAAACTAAAAAAGTAGTTAATATAACTAAATAATTGACATTAGCTTCTGACCGAATCAATGAAGTCATCCGCTACCTCCAAAAGGAGGTCTTCAACATCAGGATCCAATTTAGCATGCGCATCCACCTGGAAAAGAATATACAACTGTATGAGACTTTACTTTCTTCATATAGAAACGAAGAAGAAGAAGAAAGAAAAAACAAGCCCAAGGCCCCAGTAGGACACTCACCTGCGAAACCAGATCCTGTATCTTTCTTTTGCCAAGAAGTTGATTTGTTGCTTCTGTTCCTTGGCTGGAACTACCACCTGGTGTTGTTGTACCTGACTGTGTCGCATCTGGTTGTGAACCTGTTAAGCTAACAGATTTCTGTCCTGCATGATTCGTCATCCTTGGAGATGGTTGTTGTTGATTTACTGACATTTGCTGCTGCTGCATCTGCTGTTGAGGTTGCTGCATCTGCTGGAGTTGTTGCTGTTGATGGGATTGACTCATTTGAGCCTGACCCATTTGTGATTGTTGCTGCTGCTGCTGTTGATGTATCATCTGTGATATTTGCTGCTGATTCAAAGACATGGGATTTTGATGTAACTGAGCAGTGGGCATTTGCTGCTGTAAGAGTAGAGCCTGCTGTCTTTGACTCGGTTGGAGCCGGTATGATTGTGAATTAGGACTGGTTATTCCCGACATCTGCTTCAGCCATTGCTGCTGCGCCAAGGAGTTTTGTATCATGCCAGCTTGTCCATTTTGGGCCAAACCCGGTAGCTGAGAATTCATGAATGCGAGAGAGGAAGGTGTCCTCTGCAGGCTCTGGACCTAAATAGTGGATTACAATCAGACAACTCTTTCTTTTTACTCTAAAACTGAATTCAACAGATCATAAATACACTCGTTCATCTACTAAACAAGGTTTTACAATACCTAGTAAACATACCAAAATTCAAGAATCATCAACAGATAGTGTATCTATCAGCCATAAAGGTAATAAAACCAGGAAGCAAATAAGACTTCTTTTTTTAAAACTCATACCTGAGGCGAAGTAAGAGCGTTTTGCTGAGACAACTGCTGTCGCATCTGCGCAGGGTTGATTCGCTGCTGCTGAGCATAGAGAGCAGGATTAGCTCTCATTTGCGAGCTCAAATTAAGTGAATTCATCACTCCCATTGCTTGCATCCCTGGTAACTGCTGTCCAGAACTTCCTGGATGAAACTGCCCACTTTGAATCATCCCAGGTTTCTGCCTCGGCTATAACATAAAAAAAAACCTCATTTGTCTCAGAATAAACAAAGTGACTTTACACTAGTTAACACTATTCACACTAAAAGAAAAACCATTGCAATCTAACAAGATACCAACCTTCACCTAAAGCAAACAATCTAAGAGCATGATCAACCCGGATTCTTAATTTGGGATTCTTAACTCATAATTTGACACTTTTTTTTTCACTTTTTGGATAAGAACCGGTTTTTGTATCTCTTATTTAAGAGAAGATTCTTATATCTCATTTATTAGTTAAAAGCTAAGAAACCGTTCTTAAAAGCTAAGAACCTCATCCTAAGAACCCGGTTTAATCATGGTCTAACAAGATACCAACAGGCACTATTACTACAGCTACCAAAACAAAAAGAAACATAATTTTACATCATGTCTGAACAAAGTAAAAAAAAAAAGTAAGAATGTTGAATATACCGAAGCAGCCAACAACTGGGACTGAATATTCATCTGAGCAGCTGCTCCAGCACCACCATTAAGCATAGGCAAGTGACCACTTTGACCAACCAAAGCCGCAGCCGCCCTAGACAAATTAGCGTTACCCATCTGCTGACCCTGCTGCTGAACAGAACCCGCCCCACCTCCAAAATTCATCGTCCCGTACATCCCTGCCTGCTGCCTCAAAACGTTACCGTATTGCCCCCCCTGCTGCTGCTGCTGCTGAATTTGGTTAAGACGAGAAACGGAAGGAGACCGCTGAAGAGACTGAGCTATATGGTAATTCGACATTGGAATCTGCTGCTGCTGCTGCGGATTCATATGTTGTTGTTGGAGAATCTGTTGTTGTTGCTGTTGTGATAGTTGCGGAACCGAGATTTGTTGCATAATTTGCTGATCTAATGGAGATGGGATCTGAGCTCCAACGGATGAGTTCTGTTGAGGATTGTTGTTTTGGATTAGGGCTTCGGTTGATGTTGTTGTTGTTGGTGGTGGTAGTGACGTCATCGCTGGAGAAGCTGCTGAATTGGGGATTGGAGGTGACATGAGTTGTTGTTGTTGTTGAGATGAGGAGGGTGGAGGTGCGGAGGAGGGAGGGGAAGGTTCCATTGGATTGGGAGATTGGAGAGACTTTGGTGATGGAATAGCTTCCGCCATTAGAAAATCAATCAGCTTGATTGAAGGGTTTTTGTTCGATTTTCTCAGGAATCGGGGAATTTTTTCCCAGAAAATATCCTCTTTCCTTTTTTTTGTTTGTTTAATTTAATTCAAGTGGGGTGAAGATGATAATTGATCTGAACCGTACACGTCAGCTGAGAGAGTTAACGGTGTATCTGAACCGTACACGTAAGTATATGGGACAAAACACATAACGAAGAGCTTTAGGTAATAATATTATTACCGAGGATTTATGATCTTGTGTCGTCCTGCCACAAGAGAAAAAATGTTTTGATTAGTATTTTCGAGAGAGCTTGAAACCTTGAAGTTACTGACTTACGAGCTTATTGAGTGCCAAAAGAGATAAGTAATTTACCTTTTGGTAGTATATACCGGGATGTTGCAACGGTACTAGGAACACGGCGAACAAGTTCATTTAAGGCGACTTTATTTATAGAACCATTTCATTTGTGTGTACTTCTCAGACGCCAGGCTGATTCCTTTGTTTCATCTTCGACACGTGATCCATCGGTAAACAGAAGGAGATTTGATAGATGCTTCGTCCAAACCGCTTATTTTGAGCCATTGTTAAGAATAGTAACCTTGTGAACGATGTTCCCAGCGCTTTACGTGCTCTCCTTCGTCCGGGGAAGTATTGCAGATGCTAGAGACATTGTTTGATCTGTTAGAGCATGTTTATTGGGCGACCCCTAAATTGGTTTTAAGTGAGTTTTTAAGTATTACAATTAAGTTAAAAAAAATTTGTTAAGAGACACTTAATTATAGTGCTACAATGTTAGTTTCTTAACTAATGGTTAAAAAATCAAAATTGATTGTATTCTACGATAAAAATAGATCTTTGATTACATTGCAGTAACAAAATATGATTATATTTTACGATATGAAACATAAAAAAAAGAGTTAAAGGTGTCTTAGTTTTGCATGTTCATCTTCCACAGCAACAAAATCAAGGCCAGTGATCTTCATTGGTCCAATGTTAACTGCAAGAGCCACAACAGTCACTTAGGTTGTGTTGATCCAACAAAGCAAGAAACCATAAAATGTAATAAGATGACACAAGAAGAAAGTGTTGTAATTTACTTAGTAACAGCATCAAGTCCAGCTAGTTTGGGCATAATCTCTGATATGGTCATCTGCTGCTTGATCAGCCTTCAATGTCTCACACTCAAACGAAACAGATATTTTCTTCTTCCCATGCTTTTCTTCCACTAATTCTATCACATCTTCCCGTGCCTTATTTTAATTCTATTTTTCCTTTAATTTTAATTCTAGATTATATTAAGAACTCCTATTTAGATATCTCAATAAGCATACTCTTATTTACTTCTTGAAAAATCTCTTGAGATAATTCATTATTGGTTACGGCGGTTGAAAATTATTATCGGAATTTTCTTATTAAAAAAGTTTATTTCTATTTTTTTTAATTTTGAAATATTCCAAATTCCTGAAAAATTTAGACTATTTTTTTTAAAAAATGATGCAGTATACAGATAAACCATCATATTAAATATTTAATTGGATTGTAACATACAGCCATATCCATGTGGTCACAAAATCTATATAATAATGATTCACTTTTGAAGCTCCTAAGGCTATCCACATCAGCACCCGAGTGGGTCCCACATATTTAAATTTTAAAAGCTTATAGTGTTTTTAAAATGACTGAACAATGAATACACTTTAGCAAAGTGGTATAAGACATCTAATTAAGTCTGCAAGTGTGTGGGTTCAAACCATGCAGCTGTTATGTATTTTAGTTTTTTCGTTTGGATTATTATCAGATGGACTTTTTAGTTTTAATGTTTTTTTTTCCTCTGTACTTATTGTTTAAAGCCCAAAATAGTGGAAAATTCCTAAAGGTTGACGAATTCAAACCCAAAAACAATTAAAAATGATCAAAAAACGAACATCAAAAAAAAAAAAAAAGACGAGTCTCACGCGACACTATCATGTCCTAATATATATTTTTACTGTTAGAACATATTTCCTAATATATATTTTCAAAAAATTATGTATGTGAAAAAAAAAAATAGTTTTGTTATTTATAAAATAACTATGTAAATTCTCTTCAATTTTTAATAGTTACTATAATTTCATTTTTATCAGACTCCGGCGAATGGATTTCCACAGTCGATGACGCCGTAAAGAAAAATACCACATTATTCATGAACAAAATCCAAACTTACAAAAAAAATATCCAAACATATCTATTGAAACCCAAACAACAAATATTAACTTAAATTAAAGTTATTTTCAAATTGATAAATCGTTTAGTACAAATATAAATACTATAAATAAATATTTATATCAAGTTTTGACATCCGATATAAAAACTATTTCCAACATAAAAAAAAAACAATATAGACATCTATTTTTATACACTAAAAACTATATTATAATTTAGTTATTCCTATAACTTATTTCGCATATAAATAACATTTAACACATTATATATACAATATTTTCACTTTGCACTCTTGCTACATTATTTGGTATTATTAGAATAACCCACTAAACCAACAACCGAAAAAAACACAGATCCCGACCCCGCGTTTGCGCGGGGTTATGTAGCTAGTAAAATATAATAGGATGTTTTCGGTTAGTTAGCAATCCAAAATCTGCTACCATTAATTTCAGTTACAATGTAAAATGAAAAGATTTCGTAGTCTATGGAAATAAACTAATTAACCAATCAGTTCCAACTTTTGTCTTAATTAGTGCAAAAGTGATTTATAAAGTAAGAGATAGTAAGAAAAAAAATTCTTCAAAGCTATCCCAAATGTTTGAACTAATTAAAATCTTCGATGACAAGTTGCATGGCCTGAAAATGAACAAGTGGCCGAGGTTAGAAGTTAGAACAACACTGAAGGAAAGTAGTTAACACATGCAAAAGTATAAAGCTACTTTGCCTGCTGCTTATCTGGAATATCAAATCATCGACGATGGCGTGACCAGAGGACGATCGACATCGACGAATTGCCAACTATAGAACAATTACAATGTATTTCTTTAGCCTACTAAGCAGATGAAATGGCGATAATGCCCTTACGCCAATAGGTTGATCTCTCACGCATTTGACACAACCATTTAACAGCTTGCCGTTTTAATTATGCCCTTTCAACGACATGTTGTTTAAGCGAACTAGACACAAACAACAGCACAAATCTTTTACAGGTCCGGTTTTATTCTCGGGTCGGAAAGACCCGATCCAGATGTCAGGCTTCTCTAACCACCGTATCTCTGCCGAGTTGAGATTCAGAGTAAGTACAAGGTCAAAAGATAAAAACAATTTTTTTTTTCTTTTAATGGAATCAAAGGCTTGCATTTAAATATCTCTGTCTCAAAGAAACTGTTTGCCTACAGAAGAAAAAAGTGGATTATTTATTATTTATTTATTTTCCCTAGTATTCAATAGTTGTTGTCACACTATAAATTATCTCTAAAAATAATCTATCCAGAGAAAAATAATATTCTCGCTCTCCATCTGCTTTCTCTCACCGGAGCTCCTTTTCCTGGTTCCGAAGGTAAGACAACTCTGGATCGGAACTCTTTTCAGTTTTTGTAGATATGGCTTTTTGCTTACTTTCTGAGTATTAAGTTTATGTCGGCTTATAACTATTTCTAGAACAGCTTTTACTTCTTCTTTATATAGATCTCTTTCCCCTTAGCTCTTAAGAACAAAAGCTTGTGCTTTTTTGTCTTCCACTCTACTCAATTCATGACCTTTTCACCTTGATCTTTGCTTAGGATCTTGTCTTAAATTAAGGATTTTTGAGATTGGATTAAAATTATGTACTAATAATGGAATCTTATGTGAGATTAGAGACCTCTGAAAATCAATATAAGATCAGGTCAACGCACTTAAGGGTCAACATCATCATTCATGTTAATTGATTGAGTCCATTTCTTGGCTTTGTTTGTTTCTTTGCCTTTTACAGGAACAAAAGAAAAAAAAGATGGAAGGAGATGTGTTTTCAGGGTTTGGTGAGAGACAACACAACATAGATGGGAAACTGCTGCAGAGTTTCCAGAAGAGCTTTGTGGATGTGCAAGACATTTTGGATCAGAACCGGCTTTTGATCAACGAGATCAATCAGAACCATGAGTCCAAACAGCCTGATAACTTGGGTCGTAACGTTGGTCTGATCAAAGAGCTCAACAACAATATCAGAAGAGTAGCTAGTCTTTACGGTGATCTCTCTCATTCTTTTGCAAGATCAATGGATGCTTCATCTGAAGGTGAGTCTAGTGGAACCTTGAAGTCTGATGGGAAAGTTAACCAGAAGAGATTTAGATCCGGTTAGTTGTATAAAACCGAGAGATACCAACAGAAGAAGTTGATTACATGCAAAGACTAAGAGCTAATTGATTGAAGAGAAAGAAAGAAAGAAAGAACTACTGCAACATCTCACTGTTGGAAAATGATAGCTACATACTTTTCATCAAAAGATGATTTTCAGATTAATTGTTTGTTTGCTTTCCTTTGAAAAAACTTGTTGTAAATTTCACACATTTAAGTTTATGATTTGGTTTCTCCATTGTTGCATTTATGTGATTCAAACCCATGTGAAATTTACTTTGTTGTAGCTGTTATTTAAACTTTAAGACGGCTCGTAATCTAAATCTAGAAGTCTTAGACGGCACGCTGTTGTATTGCATGAGAGAAGGGACGGAACGTAGTTCGCTCTTTCCCGGGCAGATATTTAGTTTTTTTTTTAACTGACGTGGAAGCATCTAGGAGCTTCCCGCAGAACAAAGCGGATCCCAACTGTCATTATAGAATCGAGTTAATGAAAAAAGCTTTGGAATCCGGACCTGTATTACACACTGTGTACTAGGGGGAAACAAAAGGCGAAAGCGAGCCAAAACAGAGCCAAAAAAAAAGCAGAACACAAAAATTTCCAAACTTTTGTTTTTGCTTACTCGAACAGCTTCTCTCTCCGGTGAAATTTTTGGTTTCTTCTCGGTTCTACTGCTCTGGTAACTCTCGGATACACTCGTAATTGTGTTTTCTGCTGCTTTTTAAGTAACTTTTTGATAATGCTTTAGTGAGATTACGGTGTTTGGTTTGTTTTGTTACATGTAATGTTAGTTAGTATCGGTAGAATCGGCCAAAGACTTGATTTTTAGGGCTGTAACATGCAATTAGTACAAGAGTTTGAAAAATGGTAGCTTAAATTTGGAAACTTTCTTTGAATTTTTGTAGATTCAGTATGGTTTGATTCTCTGTTAGAGGTTTCTAAGGGTGAAGCTAGAGTTCTGAGTTATCGGTTATGGTGTTAGTGTGTAAGAGTAAGAGAGAGTTTTTTTTGTAGGCTTGAATATATAATGTGTAGAATTTGCTTATACCTTTGTTATTGTGATTCCAGTGTGTAGATTTGAAGCTAGATTTGGTAGATTAATCTGTGGGAACAATGTTTGGCTCTGTGGAAGACTATGGAGAGATGTTTCAAGACACTGTTACTCAGACTAGAGGCGCATCACTCTCTTCAGAAAATCAAATTGGAAATCCTGTTGTCTACAAGCTTGTTCGAGTATGTTCACAAAATGTGTATCTTTAGAGTCATGGAAACATGATGTTTGTGCTATTTCTAGAATTGAGAACTCTTACTAATGCCATGACAAGTTTTAGCTCTTTTCAGTATTTTGATCTGAGGATGGTTATGTGAATTACCATTAGGTTGCACAAGATGGGAGGCTAGTTCCAGCAACTGATGAAGAAATGTTGGAGGTTAAGGACTTGGTTGAGAACAACGAGAATGATATGCCTATTGTAGCGGATCCTGGACAGACTGAGGAGTGCATTTTCGATGAAGGGTCGCCTTCTCAGTTTCTGCAGCTAGATAGTTTTGAAGGTTCGGTCACAATCATTCTTATACATGCTGAGAATCATTCCTGTTGGAGCTTTTTTGTTGCTTCAACGTCTTCTAATCTTCCTATACTTTTAATATGCTACCATTTGTGCTGCTTGAGGAAAATTCCCTTATTCAACTCAGTTATGTTATCCAGGCTTATTCCAGCCGGAAACTGCAGAAGCATACACAGAAAATTTGAATTCTCGACTTGAGGTCTGTCTCCTACTAATTTGTGTTCTCCTGTAATTACTATATGGGTTCAGATCTTACTCCACCTTTGAAAACTTTGCAGTGTAAAGAGGAGTTGGCGTATGGATCTCAGATGCTTGTTACTTTTCCGGATACCAACTACTATCAAAGCTCCAGTGAATTGCCTTGGAATGAGGAGTTTGTCCAATCCGAATTTTTGCTCCAGGAACCTGTTTGTTTTTCATCAGATGGATGCAGTATAGATCAGTCTATGGATGTGTCACCATACTCAATTGCTACAGGTGGTAGTAGTCCTAAAGTACCTGCATTGTCAACAACTACCCCAAACCCTGGAGTTTCTAGAGATACAGACAATATATGCTTGGGTAATCTTTCTATTAAAGCATTGCAAGAAACATTCAGAACCACGTTTGGTCGTGAAACTACTTGCAAGGACAAACTCTGGCTCAAAAGGAAGATCAAAATGGGACAGGTTAATCCATGTGCTATGCCAACAACTACCCTGACAGATAATGACACCAAACTGACTCTTGGAGGTCAAGATAGCAAGGCTGATTGCATAAAGGGACATCCAAATGATTGTCCTGTTGAAGCTTTTGTAGACCATTATTCTGGAAGTGAAGATTTTGAAGGTGAACATAGGTCTGCGAAAAGAGTTAGGAAGGCTACAAGGAGATACATCGAAGAGATTTCAAAAGTTGATGAAAAACAGCAAAGTAATGAGTCAGTGATTCCTTCAAAAGATGAGAGGTCTATCAGCAGCGCCGTTTCTTCAGGAAGGAGAGTTGTTGTCACGAGGATGATATCCTTTGCTGGTTCCAGAATTCAAGTTCCATATGTTTCTCATGTGAGGAGAAGCCGTCCCAGGGAAAACATAATGGCTCTTGGGGTATTTCTCTTTGTTACTATAAGCTAATCAGTTATGAGGCCTGTGCTAGATTCATTCCTATTGCTACAAAACTGTGAATAGATTTAAACATGAAATGATCTTTTAGTTGTCTCTTTGGTGCTGTCAAGGTAATTAGTAAGGATAACGTAGATGAATTGAACATTTTGTAGGAATTTCATTCCGGTTTATGGGAGGTTAAAGCTACTCGAGAAGAGAGTAAGCTGAATCTAAGCCAGTCTCACTTGAACAATGACGTGAAGCGAGTTTCAGGTGTCAAATCTGTTTCTGGACCTGTCAAGAAAAAAGTAAGTACACTTTATACTTTCTATAGCTTCATCACTGATGGAGAGACTTTTTGCATATAACATAATCCACATTATGGAAGCATCGTTGAGCTTGGACTCTCTTAAAGTTATACCGGATAATTTGGATGGATTTGATTCATGATATGATACAGTAGCTCATTGCGTTTCTTGATTTGTAAATGCAGTTAACTACTCATCGTCAGAGCTACAAGGACCATTCAAAACCTGAGGTGGACCAAGACTTCATGGAGCCAGAGCACATGGACTCATCTGGAGATAGCTCAGATGATAGTAATTACAATCACGCTGATCTACCAATTACGGCAAGTGCAATGAGAAGGAAGCATCATCGAGCTTGGACACTCTCTGAAGTTAAAAAGCTAGTGGAAGGTGTGTCCAAATACGGAGTTGGGAAATGGTGTGTGATCAAAAGGCTTTCATTTCCATCATACTCGCATCGTACCCCTGTGGATCTCAAGGTTTGCTTCGATTTGAACTATCAAACTCTCTCTCTTCGTCAACTTTTTTCTTAACTACAAGTTGTCTTCTTTTGACAGGACAAATGGCGAAATTTACTTAGGGTAAGCTTGGCTCGGACTCCTTTAAACAATATGGTTAGCATTTGACAAAAACATGTTTTCAACTTTGGAAACAGGATCAGTTCACCAGTTAAATTGGTTGTGTGTTTGTGCAGGGGAGTGTGAGGAAACAAGGGTCGATAGCTATACCAAGTCAGGTTCTGTCACAGGTAAGAGAGCTTGCTAAGAAGAAATCACATGTTTCACCGGCAAGGAAGGCTAGAATGGTGAAGGCATCATCAAGACACGGTTTCTTGTAGCAAAGCTAAAATATATTGCCGCGGAAACATCTGAGCTTATAACTTTTTTTGATTTAGTAGACTTGAATTCTAAGGTAGCTATTGTGGTTATAAGCGGCCTATAAACCGGTGTATGGAACAAACGAATATGAACGGTTCTCTATTATATTTTGAATCTGTCATGGGTTGTATCTCGGTTCGGTTAAAATCAAATCCCATTACTAATACGCTGCGTTTAATATAAACAGGCTTATCGAATTCTAAATGGGCCCATTACGACATAAATGGGCCCATAAACCTTTTGTACGCCCTATTGCTCTCATGGTCGTGCTCTCTCGCTCGCTCTTCCTCTATCTCTCTGCTCCGGGACCGAGATCGCCTTCATCAATTCCACTGTGAGTCGCGCATCGAATCCTTTCAACTCGCTCCTGAATAGCCTTTGATGCATCAACTTATTTGTATAATAAATCGTATTTCGAGCTTATTTAATGTAATTTTGTTTAATGTAATTCAGATAATTGACGTAAAGATCTGTTCTTTAGTAATTGCTTTTGTATGCTTATCTAAGCAAAATATTAATCGAAAAGCTTTGTAACCATATTGATATTATTGCGGTTGTTTTAGCTCCTTAATTAATTACCAGTGTGAAGTTTTTCCCTTGTGAGTTATTGGTAGAATGGTTAAGTTTTGTAATAATCTATGAACTTTTCTGTTCGTTGTTATGTTTCTGGTTTTGAGTCTTGTAAATTCACATTTTTTATACTTTTGTTCTCACTAGTGAGAGTGTAGTAGAAGCCAACTGAAGCACAATGGGAATCATCGAAAGGATTAAAGAAATCGAGGCCGAGATGGCTCGGACTCAGAAGAATAAAGCTACAGGTTCTCTTTTAGTAAATTGCATTCTTGTGTTGTAAACACAGTAATCAGATTTTTTTTCCGATTTAACAAAATAAGCAGAACAGTGGGCAGCTAATTGATAATTTTTTTTTTACTTGCATAGAGTATCATCTTGGTCAACTCAAGGCAAAGATTGCAAAGCTCAGGACACAACTGCTGGAGCCTCCAAAGGTAATGCAAGCTCTTAATAAAAGACTAAACCATTAACCTATGCAATTGTTTCTACTTTCTATGTAGCAGAGTAGTTATTGAAGCACCTGTTTGATTTTTATTTTACTTGGATTATTTTTATTATTTTCCTCGCTGTTGCTGTGTGTTTACTTTTGAAACAGACTGTGAATTTTGTCATAATAGCTTGTCTTTGTTAGGACTAAAAACCACTGTGAATTTCTGCTTTGTGACCACCTGTACAAATGAGTGCTGCTTGTGCCTGAAGTAGAGATTCAATTTTTTTTTGTCTTAACTACGTTAGTTTGTAATTTGTCTTCCAAATTTCTGCCACAGGGTGCTAGTGGAGGCGGGGAAGGTTTTGAAGTTACCAAGTATGGTCATGGACGTGTTGCACTCATAGGATTTCCAAGGTCGAGTTTCTTAGTGTCTTATACGCACGGAAACCTGTTAACAAATATTTTCCATCTTATGTTGCTCCTTTAGAAACTGCAGAAGTATGGTTTAGGGAAACTGATGGAAGTGGTTGTACTTTGCAGTGTGGGAAAGTCTACGCTTTTGACAATGTTAACTGGAACGCATTCAGAAGCAGCCTCATATGAATTTACAACACTTACATGCATCCCTGGAGTTATTCACTACAATGACACAAAGATCCAGCTTCTCGATCTTCCTGGTATTATTGAAGGTGCTTCGGAAGGAAAGGGACGAGGAAGGCAGGTTAAATTTCAGTCGCTTGATTTCTTATTGGTTATATCATTCTAATTTACTTGCTAAACAGTAAAAATATAATCAGAATGATACGAACTTTGATTATGTCTGCTTGTTACTCAGGTTATTGCTGTTGCAAAGTCTTCCGATCTTGTATTGATGGTTCTTGATGCCTCAAAGGTGAGTTAGTGTTTAGCTGCCCATCAGATCTAAATTGCTATTTTGGTTGTCATGCTGCAGTCATTTAGTAACCTTATGATTTTCTCATCAAAAAAATATTAGAGTGAAGGCCACAGGCAAATTCTGACTAAGGAACTTGAGGCAGTGGGCTTGCGTCTAAACAAACAGCCTCCACAGGTAAAGCTCCATTGAGAAACTTGGTCAAATTCCAGATATAGCATCTAGTACTTTGAAGTCTATATTATGTCTGGCTCGCTTCAGTATGCTCCTTTGAGCAATTTGGTTTCTTTGTCCCTGGAACTTGATTTTGTATTTATGTCTTCTCCATACAATAGATCTACTTTAAGAAGAAAAAGACTGGTGGAATCTCTTTCAACACTACAGCACCCTTGACTCACATTGATGAGAAACTCTGTTATCAGATCCTGCATGAGTACAAAATCCACAATGCTGAGGTATGAGGTTCCTTTTTTAGTCTTGTACCTTCTTAAGCTAGTTTTTGCTTTCCTCACAGACATCTAAATGAAATTGGTGGTGAGTATTTCAGGTGCTATTTCGTGAGAATGCCACAGTGGATGACTTTATCGATGTCATTGAAGGAAATCGGAAATATATCAAGTGTGTTTATGTCTACAACAAAATTGATGTTGTTGGAATTGATGATGTGGATAGACTAGCACGGCAGCCAAACTCCATTGTTATTAGCTGCAATCTAAAGGCAAGTTAATTACATTGAAAAGACAAGTCTTTTGGTCTGCAAGGATGCCGAATGCTAAAATCTCCAGTTCAGTCTTGTTTTAGTTTCCTGCGCACTCTGATGACTGTCTTTTGAAACAGCTAAACTTAGACAGACTACTTGCAAGGATGTGGGATGAAATGGGCCTTGTGAGAGTTTACTCGAAGCCTCAGGGGCAGCAACCAGATTTTGATGAGCCTTTTGTCCTCTCATCTGTAAGTGTATTTCTTTTTTCTCATTGCAAGATACCCTTGAAACTTGTCCACATCAATAATAATCCATCTTTGGTTACTTGTCTGATTCATTAGGATCGAGGTGGCTGCACAGTTGAAGACTTCTGTAACCACGTCCACAGGACTCTGGTGAAGGATATGAAGTATGCTCTTGTGTGGGGCACAAGCGCAAGGCACAATCCTCAGAATTGTGGTCTTTCTCAGCATCTTGAAGACGAAGATGTTGTTCAGATTGTCAAGAAAAAGGTACATAAACGAGAATATTTCAATTGACATAGACTAATGGCTCAAAATTTTATAATATAATCTTTGTGCCATGATGATGAGACTATCTAAACTTATGCTGTTGATTCTGGAACCTGTAGGAGAGAGACGAAGGAGGAAGAGGGCGTTTCAAGTCACACTCTAATGCTCCTGCTAGAATTGCAGACCGTGAGAAGAAAGCTCCTCTTAAGCAGTAAACTCAGTTGGTCAATGTTCCCCATACACACATCTTCACCATCATATTCATCGATGGTTTCAGCTGAGTATGATGTACTATCTTGTATCTGAATCATTTTTTTGTCTTCTCTTACAGAACCAAGTTTTCGAATCATTTACACTTTGAAGGATACAATAAGTTCATATTTACTCTTTTCATAAATTTACGTTTTTGATTTTCTTTGATAAGTCTATTTCGAGTTCTTGATATATTCAAGTAAAAGTTGAAATGCATCCATAGTACAGGTTTAGACAACAAAAGAAGTAACAAAAACTCAGATTCCAAGTTACTGAGAAGTGGCTTATGTAGCCAAACACTTCAAGCTTAAGTAACTCTCAACAATATTCTTACATGTAAACGGTACACAGAAGCTGTTTCTGTATCTATAGTTCGTATATGTTTCGCAGGAACCGTTCCTGGAACAAGATAGAAGGAGAAACCAACAGGCTGTTGAAATTGACTTGAAAAGAAACAAACATAACTCTATTTTTTTTAGCTTCGCTGGCTCTTGGCCCAGAGATGTCTTCCAGTTACTATCTCCTGTGGGTAAAGATCAGTACACTGTTCTGAACCAGCACTGCTTCTTGCATCACCACTGCAAGATAATCCTGACTGTCTCTGCTTGGCTTGAGTAGATTGTGTCAGGCTCATGTAGCTCGGCTTTCTATAATACCCACCACTTTCAAGGACACTGCCGGAGGATGCAACTGGTGATTGAGATGTTGACGAGATTGATGTCTCGTCGTGTAAAGAATCTGAACTTGTGCCAGATGAAACCTGAGGAAGATGAAGATGAGGAGGTCTAGCAAGAACTCTAGTTGAAGTAAGATTGTTCTTCCTGACTTTTACGGTCTCATGTTCAGACGATACGCTGCTGTCACTACACTTTTCAGACCAGTTCCAACCAGGACCGTTCTTGCGCAAACCATGATTCTTGTTTGATCTTGCGTTTGGACTTGGACACGTCCTCGACTAGACAAATCAACCAAAACAAACTCATTCAGACATTACTGCAATCAGCAAAGATGTTTCTGTTCTGTAATGACAAAAACAAAAACCAACCTGATGTGTAAGAGCATACACCATAGCTCTCTCCCTCTTAATAGCTCCTTCTTGCTTCATTTGTAACTTAGTTTTCACTTCCTTGATACTTCTTGGACTACCACACCAACCCTTCTACAAAAACAGCAATCAGAGTCCCATATAAGTGTTTAATAGTGTTTGAATCTTTACCTCGCTCTGCTTTGCAGGATCTTTCACTTCAATAGAGTCTGAAGGCGCTCTACGATGAGCTCTAACACGAGACTGAACACGAACAAGAGCTTGCATACACCTAAGTGTAACAGCTGCTTGTTTCCTAACTTGTCTACCACGAAATATCGCCTGGATTCTCACTACAGCCTTCAAAGCTCTAAACGCCTGTCTTGCCTGAACAAAAAGCAAAACACAGAGAAAGCTTTTAGATAAAAGAATCAAAAGACATAACAGTGAGCCAATACTATACCAAGAAAGCACGAAAAGCAGCTTGGATTCTTGTTGAAGCCCATTCTCTTTTAACCAATAAGAAGTCCTTAGGAGGAGCTCGAATGAGAGCTGCCATAGCCACAGCAAAAGCCTCATCAGCAGAGAAGGAAGGTGGCTCTGAGCCTAGAGAAGAAAGTCCATAGCTTCCACGGCGGTTGAGAAAACATTCTTTGGAGGAGGTGGAAGAAGATGTGAAGCTCTCTGATGAAAGCCTCCACAGCTTCCATTTCTTCTTGCTGCTTAACTTCTCCTGCTGCATTACAAGACAACATGTTTTGGTAAGAGCAGAGAAGTGAAGAGAGATCCTAAAAACATTCAAGAGATGGAAAGATCACCTGATGATCATGAACGTTTTTTCTGTGAGATAATAGTGATTTAATCCAGTTTCCTGATCCACCCATCTGCTCAAAATCAAAACTTTGGTTCGTTTTGATTCGTACAAAAATCAAAACTTTGGAAGCTGTCGGAGAAGACTGATCTCTGGAATAGGTTATGTGAATGAATGAGATTGATGTTGACAAAAGTTGGCAGTGTTAAAAAAGAAAGAAAAAAAAAGGACGTTTTTGAAATTTGAAATTTTGAGGGAACGAAAGTAATTTCTTAGAAAAATAACGGTAAGACTTTAGTTTATTCTCTCTTTAATAAGATAGATTACTAGTGTTTCCTAAAGTTTTGTTAATGCCCCTATCCTTTTCTAATTTTCTAATTTAACCCCCACAAGTTTATTGGGGTTAATTACTCCATATTTTGCATCGGGTCGGGCTGGGTCATGTTTCACACTTGCAAATTTTTGAAATTTTAACAACAAAAAATCGATAATGTAGAGTAACAGTTGTTAGGTGAAATAATGCCTTCAACATTGTATTTGATTAGATAGATATGTGGATAGGAAAAAAGAGAGGTAAATTTAAGCAAAAATCAAGAAAAATGTAAGTAAATATTATATAAACACGATTAAATTAATAACCAATTCTCTCTACAACATTACTTTCAAAATAATACCATTTATGGTTTTGACTAAAAATAACACTATATGATCATGATTAAAAGAAAAAAAAATACATGGGTAAGTAATAGCTTATAATCTAATGATTTTGTCTATTTTTATTGCCACAATCCAACCATCTATGCAACAACACTTACAAAAATATCATATGATAAAAATAAAGTGAAAGCCACACTATTTGAACAAAGTGAAAGTAAAATATATGTGAGAGAGTTATAGATTGTCGTTTAATTATTACGCTTATTATTAGCGCCAAAATACACATTAAATCCAACCATTATTCATACTATTTGACCTGAAATCATGTAAAAGTAAAATATATGCGTGCATAATAGATTGTCTTTTAATGATTACGCTTATTATTAGTGCGGCAATATACATTAAATCCAACCATAGCCATACTATATGATCTGAAAAAGTAAAAATAAATAAATGTGTGCATAACAGATTATGTTTTAATGATTATGCTTATTATTAGCGCCACAATACACACATTAAATTCCAACCATTGGCAACATTGTTTGATCACTAAAAGTAAACTATATGTATGAATAGTAGATTGTCGTTTAATGACTACGTTTGTTATTAGCGCCGCAATAAACACATTAAATTTATTAATACATGTGTAAATAGATTTATAAGTTGCAACATTATTATTGGATATATAAACTAAATAACTACAAAAATGAGATTTGAATAGTTTCTTTTCTTTTGTCAGTTTGCATGAGATATGATTTCTGGAAATACATACCTTTAGAGTTCTTTACATACAAGAGAAAGGTGGTTTATTTGACTTTTTTTTATCTCACTGAAGGAAAATCCACAAATCTAAAAAGAAAAAAAAATGTTTCATTCTACAAAGAGATGAATAACACAAGATGTACCTTATAAAAGGCCACAAGATATGATACAAACAGGCACACATCCATCTTCACCTCTTCAGACCAAACTGAAAAAAACAAGAAGGTAATCTACATTTCTCACTCGTGTCCGGGATTTTTCAGTTTCTTTCATTAGATTGTATTCCGTATTGTCCAGAACTCTGATTCTGAACCATAATGCGAGATTCCGGTAACCTCTTTAATGGATGATGATCATCCAAATTATCTACAACTGCGTTGTTTTTGATAAATAGTGTTATGCTTCAATTTTATTGACCACGCATTTTGTTTTTTTTTTTTGTTTTTAAAAAAAAATTTAAATCATCTGTCGTCCAAATGTATTGTATTTGATTCATGCACTTTTTTTCTTGTTTAAGATATCTCTATGCACTTGTAACTTTCTTTTGTACTTGTAGAGTCAGAACCTCCCCAGTATTGGTCAATTTCTTTCATGGTTGAGTGTTGTGTTCTGGTAACTGTTGACATCATCATTTTAGCAGAAAAAAATGCCGAAGGAGAGATCAGTGCCAAGCAACAGGACCAGAGTGTCACCATACCCACTTCGCTCTACCAGGACTCAGAAAGAACCTATCCAGGCACAAGGCCCAAGCCAATGGGAGGACATCCAGTGTGTGATCTGCCTGGAAGCACCACACAATGCCATCCTCTTGGACACGAGTGTTCGTCACTCCAACTGTTTCAAGAAGTACCGCAAGAAAAAAACAAATCATTTAACCAAAGTATTGAATTGTCCTTACTGTAGAGGAGAGGTTTATGAGGCGATGAAGGTGTCGAGTACTGGACGAAGATCTCTGAATGCTAAACCGAGATCTTGCGCTTTCGAGAACTGCAACTTCTCGGGGACTTACACTCACAGGTGCCTTATAGATTGTATTCCATTTCTTTACTTTAACTATTTGCCAAAAACTATTTATTCTTAGAATACATCTTGAGATTACTACATTTTAACGAAGAACTTTGTTGATGTAGACTGTAGAGTAACAAATGTTAGGTGACGTACTACTTTCAAAACTTTACATCAATAAATAATTATGTAAAATTTACGTAAATTATGTGAAATTTATAAGAAAAATTGAGTAAAAAATAGGATAAAGTTGAGTAAATATTATATAATATGATGAATAAGGTTAAAAACTATACATCTCTTTACATAAATAAATAATTATGTAAAATTTACGTAAATTATGTAAATTTATAAGAAATAATTGAGTAAAAAAATAGGATAAAGCTGAGTAAATATTATATAAATATGATGAATAAGATTAAAAACTATACATCTTTCACAAGGCCGGTAAGTATATAAGAGCTCATGATGGCTTATTTCAACTGATTGAACTGGTTACAATGGTGGTTAGTTTTTGAAAAATAAGTGTTAATTTGAATGTGATTTGAGTGTTGGTAGAGATTTAAATGTAACATCTCATATTTAAAACATTTACTTTTCATTTATTTACCATAATCTGAAACATATGAAAAAAACATGGTTGAAGTTTGGTTAAACCCCCTATTTTTTAATTACGTCTCAATATTAATATTAGGGCTGGGCAATCAGGATCCCAATCGGGTTTCGGTTCGGATTCATTCGGGTTTCGGGTTTTCGGGCTCATGAATTTCAGCCCCATTCGGATATTATAAAAATTCGGGTCGGATTCGGTTCGGGTTTAATCGGGTTCGGTTCGGGTTTAGTAACATGTCCAAGATCCGGTTGAACCCGAAATAGTTTCGGTTTTGGATACTAATCGGGTTATCGATTCTAAAAATATTAATTTATACTCAATTAAACTCACTATATTTTCAATCATTTTATTAAATTTGTGTATTTAGCTTCTACAAACCATATTGTTCTCCTTCAAAATAATATTGTGAAATTTATCTATCAACCATATAAGATTTGTCATTGAACTATATGTGACAACACTAAACATATCATGATTAATGACAAACCAAAGCCTTATATGAACGAAATATAATACATAATGAAACATAAAAAAATAAAGTTAACAACTAACAATTCTATAAACATAAGAAGTACGTACTATTTAAACTTTAAAAAACAACATTATATAAACTCCAAAACAAATTTATTCGTAACTTAACTTCAAATGTAATATCAGTCATAAACATTAATATTAACCAAATAACACTATATATTAGACTAAATATTTGAGCTAATTATTTATATCATAACTAATTATTGTAGGTACTCAATAATATATTAATCTGTTTTGGAAACATATTAGAAATTTAGATTGGATATGATACAAGTTTTTTTGAAATTTTAAAGTTTCGGGTTCTTTCGGATATCCATTTAAGTTCGGATTCGGTTCGGGTAATACCCGTAACCCGAAATACCGTAAAACAAGATCCATTCGGTACTTATGTCGGGTTCGGATCGGTTCGGGTTCCTTTTTATCGGGTCGGATTCGGTTCGAATTTTCCGGTTCGGTTTTTTTTGCCCAGCCCTAATTAATATTAACAAAAAAAAAAATTAATATTAACCCCTCACCAAGTCTATGGGACAAATAATACCAAAATGGGGTCGACTCGGGCCTGGTCAATGGTCATGATGATTTCCAAAGTAACCGACCGGTTAGTGTCGGTTCGATTTGAATATACTCGCTCATCTGATATTTAAAATCGAACGGCTCACATCAGTACACGTCATTTCATCTCATTCCCGAGGCATTAAGTTAAAAGATTTTATTACAGGAACTCAAAAACAAGATCAAAGAAGAGAGCCATGGCGGAAAAACCAAAACAAAGCTCTGTTTCTGGTAAACACCAACTCGTTGATGATTACATAATGTTAATTAATTTCACGAATCTAGGGTTTTCTCCTGTTTTCCTCTATTTTACTTGATCAAATTAAGTGGTTTTATATGTTATTAAATCATGGAGCTATTGGGTTCTCTAATTGATACGGTTACTATTATAAGTAGAGAACTCTGTTATCATCTAGTTACTCGTTTCTATTTTTGTTTTGTTCAGAGAAGACAAGTGTGATTGGAAGAAGTGGTAAAGAAGAGAAACAATCAAAGGTTCATGAAAAGGAGACTCATGGAACAAGTGAAGACATCAACGAGAAGACTAGTGTAGATGATGTGAAAGGACCTGGTGTCTTTGGTCGTATGAAGGAAGAAGTGGAAGCTATTGTTGATGCTGTTACTCCTAAGAAAAGTTCTGTTGATGACAAGTGATACTAATCATCATCATCGTGTTTTTATTTTCTTGTTGCTGCCTTCGTTATCTCTGTGTTAGAACAGTAACGTTCAAACCCCTTCTCCATCTAATAAATACACGACCTTCATGATTCTTTGACAAAACCATTGGAATAATCGACCCCAAAGGTTGTTTGTTCTGACAGAAACATAAACTTCTCAAATGTTATTACTCATTCATGTTTTGAGACAGTTGATAACAACAACCAAAAACTGTGTTCTGAGTGAATCCATAATAAATAAATATGTTCAGCAACTAGTTTGAAACTCAAAAAGAAACAAACTTGCAAGAGTAGAAATGCAAAAGCTTGAAGCTTTATATGATTCGTTAAAAAAAGTGAAAGAAAACAGAGGAATTTTATTTCTTTTTCTTGGGCTTGGCAATGGATGGGATGTTGGTTGACTTTAGAGAAGAAAAGTCAGCGCTAGTTTTCCGACCATCAAGTAACTTGACAGTCTCACTGATCCCGATATTACCAGACAACATTGTCATTAGCTTCTCCTCTGTGAAATCACCCTTCTTCGTCAAACGGTTCTAGATAAAAAAAAAACAAGCGAAACATCAATTCATTTGGTCTTTAAGAGGAATTTCATCGAACAGTTGGTGTGCTATTTCAAAAAAAACTACCAAACTGAGTTTAATTAACGTTTCAGATTATTACCTGGGAGAGTCTGATGTACTTTGAGATCAACATATCGGTGGTGGAGCGAGGAACGTCGTGAATACCAAGAAATGCTCCTACAGCGGAAGATGGAGTCACACCTCGCGGTGTGGCTTGATCCAGCGATGATACGGCTGGAGGAGACGGCTGTGATGCTAAGAACTTCCTAGAGGCAGACGACGCCGTTCTGAGAACCTTTCCCGCTTTGATCGCCATCTCTCCGTTTTCACTTTTCAGATCTCCGTCGTTATGATCCTTTTAAAAACCTTAAAAACCCTATTAACACTCTCTTTTTACTCGGATTCAGTTTTAACCGCGTAACTTTTTAACTTTTACCCCCAATTTTCACGACAACTCTTACCATCATTTAATAACTCTGATTCTGCTTTTGCGTGAAGCTCAAGTGTTACAAAATGCCCAGCTCTTAACCTTTAAATTCACAGTACATTCACATACATACATGCTATAATGCGAGGTTGCAAAGCTCAGCATATTGTAGTTTTGATTAAAAAGTAAAAACATGGCAACACTAAGGAAAAAGATACTGTCATTTCCAGACCACACCATACATTTCTGTTCTTGGCTAATTACTTTCAACTACCTTTTTTTTTAAAATGGTAAATGAAATAAAGTTAAATATTGTTTTTGTCCAAATGGAAAACAAGAGAAAGCAAGCTAATAGCCTATTAACTATTAGTTATATATACCAAAACAAAGACTCTCTCTGTGCTTGCTTCTTTTGTTCCCACAACCTCAGTTCAATTCCACAATCTCTCCCCGACAACCTGCAACAGAAAAAACACATCTTAAAACTATCAGACACCACGCTTTTACGAGATGGAAGAAGATGGAGTTTTCAAAAAGAGAGAGAGAGAGAGTCATTTACATCTTTCGTGCAGCTCTTCAGCTAGCAATAGAATAATCTCAGCTCGTTCAGCCAGTTCTATCATCCTTTCTTTATCATCTACACCTTTACTCAGCACTTCTAATTTGTCATCTACTTCGTAGAACTTAAAAGCTGCCGTTCCTGAAGCCAGATCAATCTTCTCCTGCGAAACCGTGAGTCCTTGGCTGTTTCCTGTCTGCCGAGGTTTCACATTCACCTCTTTTGCTCTCGCTGCAACTGGTGTTCTCATTGTCAAGAAGCTATTACTATTCATCCTATATAAGTTCTGCGTCTGCATCGTTTGAAAGAACCAAAACAGAAGCACGGTATCATGAGACCAACCAACCAGAATGAAAAAAAAGTAAGGTAAAGTTTTTGTGTTGTTTGTTATTCACGCAAAAGGCTTTCAAGACTTACTCCTGGTTTTAACTGGCTAACCTTATCAAGTTTTCCCTGAGCAGCAAGTCTCCTCAACCTTGAACCAAGGACCCTTTTAAACTGTTCTGGCACTTCATACATTTTTTGCTATACACAAACCAGGCCATTATCATTAATTTGATCATTACAGGTTAGCTGCTAAGCCAACAATAACGGATACCATACCAAACAGAGCTATATTTTTTGGATAATCATAGTGGTAGTCTGGTAGGTAGGCAATAACTAGGATCAAACTATAACAACAACGAATAGTTGAATAGTATCTGAATTCGCATTGAGAATTCATTTATTGTCAGAAGAGATGGAAGAACAGAGCTGACTCAACTAATTCAAATCTTGATATGCTTTTGGCATCATTTAATGACAAAGGCAAGAGAAAGGGAATGGAAAATTATGTCTAACCTCGATGAAGTTGAAAATTGTAGTGACATCAGATCCATTAGCATCCTTCAATGCTGAAAGAGCTTCGAATATCATCCCATCATACCTTACATTAAATAATAGCTCATCAGAAGCGTCACAATGCAAGTAGCAATCTGTTCTTAAGTGGTTGCTCAGAGAAGAAGAAAATAAAGAAAAAAAGCCAAACCTGGGAGCATTCTTTGCATCAATCAACATGTCACAACTATCATCAACGCTCAAATCAGAAGATCCACTACGATGAAGAGGAGCAACTGGAAAAGAGACAGAACTCGGAGTTGGAGTGGTAGCGGCAGCAGCAACGGCAGCCAGCTGAAAAGCGGCAGCTTTGATTTTTGGTGTCCGCACCTTATCCTTTGATCCTTGAATATCAGCGGGAACACTTAGATTACGCCATTTATCCTAGAAAACATGAAACATACATATGTTTATTCTTGCTCATAGGATTACCAAATTATGTAGACACTGGCAATCTTCCAATCAGAGAATTTCACTCTCAAAATTCACAATAAGATATAAACAAATCCTATGGCATAAGAGGCAAAATTCTTCTTAGGAAACGATTGAGTACAAATGGTTCTCACAAAAAACAAGAACAGAATATAAAACTCGGCCGATCATCTGCTTTAAAACCTAAACTCACAACTTGCTCGTGTTAAAAATCATAGCTAGAGCCAAGACTACACGTATTGCATCGTTTAATTGCACTTGATAGTGTCATATACTGCCACTAATAGCGAATCAACCAGCTCGGTCTCAGCAGGAAGCAAATCATAGACAACAACATATAAAACTACACTCACTTTTGAGTCTCAAAAATTACAGAAGAAACATAGCAAAACCCTCTAGAAACCCAAATCCAAAAACTCTTCAAGTTTTAATCTTTTTTTTTTTTAAACTGTAAGTTTTAATCTTTCATCCAAGAACTAATACTTATCAACAAAGCCTATTGATGCATGAACAGCCCACTTCCCTAAAGTTTTATAAAACCAAACACGAATGAGAAAGTTTCAAACTTTTGCAACTCCGATGCAATATCAAACCAATGTAACTTAATTCGACCAACCTAATCACAAATTTTTCATTCCCGTCGTGTCAAGAGCTCGAAAAAATTCACACAACTTCAGGTGGTTTAAAATCATAGCTAGAGGCAAGACTACACGTATTGCAGCATTACTTGCACTTAATAGTATCATATACTGCCACTATAGCAAATCAACCAACTTGGTCTCTGGTCAGTTCAAGACATTCATTCTCTCAGGACAGCAGGAAACACCAAAAAGATTAATCAGTAGGAAGCCAGCACATACACCAACATATATAACTAGACTCACTTTTGAATCTCAAAGGCTACAGAAGAAACAAAACAGACAACATGTCCACTTGACTCACCACACCAGAGACCAAAACCCTCTGGAAACCCAAAAAAATACTCTTCCAAGTTTTAATCTTTTTTTTTTTTTTTTTTGTCAACTCTTCCAAGTTTTAATCTTTCATCCAGAAACTATATCCAAAAATCTCTCATCAACAAAACCACTAAAATTCAAGACTATTGATGCATGAACAGCCCACTTCCCTAAAGTTTTCTAAAATCAAACACGAATGAGAAAGTTTCAAACTTTTGCAACTCCGATGCAAATATCAAACCAAAGTAACTTAATTTTTCATTCCCGTCGTCTCAAGAGCTCAAAAAACTAGGGTTTCCTATAATTCGAACAATCAGTAAATTGAGAATAAGAAGAAGAAGAAGGAAAGTAAAAGACCTTGAGATCAATGTTAGAGCGATCACAGAGCACAAGAGCGAACTCAGGATCACGGAGGATATTCTTCCACTTCCCAGGACCATGCTTCGTGACACCTGCCAGCAACGCGTCCTCCTCCTCCACCGTCCACTTATTCTTCTCTTTCCCCATCTCTCCTTTTCTCTTCTTCCCTCTTCCCTCCGTCCCCAGCTTTTGCTTCTGTCTCTTCTTACAAACACTATCGATTTTCGTCTACCGGAAAACGAAGAATCGGCGGCTCTTCCGCCGTCCTTGCTCCCTTCCCCAAAGCCTTTTAGATTTTTTCCAAATCCAAATAGAAAAAAAGATATTGTTTTTATATCTCCGAAGATCTATACGAAAGTGGGTTAATATGGTAAGTTTACTAAATTAAGATGAAAATCGTATAAAGGTGTGAAAACTAAGGGGTCGGATATGGAAATAATTAAAAACGGAAATACTTTTGGGTTTAAATGTTATCAATAAAACATTAGGGGTCAGATTTTTTTTTTTTTTGGAAATTGGACTTAATAACACAAGAAAAATCATACTTCACTTAGGACTTGGATTCTTAACCGCAATCAAATATCTTAACCGAATCTAATCCGATATGACCTGGTTCGATTTAGTTTTGCTATATACAATTTCATCTAATGAATATTTTTGTAAATATATGGAGTCAGGTTCGATTTTTACTCGGAACCCGAATAAATACTCATTTTAATTCGAATTCTATGTCAAAATACATAGAATCCAAATTTCCAATACCACAAGATTATTTCAACATTGTTGTAACGATGTATTATTAATACATGTATGATATATACTAAATTTTCTTTTAAAAATAAAAAAACAAATAAACATATAATATTTCGAGTTTAAAGTTGTATAACCGAATTTGGTCGGAACCGATCAAAAACCGAACCATAAATCGATAAAATATTCACTGGATACAGTTTCTAAATAACCGATTTATCCGGAACCGAATAGATCTTAGCGGGAACCGATTACCCAAAATCTTAATCCTAATTCAGTTATGTAACCAAAATTCTTTCTCTCTTCCTATCTCGATCTACTCTATCTCAAAAAAAAAAAGTTCTTCTTTCTTTTGGCTATTGCACAAATAAACTTAGATTTTTGTGTTTGAATGTTATCAACAAAACATTAAGGCTCAGAGTTTTGCCTTTAAATGTTATAAATAAAAACATCAGGGGTCAAATAATAATCACCTAAAACTTCTTAAACCCTTTAAAACTCATAAACTTTCTCTCCACTCTCCATCATCTCTTCTCTCCCATTAACCAAATGGCGACAAATCACACCTCCGACGACGAAAGCACGCGCCTTTACCATCCCTACCAAAACTACGAGCTCCCCATCAACTCCCAATACCTCTACAAACTCCCCACCTCCCCCGAGTACCTCTTCACCGAAGAGTCCCTCAAAAAGCGTCGATCTTGGGGAGAGAATCTCACTTTCTACACAGGAACCGGTTACCTCGCCGGATCCCTCGCCGGAGCCGCGTCTGGAATCGTCTCGGGCGTCAAGAGCTTCGAGTACGGAGACACGGCGAAGCTTAAGGTGAACAGGGTTTTGAACTCGTCTGGTTATAAAGGAAGGTTGTTTGGTTGCAGGGTTGGGGTTGTTGGGTTGATTTACGCGGGGGTTGAGAGTGGCGTTGTGGAGTTTATGGATAGGGATGATGGGTGGAGTAGTGTGGTGGCGGGGTTGGGGACTGGGGCGGTGTTTAGGGCGGCGAGAGGGGTGAGGTCTGCTGCTGTGGCGGGTGCGCTTGGTGGGATGGTGGCTGGTGGGGTTGTGGCGGGGAAGCAGGTTTTGAGGAGGTATGCTCATATATGAAGAAGAAAGGAGTGGTCTTTGGGGGAAGAGAGGGTTATGGGAATCATAAAGATCAGAGCTTTGTGGGGTTTCTAGAGTAGGGTTCTGGATTTTATATAGCTTATAAGTGATCTGTGAACCTTTTAAGTTATATTTAATGATAAAGTTTTACATGAGTTGTTGCTTATGTTTGGTGTTTGTTTTATCTTTGTACACTCTTTAGTGTTCATGTGTTATTCACCTATGTTTGAGGCCTTGTTTGTTGATACCTTTCTAGTTGACAATCTAATCTCTTACTAGCATTTCTGAGTTTTTTTTAACATATTTGAACAAGGAGTGGTCTGTGAGGAAGGGTTATGGCCTTATGGGAATCATAAAGATGATAGCTTTGTGGGGTTTCATAAAGTATAAAGTAAACTGCGAACCTTTTTAGTTGTAATGATAAGTTTTTACCGTTTGGTATTTCTAATCTCTAAGACTTTTGTTTATGACCATCATCCTCGTTTGGTGTTTGTTTCATCTTTGGAGACTCTTTAGTGTTCATGTGTTATTCACCAATGTTTGAGGGCTTATTTGTTTATAGTGGCAGTATAATCTCTGCTAGCATTTCTGAGTTTTTTTTTTAAATCTCTTGGCTTTTTCTAGCTGGGAGTTCTTTATTGAATGTGTAAGTATCACACAACGTCTTGTCTCTGGAAAGTTTTTTTGTTTTTGCTTATTGTGATCTCTAAGCCCAAGTTGTCTCGAATTCACAGAGTCCCTTATCAGCTGATATTAATGGTGTAGCTCCATAAATTTTTGTTCTTTCTCTATGTTCTGGTTTTGAGAAGATTTTCATGTGCAACTAGCTACTTACATCCTTGCATCTATTTTGTACAACGATTTCCATTAAAAGAAGTTTTCTACTCTACAAATTTCGGTATGCAGTTGCTTAGAAAGATTTATATGTGCTACAGATGGAATGTAGGTGACGTGATTTTGAAAGGACAATCCTGCTCTTCCAAAATGAAAGTGTTTCTTTTCATAAGATCAAAAAAATGAAGTGTTTCATATACAAAAGACTGGAATTCCGACATTATGGGGAGACCAGACCAACAATGAACTTTTGGGTGGAGTACAAATTATTTAAAGACCAACAAAATCTTCCTTCTCATTGTCTTGTCGCCTTCTTCTGGTAGGTATGGGATTTATCACAGATTATCAATAGGCTTTTCTCAATGCATTCTCTGTTTTACATAGCAAATAAAATGATTGGAATAAAGACTGATGAACCAAAGATTATAAATCTGTAACTGCAGGTTCTAAGCAACCAACCTGAGAGGGAGATAGTGGGGAACGAGGAACCGAGTTGTAAGCACGTGGCAAAGAAAGTATTCTATCGGAGTCATCATCATGTACGTCATGAACCGAGTTGTGAGCACGTGGCACAGAAAATATTCTATCGGAGTCATCATCATGTACGTCATGAACCGAGTTGTGAGCACGTGGTACAGAAAATATTCTATCGTCATGATCCACTGTTGCAATCTCCCTTAGCTTGCTCAGTGCAGGCAACAGAACGGTAGCAAGATCAGGTCTGTCCCTTTTCCGCAGCTCACAGCACTGCAAGGCCAATTGAGCTAGCACCTGAGTCTCTTCTTCAGGCCAGTCTGATATTTTGGGATCCAAAACTTCTCTGAGTCTCTTTTTCTCAAGTGCTTTCTCTACTCTATGGCTTAATCCCATTGCTGGCATAGCTGTGATGATTTGTAGAAGCACCACACCAAATGAGTACAAGTCTGACTTAACACCGAGCATTCCCGTTTGCTGGTACTCAGGGTCAATGTAACAAAATGTACCGGCTGCAGCTGTCATGTGATAATTGGTGAAGCTATCAGCAACAGCGATAGGTACCAACCGAGCTAAGCCAACGTCACTGATTTTGCTAATCATATATCTGTCTAGCAGTATGTTTGCAGGCTTCAGATCTCTATGTACAAGTGGCTCAGGTTTGGCCTGGTGAAGGAAGAGAAGTCCTGTGGCAATCTCAGCAGCGATTCTAAACCGTTCTCTCCAAGATAGTGGTGGAGTATTGTCTTTGCAGAAGAGACGATCCTCTAGTGTTCCGTTTTCCATATACTCATACACAAGGCATCCATACTCAGGACAAGCACCGAGGAGGATCACCATGTTAGGGTGCCTCATGCAACTTAGAACCTCAATCTAGTGAGAAAAAACGTGTGTTAATAGTAGGGAGAAGCGTGCAATACCTAAGGATGATGATGCCAAAATTGTATTATTTACCTCTTGTTGAAACTGCTTCAGACCTTGTGAGACATCTGACTTCAAGATTTTGATAGCAACAGAAGTGTTTTCAAGAACGGCTTTATACACAGGTCCATACCCTCCTTCCCCAATCTTTTGAGCATCTGAAAATCCGTCGGTTGCATCTTCGACATCTTTGATGCTGTACCGTCTGTAAGCTACGTTACTGGCCATATCTTGTTCCTTGAACTTGGCCTGCATCTCCACAAGCCTTCTCTTCTGCTTCTCCGTTTCTTCAAGACGGTGTGCCATTTCAGCAGCTTGGATCTCACTCTGTGTTTTCTGCTTATGCATCTCAGCCAGTGCCCTACGCATATCTTTTGCTGCCTCCATCTTTCTAGATTCGGCGGCAGCGCTAGGTCCTTGAAGATGAGGGGCCTACACGGTTTCTGATATTAGTCACACATATCTGGAACTTTTTCAAGGAAAGATGGAAGTAAGTATCTTACACTTTCTTTGCCCACGGAAACATTATACTGTTGCAGCTCCAGTCTCAATCTTCTCACCTCTTCTTCAAGATTGTGATTCTGAGCATATATTTATGCACATAGAACAGAAACATCTCAGTAACATGTACTTGACAACCAAATATAACTTTTCTGAAACGTTTATTTACCTGTTCAGTGATATAACTGGCCCCAGAGAAGTTTTCCTCTCCATCAGCTAACTCAGACTACAGATTACGAAAGAAAATGTCAACACGCCAGGTAACTTGGTCGATTTGAAACGTGGTGAGAATATTACTAACCATGGATGTGGAATACTGTGAGCTTCCTAAGATGCTGTAGAAACTCTCATTTGACTCACCACTGTGACCACTGGGATAGAGTTCATTGCTTAACGTTGAGGGAGAACTCTTGATAAGAGATGGCTTGTAATGAGCCGTAGGTGCAGAAAAATCTCCGTTTAATGCAGGAGATGACCTGCAAGAATGGCAAAAAAAAAACATTATGTATTCACACCAGACAGAACCGGATGACAACTTTTATGTTTGTATAATGATGCTTTACCTTCCGGGATCACTGGAAGTGGTGCTTGCCGGGCCAGGATCGGATATAGCAGAGTGCATGGGTGGTTTTGAATGGTTGGGAGAGTGGTGAGGTGTCTGAGGCCTACTCGCTGATCTGCTTGTTAATAGTTTTCCTTTAGACACAACAAAGACAGCACATGAATCTGGAGTTGTTCTAAGCAGAGCCGCTGGCACATCAACGCTCTTAAACTTCCTGATTTAAGACCATCACAGAGAGTTTTAGCATTCATGGAAGTTAAAGCCAGGTTATAGAACGAGAGAAAAGATAGATAGATACTTGAGGAAGGAGTTTCGTGCAGTGGCACCAAGGACTATATTTGCAATGGAGTTGTTATTGATGTAGTCAACAATTGCACTTGCTATGTCAATATCATGAAGCAGAACCTCCTTTGCTATAATCTGATTAAAAAAACACATGTTATGAGCTCACTTGTTTTGTATAAATGTTGTTAGGAGAAAGAGGGATTTGATCTTCTAACCCCTTTTCGAGCGCAGAATCCTCTGAAGGGAAGGAAGAACTGATGCGCCTCGTCTTCGTTGTCATCTGTGTTCTCTCCTGTACCAATTCCTGTTTAAACACTTTTCATTAGAATGTTTGTTTCATTGAATGATGGTGATGAGGATGAAGATGCCATTACTCAATTTGGTTTGAACATGGAGAAGGATACAGTTTGGAGAATCAATAACGATATTCTCAACAGCCCACTTCAAAGCATGTTGGCTGTTCTTGTCTTTGTCAATAGCTATAGCGGTAACCGCTTTACTGTCTCTTCCTTTTACTTTTCTTGCAGCCATCTTTTTTTTTCAACCTTGAAAAAGAAATGCCTGAAACTTGTTTCCCAAGCGAAAGTACAAAGACTTATAAACAAGGAGACCGAATGTAAAGGGAAGATATGAAGAACAAAGGAAAATAAAAAACAGATTTTGAACTGTTTTGTTTGTTGAGAAAATTCAAGGTCTTTAATGGTGTTTGCAATTTACTAATTTTAGTAATTTCTCAACAGCTTTTAACAGTCTATGAACAGAGAAGCAACAAGATAAAAAGAAAAAAAGAGAAGACCTTTTTTAAAAAAATTTAGTTGACTCGTATTTTTGGAGAATTCTATCTTGTAAAAATTGTATATGGTGTAAAGATTAAGTTAATGATCTTTATCTTAATAATAAATCACGCAAAAACTAAAGAGATTTTAACAAAAGTCTTGACCTTTTTATAGAGGAAAGGACATCTGTCTTGCCATTATTGAATATAGATGAAGAAAGCTAGCTTTTAAATTAATTAAATAATTGATTGGATCAACGTGTTAAGATCAAGGTCGTTGTCACATAAAGAAATTTGGGATTCCTAATTATTCATATATTGTTTTCTTTCTTTTTATTCTGTTTTATCTTCTTTATTGTGGGGGTAAGACCATTAGATCCAGGAGGAACCCATGTTTCGTTTTGGGGAAAGATAAAAGCTTAAAGGTTTCTACTTTTTTTTAGGGTTATTCTTTTGTGTGATGATTCATTGAAAACCCTCTCTGTTTTTAGTATCCTTCCTCTTCACTTTCACCTGATCCTCTGTTTTTTCTTGTATTCGGATAAAGTTTTGAGCTTTGTGTCGTTTCTTGAGATAAAAAGCTAATCTTTGAGGGGTTTCTAATTAGGGTCTGTGTATGATCTTCCTTCCTCGGTGAGATCAAGAGATCTTAGGATAATCAAAGTCTCACCAGAAACAGAGGATCTGTCTCATAGATCCGTCAGATCTGTTAACTACAGGTACGCATATCTTCTTGATTAGTGCCAAAGATAGTGTGAGGTTACTCTTAGAGAGCTGAATTGGATGTAGTATAGCAATTAGAGAAGGAGTTAGAAGATGAAAGGTTAGCCGTTAAGTGGTGTGGAAGCAGTAGCATTAAGAGAGCTTCATGGAAGAGATTTCACCAGCAGTTGCACTTACTTTAAGCTTAGCCAACACGATGTGTGACTCAGGAATCTCGTCTACTTTAGATATTACCGAGATGAAGAACGTTACTGATGCTGTTGACATGTTGTGCGATGAGAAAGATCAAAGTAGTTACAGGAATGGAGAGGTTGAGTATATGATGGAAGACAAAGCATTATCTGAAGCTAGATCCATGTCTTCTGATTTTGGTGTATCTGTTCAAGAATCAGAAGAAGATGAGGTGTTAGTATCTGACGCAACTATTATAAGTGAGGGTTTAATAGTTGTGGACGCTAGGTCTGAGATAACTTTGCCAGATACAGTTGAGATAGATAATAACGGGCGTGTTCTTGCTACTGCGATTATCCTAAACGAGACGACTATAGATCAGGTTCCCACAGCTGAAGTCCTTATCACGAGTCTGAATCACGATGTGAATATGGAAGTGGCAGCTTCAGAGGTAGTCATTAGGGTGCCTGATAATGTTGCAAGAGGAAGCAGGAGTGTCTATGAACTTGAATGTATACCTCTTTGGGGCACTGTTTCAATCTGCGGTGGAAGATCTGAAATGGAGGATGCTGTCAGTGCTTTACCTCATTTTCTGAAAATACCTATTAAAATGCTTATGGGGGATCATGAAGGGATGAGTCCAAGTCTCACATACCTTACTAGTCACTTCTTTGGTGTATATGATGGCCACGGAGGCGCTCAGGTATGCTTTTAAACATTCTATTGATTTCAGCAATGTTCAAGACATCATAGGCGGCAATTAGGCGCTTATTAGGCAGGTGTTACCGATTATTTAAACCGGTCTAGAAATGTATCGCTTAGGTGCCTAAACCGATTTTTAGAACACTAGAGTTTTTAGTAATAGAGAGTGTGAGTACTAGGAACCTGGGAAAGACGTTGAAGTTATGTTCTGTTGCCACTTGCCATAGGTTGTATGTATTTATGATATTGGGTTTTACTCGGAAATGGGATTCTTTGCAGGTTGTTATGTAATATATGATGGCTTTGGTGGAAATGGGATTCTTTGCAGGTTGCTGACTATTGTCAAGATAGAATCCATTTTGCTTTGGCTGAAGAGATCGAACGGATTAAAGAAAAATTGTGCGAGAGGAACACTGGCGAGGGTAGGGAGGTTCAGTGGGAGAAAGTCTTTGTCGATTGTTATCTGAAAGTTGATAATGAAGTTAAAGGCAAAGTCAGCAGACCTGTTGTTGGTGATGATAAGATGGTTCTTGAGGCTGTTTCTCCTGAAACCGTGGGATCAACTGCTGTGGTTGCTCTGGTCTGCTCATCACATATAATAGTCTCTAACTGTGGTGATTCAAGAGCTGTCCTACTCCGTGGCAAAGACTCCATGCCTTTATCTGTTGATCACAAAGTAAAGTATCCTCCCTATCCTTCAATGGTACATGAGAAAGTTTCTTATATCTTAATTCTCTTTTTGCAGCCAGATAGAGAGGATGAGTATGCAAGAATAGAAAGAGCTGGAGGAAAAGTTATACAATGGCAAGGTGCACGTGTTTCCGGTGTTCTCGCCATGTCAAGATCCATTGGTATATGTCAAAACTCTGCAATTTACTCTCTGCAAAAATCATTACATTTCCTCAAGAGGATGTTCTGTGTTTTTCTTCAGGTGATGAATATCTTGAGCCATATGTGATACCAGATCCTGAAGTGACGTTTATGCCACGAGCAAGAGAAGACGAGTGTCTTATATTAGCCAGTGATGGACTTTGGGATGTAATAAGCAACCAAGATGCTTGCGAGTTTGCAAGGAAAAGGATCTTATGGTGGCACAAGAAGAATGGAGCATTGCCTTTAGCTGAGAGAGGTGTAGGGGAAGACCAAGCTTGCCAAGCAGCAGCTGATTATCTCTCCAAACTCGCTATTCAGAAAGGAAGCAAAGACAATATCTCCATCATAGTGGTTGACCTTAAAGCTCAGAGAAAGTTCAAGACCAAATCTTGAAAACAGTGTACGCTCCAGCTCTTCTTACAACAATACTATAATTTTTATTTTTATTTTTTAATTTGCACAAGTTTTACATAAAAATAAGAAGTGAAAATGTTGAAGGGAAGAAGAATTAAAGACTGGTGATGATAGCTTAAAGTCCATTCCTTTTTCTCATGGACTTGAATGTGTATGTTTGTTATGTATAAGAAAGAATAGAAGAAATGTTTTTTTTTTTCTTGGCTTATAAAAAATGTAGATGGATATTTTGTGTGATATTGGAGATGTGGCTCAAGGAAAATGTAATTTGGAATTTATCTTACATTAACCTTAATACTTTTATCTAATTTATCTTCTTCTATGTATATATTCTTCCTGTATTAGAGAAATTATTGTCTTTGCTATTGTTGTAACAAGGGATGATGCTATAAATTGATTTATAAAACATAAACAGTGAGGTTAAGAGAGGGCGGTTCATAAAACATTTAGAAGTCTCTATTTTCATGATCTTTTTCACTAGGAGCAGAAAGTAATAAATAATAAAGACTTTAGAGTTGGGGATTAAGATCATGATTAACCCGAAATTTTTAGGATATGGTACTTATAGGAATTTGAATTTTTTTTTTTAATTTTTAACTAAAAAAATTAAGAACCGATTCTTAAAATCTTTATTTAAGAACTATTTCTTAATTTTTTAATTAAAAATTAAGAATTTAAGAATAGGTTAACTTTTTAGTTACAAGTTAAGAATTTTTTTTTTAAATTCCGCTAAAAACTCTATCCTAAGAACCCTGGTTAATCATGTTCTAACTAAACAAATGTTAAATAATTTAATTAATCAAATAAAAGTGTAACTGCTAAATGGAATAAAGTAGCATAATATAAAAAGATAATAATAGTAGGAGCTGGTGCAAGAGTGGTGTGTATAGACTCAAACAAGGTCCTCAGCCAAAGCAAGGATCTTGAGCTGTTTCCTATGGCGCAGCTCGTGGGGGACAGGACCAAACACACGAGTACCAATCGGTTGGTGAAACCCACCTTTATACTTTTCCGTGCGTTTCTTAATTCCCAAAATAACGATGGCGTTGTCATCAAAACACACTTGACTTCCATCAACACGACCTTTCTGCATCTTAGCACGTACAACAACACCGTACACGACATTCCCTTTGTGCACTTTACCTTTTGGTATAACACTTTTCCAGTCAAACTTTTTACCTATTGGTACAGCTGGTACATAGCCATCTTTCTCATTCGCTTTCTTCACTTTAACTACTGGTAAGCCTTCTTTAACTGAACCAATGATGATATCTCCAAGTCTTGCTCCTTTCTTTCCCCTTAGAGATTGAATGCACACCACCTCCTTTGCACCCGAGTTATCCACTACTTTGAGTCTTGTTCCCATTTGAATGAACGTCCTTTGTTGCTGCTGCTGCTGCTGCTGCCAAAATTGGAAATCATTATCAGGGAACACACAGTTCACAATGTTTTCACCAAGGCTAGAGGATATTAACCTGAGAGATGGTGCTTCCACTCATCATTCCAGTGGATGAACTCATCAAACCAGAGAAAGCATTCGTAAGACCTCCAAGCAATGAACGTCCTGCTCATAATGTCGATCAATCATATCAAGACAACATGAGCCACACAAAGACTCTCAGCAAAAAGGTTAAACGAGCATGGACTCTTTTGAGTCTACATTTTTAGTATTATTTTCATGATAAGTTCTCAGACCATCTCCATTGGGAGGTTCTTACGACGGATTCTTATATTAGGTTGAGAACCCCGTAGTAAGAACTCCTCAATGGAAATGGAAGTATTCTCAAAGATCGATTTTCTTAAGCCAACAAAAACACATATTCTCAAATATCGTTTAAAAAATAAAGAAGATATTTTACCGACCAAACTTCGAAGATGTAAAGTGTAGGTTTTGTTTTTCTTGGAAAAAGTTAACTTTACAAAGAAAATCATACTATAAAAACCCATAATTTAAATTAGCGAGTAGCTATATGAGAAGGCGTAAGAGATGAATACGTTTTTTTACCTTTGGTGAGTCTGGAAACTAAAGCTGTCGCCATTTCTGCTACTAGAGAGGTTTAGATCTAAATGGTTTTGAGTGTTGCACACACAATTGTGCTTAGCTACTTTAAAGGAACCCCGAAATATTAGGGTTCTCGTCTTAGCGATCATAATTAGGGGTCCGATTGTGTCTGACTTTCAAGACTGTTACTGTTAGGACTTTTAATTTTAGTTTGGCTGTTAAAACTTTTAAATTTAAAAATTAAAATTGGCTTTAGAAATATTTAAAAGCCTGAAATTGTGGCTTTGAAAATCTAAGTCACGTTAAAGAGTAAAGTTAGTTATTTTGACTGTGAGATTTTTTAGGAAGGCTTTTAGGACTTTAGAAAGTTTAAAGTCTGATTGGAATAAATTTGGCTTTAAAGACTTTACAAATAATTTAAAGCCTCCAAAGTCTCTACAGCTAAAACAACAATCGGACCCTAGGCTTTGTGAAATGGTTAAAAATGGATAGTAAAGTAAAAAAAACACTGCATAGTCAAAAGTGAACGTGTCGGAGTGTTTTTGGGCTTGTCTAAAACTCATATGGGCTTTGCTCGCATAGGTTCGCATGATGCGAGGTTACATTATTTTCATTTTTAATTTATTCTTTTTTTGAAAACAAATCCTCTAAAAAATTAAAACCACACTTTTAAAAACTTAAAACATGATTAACGAGGAGTTTTAAAGTAGAGTTCTTAGCGCGAATATAAACATCTCTTAATTTTTAACTAAAAGATTAAGAACCGACTTTTAAATATTTAATCAAAACCTAAAATTTAAATTTGGGGTGGGGTTTTGGGGTGGAATTTAGATTTTTTTTGTAAAAAATAGATAATTAAAATTTAAGGTTTAAAATAATATTTATAAATCTATAAATGTATACTTGTCATTTACTTTCTAATGTAATATTTTTAGTCATTTTTCTTTTTGCGTCTTTTGGTAAGAAAAAAAATATTTTAGAGTCTTTTGGAAAATTTACTCTAAAATATCTCACCATTGAAATTTGCAGCTGTTATTTGTGAATTATAATTATAAGGACAAGTGAATTTTTAATTCATATCTATAAAAGTCTACAAATATTCTTTCATTTACCGACAACAGATATAATCTTTTTTATTTACTTTCTCCTCTTAACGTCAAACTTTTTTGATTAAACTATCTACAATATCGAAATTAATATTCTGTTAGATATCACATTCAAGAAAAAGTCAGTCCAATTTTGTTAAATCCTCTACGTTATTGAACTTAATTCATAAGTCGTAATAAAAAAACAATATCACTTATGCACCGACCACAATCAGTTTTTTTCTGTTAGCTGAGCATCAACCGTCACCCTACCGTTTATTCCGCAACATTGAAGAAGGTTCAAAATGGTGAGATATATACATAATGAATTTACACAAAAAGAGTTTGCATTACATATCTCATGAAACACAACACGTAGACGAGTAAAACGAATATGCGACACAGGTAGATTTTGTACCCGTTCTGTTTCATGAGTTTCAAAAACCTTTTCTTAGTAAACTCTCCGTATTTTCGTCGAAAATTCTAAGTATTTTGGTTCTTTTTTGATTAAAAAATGCGAACCTCAAGTTATCACATCATCTACACCAAAAGGTTATATATATCATCATCATGTGCGACAGTTTTAAAAGTATCAATGTTTATGTTTGCTCAACGAATCTAATGTTTTCATCGTCTTCTTCTACTACTACTACTCCCAAAAAGTTCGATGTCTTTCTGAGTTTCAGAGGCAAAGACACTCGAAGAATCTTCATCAGCTTCCTCTACAAAGAACTCGTTCGTATGAGTGTTCGAACATTTAAAGACGACGTTGAACTCAAGAGTGGCCGTCGTATATCTTCAGATCTCCTTTTAGCCATCGAAAGTTCCAAGATCGCCGTCGTGGTTGTCTCCAAGAAATATCCTGCCTCTCCATGGTGTCTCCATGAGCTAGTGAAGATCATGGACGTCGAGAAACAAGGCTCCCTCACCGTCGTGCCAATCTTCTACAACGTTGAGCCTGCTCATGTAAGGAGACAGATCGAAAAAGTGGCTGAACAGTTTGTAAAACATGAAGGGAGGGAAGATCATGAGACTGTTGTGTCATGGAGGCAAGCTTTGACTAATTTGGCTAGTATCTCTGGTCATTGTTCTCATGAATGGTACTTTCATATCATGTTATCTTTCACACGATATACCGTTCAGGTTCGGGTTGGTTTCGGGTTTTTTAGTTAGAGATTTAAGTTAATTTTTAATATTTATAAATTTCAGTTCAGATTTGTTTGGATTACGATTTTATATTTATGTAACAAAAACTATAAATTTAAATACACATTAACTTTTTGAAAATCCAAAATAAGTTATATACAACATATAAATTTGAATAAGGTGTTATCAAATATAGAAAATAAACGTGAAAACCGATTTGGTTGGATGTTTGGATAGATGTATGTATTTCGGTATTTTGAATATTTTTAATTATTTTCGGATATTTAATTGAGAAAATGACCAGAATATACCTAAAAAAGTTTTTATCACAAATATAGACTTTAACAATTAAAATGACCAAAATATCACTTAAATATTTGATTAAATATACATTTATACCTTTGGGTTAACTAATCCTACATTTTTTTGTTTAGAGTTAAGGAGTGGAGTTTTGGGGATAGGGTCTCGAATTTAAAAAAAATTAAAAAACTTAAAATTTTCAAAATAAAAAGTGCTATTTTGGTTATTTTAATTTTTGAGGACTATTTTTGATAAAAACTTAAAAGATGGCTATTTGAGAGAATAACCCTATTTAATTTTAGACATTTTGGATATTTTGGATATTTTTAGATATTTTAGATAAAGTATTTTTGACTATTTTGGATACTTTAGATATTATATTTAAAATAATTAATATATCTAACCATATAATTTTGATTTTTACTCTGTTTCAGTGAAGATGACTCGAAGCTAGTCGATGAGATTATCAAGAGAATATCCAACATGTTATTACTCTCTGCAACACCATCAAGTGATGGTCTCAATAACCAACTTGGGATCGATGCACACATGAAAGAGCTGTATCCATTGTTAAATTTGAATTCCAATGAAGGTGTGAGACTCATTGGAATATGGGCAAGAGGAAGCAGTGTAAGATCAGCTCTAGCTAGATTCGTCTACAAGAAAATCCACAAGAAGTTCCAAAGCAAATGTTTTCTCGAAAACGTTAAAGGGATTCCTCAAGATTGTCAAATGTCGAATCTTAGAGAAGAGTTTCTGATAAGGATCCAAGGAGGGTACACAACGATGAAGACCTCTGGTTTGATCAGAACAAGGCTCATGAGTCAGAGAGTTCTCCTAGTGGCTAACAATGTTGATAAGCTGGAACAGTTGGATGCTCTTGCGGAAGACTTTAACTGCTTTGGTCCTGGTAGTGTAGTTATCATAACTTCACATGACAAACAGCTTCTTGTTGGGTTTGGGATAAAGGTTGTGTATGAAGTAGAGTGCTTGAGATGCTTTGAAGTTCGTCAACTCTTTCGTCAATCCTCCTTTAGAGAGAGAGACCTTTAAAGGAGGTAACTCTGTTTCTGGTTCTTGAATGATTAGGTTCGTCTTAGAGTTCACTTTATAGAGGTGAGCTCTTTGCTTGTGACTTGTATATATTTGCTAGTGTACAAAGAAGTAGATATCAACGGTTGATCCAATAACAAAGCCACGGAGAGCTCTGTTGTTTTAGTCTTTGAGCTTTCACTGTCTTGGAATAATGAATCATTGGGCACTCTCTCTCTCTTCATGTCTTTGTGATTACACATCTTGAGAGAGTCCAGCGTGTTATGTTAGGGTAATAACTTGTAGCCCAAGAATTGAGTGTTTGTATACTTCACTTTGTAGTCGCTACCTTACAGACTATTTTTTTGCTCTGTTTGGGACTTTCTTGATGTAAAGTATTTTATCAATAAAGAAATTTGTTCTGTGTGCTTTTCTTGCTTTTTTAATTTAAAAATTACAAACGTTAGTGTACATTATAAGTTGAATAAGTTGCATTAGATGTTTCGCATTTCTGTGATTGATTATCTGAAAATTGTTTTAGTAGCATCTATGTTGATTACTAATGTACATTATTATGATTTTTTTTTTTGAGTGATTTAGTGAACTACCCCTATTTGAAGCTCAAATTAGCAAAATACCATTGATTGGACATAAAGGACACTGACACAACCATTTGGTAAGGAAATGCCGAGAATACCCTTTCTCTTTTCTCTCATTAACACGAAGCGTAAAAACATTTGTTAACATATAACAATTCTGTTAACGTCTACAATATTTGTTAACAGCCAACACATTTATTACCACGAAGCGTAAAAAGAATTGTTAACATTTAACACTTTTGTTAACGTCTACAATATTTGTTAACAGCGAACATATTTATTAACGCGAAGCGTAAAAATAATTGTTAACAACTAACACTTCTGTTAACGTCTACAATATTTGTTAACCGCTAACACAACGTCGAATCTAAATCCCAGAAAATTGATATCATCAAAAAAAATGGAGGATTCAAAGCCACTTATGAAAAAAATAATGAAATTTAAAATTTAATTGTATGTACTTCTCTAATATCAACACCAAATATGGGTACTTCTCTAACGTCTACAATATTTGTTAACAACCAACACATTTAAAAATTATATATTTTTAATAGAGGTGTTATGTATTAACTATTATTTAAGAATCAAAGTGAACTCAAAAATANAATTTAATTGTATGTACTTCTCTAATATCAACACCAAATATGGGTACTTCTCTAACGTCTACAATATTTGTTAACAACCAACACATTTAAAAATTATATATTTTTAATAGAGGTGTTATGTATTAACTATTATTTAAGAATCAAAGTGAACTCAAAAATATTTAACATATTTATTTTGCATGTAATTCATTTTGAAAATGATAAGAGGAGAGAAATGAAAAAAAAAATGACACACCCACATGTAAATGCAGGAAGGAAGGAGAGAGAGAAAGAATGGTAATTTGGTCAGACAAAATAAATATGTCTCATCATGGGCAAGTGACTAATATACACCCCGGCCAATTAACTCTTTTTTTTTAATGATTCTGAATATCGGCAATCTTGTCTCCAAATTTCTCTCTTCAACTGGATATTTGGAGTTAGGAAAATATAAGCGTTAGGAAACTGAGATCAAATGAAAGTGAAAATGTTAAGAGGTAAGCCATTTTTTATATACCTTGGGAGCAACAAATGGGTTAACAACAAGTCTGATCCGATTTGTTATTTGAGTTGCGCAACTCTTCAGGCAAACTGGGCTTTCTCTTACACTGAAATCTATTTTGAATGTGTTATTAGTGTCAGGAAGAAGTCCAATATAAGAAACTGAAAAGTGTGAACGTATTACCGTTGATTAGGTCTTTAAAACACCAATAGTCAATAGTTAGTTGGTTACCTCTACACGCTTCCTTACCGGGTTCAATATTATTACTGTGTGTTTTCAACGACGCTCATGTTCGGAAATATTTATCTTATTGTAAAATTTCAAACCAAACCTACGGCATGCAAGTTTTTTCTTACATTTCGTAATATTAAAGGAAGAGATCAATCATATGATTCATATCACATGCATATGCAATGTTGCTCCATTCTAAACGTATGCGAGTATGTGACAGTGTGGATTATAAGCAATATTTTTGTATTTTTTCTGGATTAAAGGATTCTTTTTCTCAAAAAGAAAAAAAAAGATTCTTTTTCTCAAACGTATTTACATATATGTACATAAATCCAGAAAACCTGATATAAACTCATCTAATGTTCTTTTAACATTGCTTAAATATATGAAATTGCTTGCTTTAAATAAGATCTAAATATGAAAGGGACTAAGCATCAGTTCTTTTTAAAAATTTGGAAAGGAACTTTCATATATCTTTGCTTCAATACAAAGCAAAAAAAAAAAAAAGTTTGGTGTACGATTTCACGTTTCAACTCAAAAACTTACACATCTCACAAATTTATTTCTATATTATAAAAAGTATTATATTTTCCGTCTTTTGCAAGATGTAAATATGTCATTTACTCTACTAATTTAGCAATACATTGCTGTAAATAGATAAAAAAAAACACGATCAAAACGGTATCATCACAAACGTTATTAAATAAATAATCTCACCAAAAAAAATGCTTAGCTAATAACAACTGGAACCCTCGTGACTTTTTTTTTTAGCACCGTTTACATATATACTCCCGAAAAGCTGTGACATGAACGCGCTCATGTGCCGCGCGTAAACTCCATCCTCCGCGTTGAGCTGTCACTCTCTTTGTCGGTCTCCGTCTCTTTTTACCTCTCACCACTTTCATTATTTAAAAAACTAATCAAACCATTAGAGAAACAAAAAAAAGCTTCACTGTAACTCTCTAACACATTCATTTAAAACGCGCCATTACCTTATCACACCACTCTTCTCACCTCTCTCTTCTCTCTAACTCTCCGAACATGACAGACGACAGAGTCTACCCCGCGTCAAAACCTCCCGGCGCAGCCACCACCAACCCAACTTTCCCGGCTAACAAAGCTCAGCTCTTCAACGCAAACCGCCCCGCGTACCGCCAACCGCCCTCCCGCCGCCGCACACATTCCCGCGGATGCTGCTGCCGCTGCTGCTGCTGGACGATCTTCCTCCTCATCCTCCTCATCCTCCTCGCCGCCGCCGCCTCCGCCGTCGTCTACCTTATCTACCGTCCGCAACGCCCCACCTTCACCGTCTCCTCCCTCAGAGTCTCCTCCCTCAACTTCACCTCCGCCAACCACCTCACCACCGCCATCTCCCTCTCCGTCGTCGCCAAGAACCCCAACAAGAACGTCGCCTTCGACTACGGCGTCACAGACATCACCGTCTTCAAAACCTCCCCCGGAGACGACGACGATGACGTCGTCATCATCGGTAAAGGCACGGTCGCTCCGTTTCTCCACGGGAAGAAGAACACGACTCTGCTGAAGTCGACGATCGGGAGCCCTCCCGGAGATCTTGATGAGCTCTCGGCGGGGAAGCTTAAGGGAGAGCTGAAGGCGAAGAAGGCCGTGGCGGTTAAGATTGTGCTCGATACGAAGGTGAAGGTGAAGATGGGATCTGTGAAGAGTCCTAAGTCGGGGATTAGGGTTACTTGCGAAGGGGTTAAAGTGGTGGCTCCGAGTGGGAAGAAGGCGACGACGGCTGTTACTTCGGTGGCTAAGTGTAAGGTTGATCTTAGGATCAAGATCTGGAAATTCACTTTTTAACCGTTCGGGTTAAAAAAATGAATGTAATTTTTTTTTCTTCATCTTCTATTGTTTTAATTTTCGTTTTTAATTTGATTTCGTATACAGTTTTAAGATTCTCGTAAGACTTTATTTTTTTGGGTTTATGTAAATGAGATATAATATATTTGTGTTCGGTCTGAGCGTTTTACTGTTTTGTCTATTATTTTGTGAAAAATTTGTTATACAAACAAGTTAAAACAGTTGATTAGAGTTAGAGTTACTGTTGGAATTTGATTAAGAGAAGTGATGATGACGAACAACAGGAATGCGAGAAGCAGACGCAGCCGTAATTAATTAATGTGGTAATAATGCAAGTGAGGTGACCATTACCCGTATAAGTCTATTACTGCAAGTGCTTTGGACAATTAATCTCTTAAAGTAGACAATTAAGCTGAGCTACTACTCTTAGCTTAGTTGTATCAATTAATTGAGCCTGCCATGTGGTCCATGTGTGTATGAGAATATACTCATAACATACCCTTAAGAAGTAAGAACCTATCTCAACTATTGCTTCACCATGAATTCACTCACATTCATATAATTGGTGGTCTATCATTAATCTCCAGGTCTGTTGGGTGATGTATTTTTTATTGATAAAATGTGGGCTGGATAAAGTCTAGAAGGTGTCGGTGAATATGTTCGATTTAACTTTAACAAGCACAAGCAAAGCTACGATGATTCATGATTGAAAAGCAGGTGTTATGTAATTATCAACAACAAAAAAGGAGATTAGGTGTTGTGGTGTAAAACGACGACTAACATGTGACAGAATTTGTTCTTTTTCCACAAAATAATAATATATAAACATCAAGTAGTTTGCAAAATCTTCTTATTTCAACTCAAAAGACAAAGTTTTTTCTTGATTTAGTTAGTTTAATCAGTTAAGAATAACTATCAGAATTCGAATTGAATATTGCATATAGAAGTATTAGTATAATTTACATTTGATGGACCAGTCACATATTTTGGGTTTAAAGATACTATATAAACCACTCTAAATTCAATCCACAAGACAATTAATTAATTTTGGAACAAAAAGAAGAGATAATTTGTCTATTTTTCTTTTTGAAACTCTAAAAATATATTTAAAGGGAGAAATTGTCTTATTTATAAAGCTATACAAACTCTGAATGGCAACAACAAAAAAATATATAAACGGCTATAATGTCAATAAGTGCTAGATAATAAAAATTATATAAACAATTTCATATAAGTGGTACATAATAAAACCAAATATATTATACTAAAAATCTTATTTCTACAATTATAATGTCAATCAGTGTGTAGAATCAAAATGATAATGTAACAGAACTAAGGAATAAAACATGTGACCACCACATGCTATTACATGTCCAAGTTGACTTTTTAGTCATCCACAAAGCGCCTTGAGCTATTTTAACTGTGTTTTGCCTCTGCGTAACTTATTTTCACTTTTACTTCACGGTAAAATTGCAATAAGAGACTATTTCACTTTTTACATTCACCGCTTCCTTGCTTTTCCCTCTTCGACTTTGATGGTTCACGCTTCTCTCCGGCGATTTCGTCTCCAAGAAATCCCTTCGCGCCTTCTTCGTAATCGCTGTTTCAACACTTATCCACCAATCTCTTCTCAGAGGATCGTTTCGGTTTCCTCATGCTTGTCCTTTACCACTGATAACGATCATTACTTCAACCACGTTCTTGAATCATCCGTGACAGCTCAGCAATGCCAACAAATTCACGCTCAACTACTTATAACCGATCTCATCCACCGTTCAGGATCATTACCCGCGAAACTCGTCTCGGTTTACACCCGGTTTAGTCTCCTCCACCATGCACGTAACGTGTTCGACACTATTCCTCTTGCTTTCCACTCGGATTTACGTTTATGGAACTCGATTTTGAAATCTAACGTCTCTAACGGACAACACGAGAACGCTCTCGATCTCTACAATGTAATGCGTGGACAAGGACTCACAGGAGACGGGTTTATCTTACCATTAATCCTCCGAGCTTGTCGTTACTCAAGTCGTTTTGGTTCGTGCAGGGCTTTACATAGTCACGTGATTCAGATTGGTTTGTTAGAGAATCTTTATGTAGTGAACGAGTTGCTTAGTTTGTATCCGAAGGCGGGAAAGTTGGGAGATGCATATAAGTTGTTCGTTGAAATGCCTGTGAGAAACCGAATATCGTGGAACGTTATGATCTCAGGCTTTTCTCAAGGGTATGACTGTGGGAGCGCTGTTAGGGTTTTTGAGTGGATGCAACGTGAGGAGTTTGTGCCGGATGAAGTGACTTGGACTTCGGTTTTGTCGTGTCATTCTCAATGTGGGAAGTTTGAAGATGTTGTTAAGTATTTTGAGGTTATGAGGATGAGGGGGAATGTAGTTAGTGGCGAGGCTCTTGCTGTTTTGTTCTCCGTGTGTGCTGAGTTGGGAGCGTTTGGTGCTGCTGAGAAGGTTCATGGGTTTGTTGTTAAAGGTGGGTTTGAAGGGTTTTTGCCTTCGAAGAACGCGTTGACGTATGTGTATGGGAAGCAAGGGAGGGTTAAAGAAGCTGAGGAGTTGTTTAGGGAGATAAGGAATAAAGGTATTGAGAGTTGGAATGCTTTGATCACATCGTTTGTTGATGCTGGTAAACTCGACGAGGCGGTTTCGTTGTTTAATGAGTTGGAGGAGATGAATGGCTTTTGTAACGTTAAGGCTAATGTGGTTACTTGGACTTCTGTTATCAAGGGGTGTAACGTGCAAGGAAGAGGAGATGATTCGCTTGAATATTTCCGGAGGATGCAATTTTCAAAAGTTTTGTCTAATTCAGTGACGATTTGTTGTATACTATCCATTTGTGCGGAGCTTCCAGCTTTGAATCTGGGGAAAGAGATCCATGGACATGTGATTAGAACATCGATGAGTGATAATATTTTGGTTCAGAATGCATTGGTGAATATGTACAGCAAATGTGGGTCACTTAGTGAGGGGAATCTTGTATTTGAAGCAATTAGGGATAAGGATCTGATCTCATGGAACTCGATAATCAAAGGTTATGGTATGCATGGGTTTGGTGAGAAAGCTCTAAGTATGTTTGATAGAATGATAAAATCCGGGTTACATCCTGATGGGATTGCTTTGGTAGCTGTTCTTTCAGCTTGTAGTCATGCAGGGCTTGTTGAAAAGGGACGTGAAATTTTTAGTTCGATGAGTAACAAGTTTGGAATAGAGCCACAACAAGAGCATTATGCATGTATTGTTGACCTCCTTGGTCGTGTAGGGCTTTTGAAAGAAGCTAGCGAGATTGTGAAGAGCATGCCTATGGAGCCTAACGTCTGTGTGTTGGGAGCTCTGTTAAATTCTTGCCGGATGCATAAAAACATGGACATCGCAGAGAATATAGCACCACAGCTTTTCGATCTTGAACCGGAGAAGACAGGAAGCTATATGTTGCTGTCTAACACTTACTCTGCTGAAGGAAGATGGGAAGAGTCTGCAAAGGTTAGGGCTTTAGCTAAGAAAAAGGATCTTAAGAAACTTTGTGGAAGCAGTTGGATTGAGTTAAAGAAGAAAGTCTACAAATTCTCATCAGGATCATCAGTACAGAGCGAGTTTGCGAGTGTCTACCCGGTTCTTGAGGATTTGGTTAGTCATATGTGGAAGAAAGGCCATACACACGATGGAAACAGTTACGAGGTTGATCATGACTTATGGACATAATAGCTGAGTATATTCCGCACAGACTGAGAAGATGCACAAGAAACAAAAACCAATTTTACAGAACTTATCAGGCAATGCTACAGACCTTTCAAACTAGCATTGACCATTTACCAAACTAGTCTCAAAAATGAAGAGTGTTGCAGGTTCTGATAAATGATGACCGTAGGCAAAGCAAAGGAACGCTCTTGCCTTTCCTGTACTAACGACATATGTCGAGCTGCTGCAGAACCAAGTTGAGTTCAGCCTTGGAACATTCAATCTGGCATTAAAGATCACACAGAATCCTAGAACACCCACCAATTGGTCATGGTCACACAAATCAGCTTCGAAGTCAAAGATAATGGTGTGCACAACGATATCTTTCTGAGATTCTACTATATGAGATTTAAGTTCAATCATACTCGTACATTAAAATTTATGAAATAATCTCAATACCAACTATATTGTTAAACACCCTTTGTCACAAAACAGACTTGGCTTCAAACAGGTCCCTCTCACAGAAGTTGAATGTGAAGAATTGGTGAAGCATCCCAATCTATATCTTACCTGTTCCTTATAACTAAAACCAAAAAAAAAAACTTCTTTTTACAAAGTCTATGCAACAGCCGGAAGTTCTTACTTCTGATAAGGATGGTATCGACCTGGCCCTAAACCATTGGTCCCATTTCCTCTGCCACTGTTACCGTCTCCATGAGCTTTTCCACCTCCATAAGCAGCTGCGGCAGTAACACCATAGCCACCACCCATATGGCTATAACCGCCAGCTCCATAGCCAGGGTTAAACATTTGACCTCCATAGCCATAACCATAACCATAGCCATACCCACCACCGTAACCATAAAATCCAGCAGCATTAACCATGGAGTTCCCAGCGTATGATCCATAACCGCCATAGCCACCATAACCACCATACATATCGTAATCTTCATTTGCTTGCCCACCATAACAATCTTCCTGATCATACTTGCCACCACTAGTGCCATAGGAGCGAAAGCTGTTATCTCTTCCGGTTTTCTTTGGTTCAGCCCTTTTTATATCGACCTATTGAGTTTGAGTCATGATCAATGCTTGAGATCACTAACTAGTAACTACGGTTCTGTAGCTTAAAATTTGAAAACAAAAAGGGTAAAAGAGAGGGTTACCTGTTTGTCACCGAGCTCATGGACTTTACCATCAGAGAAAAGTCTGTCCACAGAATCTTCAGTCAGAAAGGTTACAAAACCGAACCCTCTTGATCTTCCAGTGTGGTGGTCGTACATGATCTGATGCTCAATTATGTCACCATATACACAGAAATACTTCTTCAGCTCATCTACAAATATGAAAAAGCCACATTATCAGCAATAGTAAACAACCACATACACAGAATAGAAAACCTTAGAGAAACTTTTTACCTTCTTCTAAAAATGGTGGAAGTCCACCAACAAAGATTTTCCTAGTTTTTGATACCGCTTTGATATCAGTTTCCCTATCCCCTCTAGGAACTGTCCTTTTCAGGTCAACCTAACATAGAAGTTGGAATCAACTAAAGCATCCAACAAGTTAAGAACTGAGAAACTTTAGTGATAACTTACCTTCCGGTCATCTATTACATGCTCTTCCTCCAAAACTTTCTCTGCTACAACAGAATCAGCAAAAGTCACAAACCCAAATCCTCTAGGCTTTCCAGTCATTCTATCTCTCATGATTACCGAGTCTACAACTTCTCCAAACTTCCCAAAGTACTTCGCAAAATTTTCTGAATATCAAAAAGTGGAAGCAAATGGAATCAAAACAAAAAATGTGTTAAGAACCTAAGATGAACCATCCATTTAAATCTCAGTTCAGACAAAAGAAAAAGACACAACAAAAAAAACATCTTACCTTCAGATGTTTCCCAAGAAACTCCACCTACGAATAGTTTCCTAACACAACAAAACGTTCCATCAAAATCTTTAGCACCCAAGAAAATAAAAACAAGTATAAACCCTAAGATAACACTAACCCAGGAGAACACATGGACGAAGAAGAATGACGATGGTCACTAGATTGCTTCACTTGCATCCCACCAATATCTACAACAGCTGGAGCACCACCGTTCCTCCTGTCATCAACAGTCTCCACTACATAATCTGGTATCTGCTTGTCTTGTTGGTGACGATGGTATGAGTCATCATCATCATCATAACCACGACCTGAGTTATAATCCATCGATCACTAAAAATGAATCAAAACACACACAAAAACCTAAACTTTCTCCTTCTCCTTCTCCTGATGAAACCCAAAACAACAACAAAGTGAATATTTTTTTTTTTCTCTACGATTCAGATTCTTTGTTTCTAGAGTTCCGATAGCATAAAAAACATTCAAAGTTCTGAACTTGGAGAACGACAAGCTCAGGCGAGGAGTTTTGTCTTTTTAAACAAAAAGTTTATTAGTATTTTTTTTTATTCGGCGTTATCAACTTAATAGTCATCAGAATATACGAAAACGACGGCGTTTTAATGTGGTCAAACGTTAGTCAACATCAGGGAGATCAAAGGTTGAATTGTGTTTGAACTTTGAACGCTTTTAAATTGTAAAGTTGACATCTTTACATAACAACAAAGAAACTCTCTTTAGTTCGTTCAGGTTGAACTGAAAATGTAAGAACAAATCTTTTTAAAGCTTTATTAGCTTTGTTGAGATTTTGCAGCTTTTAGTGCTTCAATAACCGCAGAGAAATCTTCATCGCTCAAACCATAAGACTTGGCGACTTTGTAAAGCTCGTTTGCTGCTGTTGCAATTGGAGTGGACTGAGATACAGACTCAGCTAGTCCCAGTGCAAGTCTCATATCCTATACCATGCATAAGCAAATCATTGAGAGACTAAGTCTTTGTGAGAGTTCTCAACAAGGAGATAAGATTGTTTTGACAAACCTTCTGCTGATGCTTCAATGGAAAAGCTGTAGGGTACACTGACTTGATCATTGAAGGACCCTTGAGTGAATACATTGGCGCATTGATAGCTCCCTGTGAGACTACCTGTAGAGGTTTTTTTTCCCTCAGGTTAATAGCAGATTCGAGAGGGGAAGTTTCTGTTGTGAGGATGGTGTTTTTGACTTACCTCGACTAGTACATTTGGATCAAGTCCTACTTTCTGGCTTAATAGTATTCCCTCGGCGAATGATGCCATCATACTGCAAGATTGAAATGAGACTGGAGAGTCTGATATTTGTCAGGAAATGAGTTTATGGATGGTGAATTAATACCTTCCCATGATCATGTTGACGACAAGTTTCATTGCTGCGCCATTACCAACTTCACCCAAATAGAATCTTGACTGGATCATATAATGCAAACTAGTAGTTTATTTACAGAAGAACATGAAGCAAAACACAAGGAAAAAAAAGAGATACCTTTCCCATGATGTCTAAGAAAGGAGCAGCTTTTTCGTATAGCAGCTTGTCACCTGAAATTGTTATTCTTAAATATCATTTCATTTAGCCATGTTACAGGACATAGACAAGACTAACATGGACAACCAGAACGCAAAGGAAACATAGTCTGAAAATGTATAAATTGATGATAAGCATAGATGAAACAAGTTCAGTGAGGAATAAGCTGTTTACTAACCTGCAGTGAGGAATATAAGCTGACCATCTTCGGCAGGCTTTTTGGAACCAGAAACTGGTGCCTGTGAATAATCAACAACAGTGACTGAAGACATTTACTAAAAGTTTTTTTGAATGATTCCAAACAAATATTTTTAAAAATTCTTTACCTCTAAAAACAATGCTCCAGTATCCTTTATTTGCTTGCTAATTAATATCGATGAAGCAGCATCAACGGTTGAGACATCAACATACCTGCATTAGCAAGACAAAGCCCATTTTCATTATTATCAAGTGTAGTAGACGTGGTAAACCTCACGAAGGAGTAGAGGTGTTAAGTACCCTTTTCCTGAACTAATTCCAGATACGGCTCCATTCTTTCCACAGGCAACATCTATCTGACAGAAAGCATAACATAGTTTCTTGTCTTTTAAATGGGAGTGGAAGAAGTTGACCAAACAAACAAAAAAAAAGTGAAACATACGCACTGCACTTTCAGGATCTGCTAGCATTGCAAATGTGAGATCGCAAGCTGCTGTCACTTCTTCAGGAGAAGACTTGTATCTGCAAGACAGGGAAAAAAAAACTTTCTTAAGCATAGGTTTTTGCATATACACTAACTTTAAAACCTCTCCTGGAGATATATATCATTTCATTATTTAATCTTTAAAAAAAAGCATTGAGATTCTTACTTTGCTCCTAATCCGACGAGAGGGTCACATTTGCTCTTAGTTCGATTCCACACAGTCACATTACACCTAACAACCCAGCACCAAAAGATAATAACATCCCCAAAGTCTAAAAACTGTTCCTTTACTGGAGGTATAATAAGTTTGCAAGGCAAAAAAAAAAGTATTACCCAGCTTTGAGGAGGTTTTGTGCCATTGGAGAACCCATGATTCCAATACCCAGAAACCCAATGCTTACACTTCCAAGTTCATCTGTCATATACAAACAACCATTCTTCAGAAACAAGACTAACGAGAAGGAGAAATTGGAGATTGTTATCCAAACATCTTTCTCGAGAAAAAAGTATTGATTTTTGTTAGCATTACAATACAATTCATGGTTCTGAGAAACAGCAAGACCTCGGCAAGTGAGCATTATTTTTAGGCATCAGAAAAAGAAATTACCTTTGGCAGATGGAGTAGGTTGCAGGGAAGAGTAAACCCTATAAGAGAAGGAAAACAAAGGTTTTGAGAGGAAAGGAGAAATGGGTTTAGGTCTGAATCGAACAGGGATACGAGGGCAACAGATCGAGCACAAAGCCATGGCTCTTGGAAAAGAAGAAGATAATGGAACATAAGGCAAGGGCCAAGTGTGTTTGTAGGACTTGGCTCACATTTCGAGGCGTAAATATCTCATTTTTTTATCCATTTACCGAGGAACAAAGAAGGACCAAGAGTTCGAAAGGACAAGAACACCAAACCGAAAAAAAAAACACGACAAGCCGATGCTCCAATGATTTAACAGCTATCACTACAATCCGTTACTTTATCGGTTAGGTTAATTGATTAAACAGCCATCACTACAAGTGTTTCAAAAAAAAAAAAAAACAGCCATCACTACAAAGTACAAACTGCTATATTATAAACCGTAAAAATGTAACTCAAACCGAAACCGAACCAAAAAATCTATTTGATAACCGGGTAATGTACTAATTTGTCTGTTTAAGTCTCTCTCTCTCTTTCTCTATACACATCACTTAGAAAAGGACTTTGGTTCTCCGGCTGAGCTCACGGTAGAGCAAACAACATTTTCAGTCACTAATTCATGTCCTGCTGCAAGTTCGTAATCTTCCATTTTTATGCCTGAAAACAAACACCGGAGAGAACAAGATGAGCATGTTGTTTGATCAAAGAAAAAAATACTAATACGCTTGAGAGAGAGGGAGAGAGAGGGAGAGAGAGAGTTACTAACCAAAAGGAGTCTTTCTTCTCCTGTTCCAGTAGCTCTTCGAATGAGATGTCTGAAACTTCATCATCTTGACTGTCTAACTCTGTACTCGTTTTTTCTTTGAGTTCCATGGAAGCGCTTATCTCAAGAACCTATAGTTTCATAAAGAGTACTCATGGGTTTACGTTAAGCAAAAAAAAGAAACCAGAAGCTTTGGACACTATCTACAGATCAAGTTTGACTTGCGCTACCAGATTCCAATACAATAGATAACACAGAGTAGAGGCTTTGGATACTATCAACAGATCAAGTGATCGAGTTTGGTTTTACCTTTTTGTAGGCAGGTGAAAGTTTTAGTTGTTGTTGGAGCCAATTATATACAAGTGCATCTTCTTCTACTCTTTTTCGTTCCATCTCCAGCTTGTAGATCTGTTGAGACACGAAACATTACCTTTTGCCTAAAAGCAACATACAGAAACACACACAAAAAGAAGCAGGCAAGAAGTACTGATGAAGCTAACATTCACCTGTTGACGAAGTCTGTCAAAGGAAGATCTATCAGCCTTGAATAGAAGAGCTTTCGTTATTGAAAACTTACGCTTGATTACCTCCGACCTAAAGTAATTAAACAATCAAGCTCAAATTAGGGTCACCAGGGAAGAAAACAATAGGCACCTGAACATCCTACATGCACCATCAGAGGTAAACTTTAGAACAAAGTAGATCCCTCAAAACAGCTACATTTCCTATGCATCTAGAAATCTAAGTCTTGAGGTGTCTATAGCATACTATAATCTCTCAATAACATCTTCCCCAAAGCGAACACTTCACTCAGTGAAGATACAATATTCGTACAAGAAACAATCTTTGTGTCCTCAAAATGTAGGAAGAACAAAAGTACAAGGATCAGAAATGGATACATGATAATCCTCTTATGTAGGTGTTAACTTACTTGTTCTGTAATTCATTTTTGGCTTCTATCAAACAGTTAGCAAACTCCCCAACCTGCAGAAGCCAAGAACACAAAGAAACATCAAATCTAAACTGATAAATCATTAGAAAACAAACAGATAAGAAATAACTGGAACCCCCTAACTCAACTTAAGTAGTACATGATACTAAACTAACACCACCATCAAGCTAAAACCCACAGAGGTTTAAGATGCTGGAAAAAGCCTATTGCTTTAGTAAAGTCAGACTTCTAAGGTTCAAATTCCTACAAAAGCTACAACCTTTAGAACCTAACCTGAGCCAAGGTCAATCCTTTATCACTATTGCATTTAACAAGATGATCATATTGCTGCTTGATCTTCCTCTGCGTAGCACTACTCGACGATGTAAAAGGATACAAGCAAACAAACTCCGGCTTCATCTCCGATTTCGAAACCAACCCATCGCCGCCGGATTCAACACCTCCTCTGACCTCCGACTTCTTCTTCTTACCTCTCTTCTTCTTCTTCCTCTTCTTGTCAGAGACTTCCTCATCCCAATCAGACTCCTCCTTCTCCTTCTCCCTCTCCTTCTCCTTATCATCGCAAAGCAGTAACTCGTAAAGACGCGATTTTGCTAAACGGGTCTCCTCGTCTTCGCCGGTTTGGTAATGGGTAGCGTCAGAAATCTCCAAAGGTTCGAGTTTTTTTTCGGATTCGGAGACGGGAGCTCTGCGGCGGGAAGCTTTGAGGAGGAAGTAGGTAGCGGAAATGAAGGAGAAGAGGGAGAGAGAGAGGAGACAGGAGAGGAGGAAGGAGTGCATGAGAGGAGGGTTTAGTGAAGATTCGATTTGTGTGAAATGAGGAGACGCCATTAACGTGCTTCGTACATCACAGGCGGAAGGGAAGAGAAGGGAAAGAGATAAAAGAGAAAGCGACGACGAGACTTTTTATTCTTTTAGTATCTCTTAAGATATTTTTTATGGAAAGTGTTTTACTATTTTGGACTTTTTTTTTGCATTATTTTGATTTTGGATTAGAGATATACTAGTTGATTTTTCCGTGCTCATGCACGGATATGAATATTTATATAAGTAAAATTTTATAATAATTGATTAATATTTAATTTTAGTTTTGAATCAATTTATATGTATAATTTATATAAATAAATATTATATTATTTTAATTATACATATGACTTTGGATATATTATTGTCGGTTTTGTTACTTTTTGGATCAATAGTTGGTTTGGTTATCAATTCGGTATATTTGATAATATCTATTTTTTCGAATTCAGCTATAATATTTTGTATTCTAAATATAATAAAATTTTGATTAATTTTCTTATTTTTATTTCGGTTGGTTATTGTATTTAGATATGTAAATATATTTTTTAACCCAAAATAATATGTAAATATATTCTTAGATATGTAAATATATTATAGTTAAATTAGGTATAACTTAATATATATATATATATATATATATATATATATATATATTTTGCTTAAAATGAAATAAATAATAAGTTGCAGTGTTTGATTCAAAATTACATAAATGAATATAATGATAATATTTTGAAATCTCATGCATATATATAAATGCTAAAAAGAATTAAATTGTAATGGGTTAATATTTCTTTTTCTTTTTAATATGCTTTGAGTCAACCTCTAATTTATATGTATAAAATTAAATAGATTATTATTATTATTATAAAATTATATGTTCTTATTGTAGTTAGATGTCTAATTTTTGGATATAAATTAGATTAGTCGAATCATTCATTTTGTGAGTATATTTAGTTAAACATATTTTTAAATTAAAATTTAAGTATAGTTACTTTTTATTTTAGTTAAGTAAAATCAAGTTAGTTTTATTTATTGCTTAAATATAAATGTACTTTCATAATTTTTGTTTACTCTTTATTTTAGTTAAATCAAATCAAATTAGTTTTATTTATCGCTTAAATATACATGTATTTCATAATATTTATCAAATTATATGTTGATTTCTAAAAAAATATTAGAAAATAAAGTGTAACTGATAAATTTTTGGATGTTCATGAACATATATATTTTATATTTTAAAATATATATTAATGGGGGTATTACTATTTTGTGAAGTTTCCTTTTTAATAAAGTCATATTATATACATGTATATTTGTTTTTAATTTTTTTTTAAAAAATTAGAAATATTTCATTTTTATTATATATGTTATTTGGAGAAAAGGTAAAAAAGAAACTAAATAAAAAAAAATAATCTTAAAATCTTAAAATTCATTAAGGGTATATAAGTAATCAACCATCGCGAGAGTTAACGTGAGCGTAACACGTAGGAAACTGACTTCTCAAATAATATTATAGAGATATTTATCAGATTGTAGATGTATTTTCAATCTTCATAGAATTGATATATTATTTGAAAACGGAGTTTTTATATAACTACCAATATTTTCTATCTACAATTTTATTTATAATTTATTAAAATGTTTTTTTGCCAAAATTATAATTTATTTAATTTTATGTTATAAGAACTTTAATTTTATAAATATATATCTATGAAAATTAGCTTCAGTTTTTGTGTTAATATTCTCTGTTAATAAAAACAAATAGACCTTTTATGATAAAATACTAACAATATATTAGTGTTATGAAAATTACTTGTACTAATATCTGGTATTTCAGTTTTTATGTTAGTAAGTTTGTATGTTGACATATTTTTCAGTAAAAAACGTATCTAATGTGGGACCATATTCTTTAATTTAACTCCTGTGAGTAGATTTCTTTGTGTTGCCTAGTTATGTTTAATAATGTAAATTTAGTGTCTACAAGATGTTTTGATCAAAAAGAAAAAATGTCTACAAGATGTATATTGGTAATATTCCAAAAAGATCGTGTCATCTATTAAGTAGGTTTGAACTTTTTTTAATAAATAGCAAGCAATAAAATTCATCTATTTGATCAACTTCTTTCACTCTGGTTCTATATCTTACAATGCTGCAACAAGAAAGACTTTGCTTCAATCCTTGAAACTCCTTTTATTTGGTCTTTTTCTTCTGGTTCTAAATTATAATCATGTGCATTGAAAGTTCTTACTAGCTTGCTGTATATCATTGTTTCACCTTTTTTTTTGTTGCACGAGAATTCATTTTGTGGCCTCAATAACTTAACTTACGGAATAGATGTAGAGAAAATTAGATTCATTGGCATATTATAGGTACACATAGTTTTTCATTTCTTCACCTTTTAAAGGTTTTAAATTAGTAGCTTTATAGGTGTCCGATTTCAGATGTTCGATTTATCACTCTAGAAAATATTGCAAACAAGTTACGTTTGATAAAAGTAGAACACTACTAATTTATAGAAGAATAATTTAACTGCAAGCAATACTGTTCCGTGCGTAGCACGGGATGACATCTCTATAATATTATTTGAGAAGTCACTTTCTTATGTGTCGCACTCACGTTAACTCTCACGCTGGTTGATTACTATGATACCCCTAATGAATTAAAAAATACATTTAAATATTATTATTTCCTTATAATTTTTTTCCAAATAACAATATAAAATAAAAAGGAAACATGTATAAAGTTTACCAAACTATTTAAAAACGAAAATATAAGTATATATAAAATGGTTTCATAAAAATGGAAAGTTCACAAAATAGTAATATTTAATTTAAATATATTTTAAATAATATAAAATATAATTTTGAAGTAATAAAATACTTTCCTTAAATCTATATCTTCTTAGAAAATTTTTTTTTTAGATAATGTGATTTCATAAAAAAACATTTCACACATATAATCTTTATGATATTAGAAAAATAAATATTTTTTCTTTACAAAAATAATTATAAAAAAATAAAATATATATCTTTTCAAAGTAATAAATTTGTATTTATATATCTATCTATTTTCTCAGTTACATAAAATAATTAAGTAACATAAACTGATATATGTGTAATTAACAGAAAAATAATAATTATAATTAGTATTAGTGAAATATTTTTAAGACAACGAACAACTTAATATATTTAAAATAAAATAAAATTTTATAGTTGAATTCAGAGAAATAGATGGAGTCCAATATGTAATGTTAAACCGATTATAAAAACAAAAAAAAACCGACTAAATATAACATATCTAAAATCATATATATATAATTAAAGTAATATAATATTATTAATGTAAATTATATAAATTAGTTTTTATTTTATAAATATTTATGCCCGTGCATGAGCACGGGAAGATCACCTAGTATCTGGTATTTCAGTTTTTATGTTTGTAAGTTTGTATGTTGACATATTTTTCAGTAAAAAACGTATCTAATGTGGGACCATATTCTTTAATTTAACTCCTGTGAGTAGATTTCTTTGTGTTGCCTAGTTATGTTTAATAATGTAAATTTAGTGTCTACAAGATGTTTTGATCAAAAAGAAAAAATGTCTACAAGATGTATATTGGTAATATTCCAAAGATTCTCTTCTTAATCATCTGTTGTAAAAATGAGTTGATTTCATATATATCAGCTCCATCAGCATCGAAGTCGTTGTAGTATAGTGGTAAGTATTCCCGCCTGTCACGCGGGTGACCCGGGTTCGATCCCCGGCAACGGCGATTATTTTTTAAAAAGAATCTGAAAATTTCATAAATTCTATGATAAAAATTAATGGCTTCGCCCGGGTTTGAACCGGAGACCTTCAGTGTGTTAGACTGACGTGATAACCAACTACACCACGAAACCTTTGTGCTTATTTCGAGAGAACAAGTTATTTATTCGACCAGCACATCCATTTTTTTTTGTCCAACCCAATGCTTTCATTTCAAAGCCCAAACTTTTACAAGTGGGTAACATGCATACAATATACAAGGCCCATAAAATATGAAAACCTAACTTGAAGACACCAATTGAAGTTTTGGTTCTCACACGTGTAGAAAAACACGTGCCAGAAAGTAGCAGCGACCCATCGCCAGCTACCTCTCTCCGCCGTGGCTTCACACTGGAATTGGTAATTATGAACTTGATGAATCCAATTGTAATCTTTCTTTCCATGAAACGACATCGTTGAGCTTCAATCTCTCAACACCTAATCCCATCACACAGAAACCGGCCGGTTCTCGGTTCAATTGAGAGAGTCTGGTTTTGATAGAAGACCCTATCGTGAAAGCCCTCCAATTCCGACTTCTCTTCTTTCCCTCGTGCGCTAAGCCCGCGATTTTCAGGTAACAATTTTTTTCAATTTCAAAGCTTGATTTTGATTTGTGTGTCATTTTATTGGTTTATGAGCCTTTTTTTTATTTTTGGGGGAAATTGAATAATGTTCGGTTTCAGTGTCTGTTTAGTGTAGAAAAGATGTCAACTTTTTAATTGGTTGTGTGTTAATTTTTTTTTTTTTTTTGTAGATAGTACAGTCCAAAAGAGAGGTCTTTTTGGTTTGTTGTAACCTTGTCTTTACGAAAGGATGGAAGATAAGGGAAAAGGTGTTGTGGGAGAAGATGAGGAAAACTTGTTTTCTGTGTTAGAAGTAATAGGTCAAAGCAATACGGAAGTAGATGGTAGTGGTGGTGATAACTATGATGATGAAGACGAAAGCAGTGATGAAGAAGGAGGCGAAGTTGATGATGATGATGATGAAGGGGATGATGAGTCTGAAGAAGAAGGAGATGAAGTTGAAGTTGAAGCTGGAAGTGGAGATCCAACGTCATTTGAACGTCCTGAATATGAAGCTCTGGCTGAGAAGAAACGCAAAGCACTTGCTGATTCTCTACGGTTAGTTTTTTTTTTCACTATCCTTTTTGAGTCACTTACTTTACTGAGATTGTGCAATGTAATAAACTGTTTAAATTCTCCCTTAAGTAGTTCATTTGTAATTCGAAAATCTCGTGCAAGTAGCTTTTTAGTTGGATTTATTGGTCAAAGTGACAAGTACTGCTACCCCTTGACAGTGATGGTTCAGAGAAGAGAGCAAAGTATGATTCTATTAACATCATGAATAGCACCTCGGCCGAGAAGTTTTTCAGGGACCTCGTCGATCCTGGCCGACGACGAAAGTCTAGGAAGGTGCGTTTTCGTATGACAGCTTTTTCTTTATATTTCACTAGTTAAAACTTGTATTACATTCTTTAATTTGTCTCTTGGAGCAAGAAATTTGACCTTTGGTCTATTATTAGCATTAACTCTATACGAAAGAAAAAAGTACTTGAACTGCATGTTTGTTCTTGAAACTCATTGGAATCCCTCCTGCATTCTCTAGTGTATTCTCTTATGCTACACTCCACGAAATTATATGATTGGATAGGCATATTCATATCAAGCTGGCAACTCTGCATATGCTGCCACTTTTCAAAAAATTCAGTGTATATACTTCTGCAGAATAAAAAAAGGGGTAGACGACAGGGGTCAAAGAAACAAGTTTCACCTGAGATTCGTAAGAGGTTTGGGGAGGCTCTCATTCTTCTCGCAGATAATAAAGACAGTGAGGTAATCCAGATGAAGTGTTTATTTTCTTTGGTTTCGCGCCTTTTAGAGAGAATAGCGTTACACATTTCATGATCTCCTGTAAAAGTAAACTGGTTTTTCTCTACCACAATATCGTTTTTTGACTATTACATTTCAGAAACTGTTGTTTTTTCCTAACAATGTGTGTTCAATTATTTATATTTATGAACTGATCCAGATTTGTGTTGTTTTACTTTCTTCCAGGCTTCTCCTATTATATTAGACATTATTAAGCAAGCACCAACCTTCGATACAGCGTATTATAGCCTTTTTCTTGTAGCTGAGGAACTTGGTAGGACCGACTTGGCTACTGGACTATTGAAGATTGCTGCAGCTACACAAGGTTCAAAATCACCTTATTGGAAGATGCTTTACGAGAGGTTTAAGTAAGTTCTCTTTGTTCATGAATCATGCCTGTCTTCATCTGCTTCATCTTGTACAGTAGAAATGGCAAACACGGAAGTTTTTATATTACTACAATATGCTTGTCAAGAACGGCTATCTAGATGTCGAGATAGTTGTTTACAGTAAGACCTTATCAGAGATTGTAGGGCTTGCGAAGAAATTAAGTAGCAAGAATTTAATGTTCATATGGAAAAAGAGTAGAACGAAAACGCGGGAAGCAGGCAGGGGAAGCTGTTTTGTTTTCTGTTTAAAATTTTTATTCTGACAGTGACAAGCGACTAACAAAAATTAATTGATTTCAGGGAGCAGCAGAACATGCTGTTAGCAAGGCATTATGCGTCCAAAGCAATACGAGCAGAACCAGAGGATATCCTATTGAAAGATGAATATGCAAACCTTTGCGTAAGTGCTGGAATATATAAAGAAGCTGCTGAAACTTATGAGCAAATATTTCGTCGGGATCCTGAGAGAATTGAGCTACTCAAGTTGGGGACAAAGGTATAGATGCTGAATGAGCTGAAATTTATTCTCGTTGCTAATCTCTGTGATGTAGTGTCTCTACTAGAAAAATATTTATACCAGTTTTATGAACTTATTTTTTCTTGGGTTCCTCAGTATTTTCTAGAATCCGGTAAGGGTGAACGCGCAGCAAGCATCTTAGAGGATCATATAAAATCTCATCCATCTGAAGTGGGGCACGATGTCTTGGATCTACTGGCTTCTGTTTTGATGCAAATTAATGCATATGATAGAGCGCTTAAGTATATTCATGAAGTGCGCCAAATTTACAATCTAGGAAAGGAACTACCTTCCAGCTTAAAAATTAGACAAGCGATCTGTCATGTTCGCCTCAAAGAAATGGAGCAAGCAGAGGTTTGTCTCTCTTACATTATAAACCTGCTAATCTTTAATCCCAGTGATTGCTTTGAAGCTATACCCTCTTCTAATTATTTAATAGATGGATAACAAGATTTGGGAATAATGCGATTTCATATTCCTTGTTTCTTATTACTTTGTATTTCTTCTCAAGTTCATGTCTCACTTTTTTTACACCATGTGAAGTACGTCAGTTCTGTTATGTTATGATCTTTAGTATGATCTCCAGTCTCTTATATAGGGGGGTTTCTCTTTTCAAAAAGTTGATGTGCCTTCTCTTGTGAATGATGTTACTTGCCGTCTATGCAGGATGTTTTAAGGATTCTACCACGGGAGGCTGTATCTGAACATCCAGAGCTCATTATCACTTTGGCTGATGAGCTAACAAAAATCGAGAATTTTCATCCTGCTCTCAAATACTATTTGTTAGCAGTCAATGACACTGTGAATGTAAGTTGATAAGCAGTTGTACTCGATTGTTTCTTCTCTTTAAACTTTTGTTTCGTCCCTTAGGTAACTAATTGCGGTTTTCCTTGTAGAATGGCTATTTGTTTGTGAAAGTTGCTCGCTGTTATATGTCGTTGGCAGAACGAGAACAGGCCATCATTTACTATTATAAAGGTAATTTTAATTTATTTAGTAAAAGGTTGATTTACTTGTTGTGCATACATATCTAGAATGACATTTTTCTAGAGGTCTCCAAACTCAAATCGTCTATGATTTTCCATGTGTTGCAAATTAAAATCTTATTGTCCATTGTATTTCAGTTTCTCGTTAGTTTTTTTTTTTTCTATTTGTTACTGATTAAAAATTCCCTCAGCTTTGAATGAACTCAGTGATCCGATTGATACTCGCATTACTCTGGCTTCACTTCTCCTGGAAGATGGCAAACGAGATGAAGCTATATCAGTACTTTCTCCTCCGGAAAATCCAGGTCAGCATAGGAAAAAAAATCATTATCTTCTCTGGCCGTATTGTCTAAGCGAGTGCATAGTTTGTTTACCTGCGCCCATGTTACAATACCTTATTAAATATCACTTAAATTGATTTGATGCCAAACTTTGTACAATGATTTGTGCTATCTTTCCAATGTCGAATTCACACCCTGTTTTTTTTCTTCTAGTTGTTACTTATGCGACTCGCATCCAACTGTTTTGTCATAAGATATAAGTTTGGTAACGATGGTTCTTTTTTCTAAGGTGTAGATCTTGATGGTACTAAACAGAAGCCATGGTGGAAGAAAAGAAAGATCAGGATGCATCTTTGTCAGATCTATTACTCAGAGGGGATGCTTGAGGAATTTGCCAATACAGCATTGCATTTGGTTCTTAAGTGGGTTAGGCGGCGGACGGTAATAGCTCTGTATTCAAGTGTCATATAATGTATATGCTAACGCAATTGACAACATAAATAGTTACTGCTTCTTGAAGAAAAACTCTGAACATCAGCATTTAGTTAGCGTTCTTTCATTTAACATCAGCAGAATGTGGTTTGATAGAACTATATTGTATGCACTCGGCCTCTTGAAACGTTTATAGGTCAAGGGAAAAAGAAAACGACCGGTTCGTTCGGAGCTTCAAAGAAATAGAAGACGCCGACGTCCTAGAGATGCTCAAGCTTCCGAGTGAGTATAAAAATATATCCAGCATAATCTTTAAGCCTTGTCGTTTCTGTCTGCACATTATTAGTAACCTTTGTCCCGAAATATGTTGAGCTAGGTTGAGAGGCGGACCCAAAAGGGAGCGCAAAATCAGGGCAACATTAAATGAAACAAAAAGAATCGGAGAACGGGCTGCTATTAAACCTAATAACGAAGATATGTGCAGTGATTCTGAGGTATCTGTCTATGTGCACACAATACTTTTGTGTTTCCCCCTATTACCTGATAAGAACTTGTACCAGAAGACTTTTTTGTTTCAACCTACTCAAATTTGGTTGGTTATCATGGTAGTGACAATATGCCTTACGGTTTTTTTTTGTTGGTTTGTATACCATTATTGCCAGCTATGTCTTTGTTTTAATTACTCAAAATGCTTTTGCTTTTTATGTTGACCATGGGTATACTTTGAATTATCTACTCAGGAAGAAGCTATGAAGGATGAAGAGTATCACCGACTCTTTGTAGATGTAATTGACCGTTCCCTTCTACATATTGTACATTGTTCCTTTTTACATACGATTTTTCCTTGGTACCGGCTTCCTTTTATGTTTGTCATGACTCCTTCAATTGCACGTCTTGTAGTTGTGCAAGGCATTCGCTTCCCTGCAAAGGTTTTGGGAAGCTCTGGAGATAGTTAACCTCGCTCGTAGATTGGACGCCAAATTGCTACCTGTTGAGATAAAAAAGGAGCTTCAGTCACTTGGAGCTAGTAATCTCCTAACTCAACATTAATTAATATCTATTTTTCTTCAAGAATTATAGATAATAAGCCTTGGAAAATGCTTGTATAACTTCGGTTAACACCACTCTCTTCTTTTGATGTTTGCAGAAATATCATGTGATACTATGGATCCAAAGCAGTGGTTTGACTGTGTAAGATCTGTCATTCAGCAACATCCAAAGCGTTTGAATGCTTGGAACTGCTACTACAAAGTCATTTCAAGGTATACAGAGCAGCGTTTCATAGATTACTGTCGACCTGGTTTTGTTTGCAATATGAATATCGTTTTATGATGATTGCACAGACTAGGGAAAAGAGCATCGAGTGAAGCTAAGTTCATGCATCACTTAAGAAGCAAGTACAGAGATTGCATACCGCCTATTCTGATAGCTGGTCATCATTTCACCGTGACAAGCCGACATCAAGATGCTGCAAGAGAATACCTTGAAGCATATAAACTAATGCCTGATAGCCCTTTAATTAACCTCTGCGTAGGTAAGCATATTGTTCTCTCCTTCGCTTTCACGAGTGAGCTTAATCAGTTAAATAAAAGTTTCCATCTCTTATATCTTCTTTTTTTTTTTGCAGGCGCTGCTTTAATCAACTTAGCACTCGGTTTCCGACTCAAGAACCGGCATGAGTGTCTCGCTCAGGGCTTTGCGTTTCTATACAACAATATAAGAATCTGCAGTAACAGTCAAGAGGCGTTGTATAACGTTGCTCGGGCGTATCATCACGTAGGTCTTGTGACTCTTGCGGCTTCTTACTACGAGAAGGTTTTAGCGGTTTACGAGAAAGAATATCCAATGCCGAAACTGCCGAATGAAGAACCAAATGTTGCGGAAGAGCGTAAACCTGTTAACTGTGACCTACGCAAAGAGGCTGCTCACAATCTGCATTTGATCTATAAGCACAGTGAAGCGTTTGATCTCGCCAGGCAGGTCTTAAAGGATCACTGCACTTTTTAAGTCTCGTTTATCTTGTAAACTCGACAACCAACTATTATTATCTTCTTAAGGTTGGTTTTATTGTTTAATTAACTGGATTTATTTCAGAGTCTAAGGATATACCAAGATCATTATTATTTCAAGGATACATTTCCTATTCTTTTATCATCATCAGCCATGTGTATTACAATAATCAAATATAAGAAATTAATAAGTAATAGGAGAGGTAAGATTTTAGGCCTAACATATAGTTTAGTATTTGTCTAATTCTATAGGCGTATGACATTAGAGGAACCGGAGCATATCCAAAACATATAGCCCGATGGAAAATGTTATCTTTGTATTCATTCGTTTAATCATTTATATAAATGACTTATTCATAATCATTTAGATTTTGCTAGTTCTTACTCAGTGAGGATCTTGATTCTTAATCCCTTTTGACTATCTTGACTTAAAAAAATCATTGAGAATCTCTCATTATCCACAATCATGATACAATATGTCCATCATTACAACATCATAATTAATGATCGTACCTTCATCATCCCAATCAATTGTTTGTTTTTTGTTCAATAACAATACTAAGCAGAATTCAAGGTTTCAAGTTGGAGGAGTGGTGGCCACAAGTGATCACATGCATGTTCATTTGTTGATTGTTCAATAATGCAAAAGAAAGAAAAAAAGTAACGCAGCAAGTCTCAGCTCTTTCTGGCCTGGCCTTTCATGACTTGCAGTTTTCTCCTCGTTCTCTTCTTACTTATACAGTCCCATGTGGGTTGTTTTCACTGGAAGCACCTCTTTTCACTTTATAAATTGAGACATTGCCAACGTGGTATGTTCTTGCACCCGTGGCACTTTTCACCTGTCGTTTTATTACTAGACACTTGTATATTTATTTTATTGTGGGGTTACGTCGTGACATTTCATCTAATAAAGAAGATTGGCAATTATGATCACTGATCAGCAAGCCATTCCAGTTCATAAGATTGTAAGCTATAAACTAGAGTCATAATAATACGGTCAATGTAATAACAAATCAGTTTGAGAATTTTGCATAATCTAAAACTTAAAACACGTTATATACAGAAAGTAAAGAAAGTTAGTTTGCAAAATGAACTGTGTTTTATTAGTGTGTTATAACTCATTATTAGTATTTTACCGAAATCCGAACTAGGTCCGATAATATCTAAAGTTAGTATAGTATGTTAATATTTTTTTAATATATCAATGTAATTTGTATATTTTATTGTATTCAAAAGATTTTTTAGTTTTTTTTTATTTTTATTTTGAATATCATTTAGTTAATTTAGATAGTTTAACTAATTTTAAATTAAATTTACAAATAATTTAAATATTTTGACAATTTTGTGTCAAATTTAAGGTTTCAAAAATATTTTTTGGGACGATTTCAGATTTTGGTTACAAGCCGATCCAAACCGAATTCGGAAGGAACTGAAACCGATCTGATAATTGGTAAAATCCAAATAGATCTGAAAAGCCAAAAATTTGAAAATCCAAATCAATTAAACTAAAACCGATGGATCCTCGAATGTCCAGATATATGATATATTTAAGAGACCAACATTTGTATTCATTATTTTATAATCTATAAAGATTTTAATATTTCAAAATGTCAAAATCGAATAAACTTTAATATAAAAAAATTAACCTCGCGCATGCGCGCGGGTATCATTTAGTTTTTGGTATAACTTATTTGAAATTAAAATCTTTATATAATATCTCCATGCGACACCAAGCTCTCCATCTTTTGCTCCCTTATTACAAAAAAAAAGCAAAAAAAAAAAAAATGACAACAATATACGGTACAAATCCGACGGCAGCTAACGACCTAGCCCCAAAACTCGAATACATCACACGCACCAACAACAACCACCACCACGTAAGACCCGGTCTAGCCACACGCCGTCCATGGAAGCAAATGCTAGACCTACGCTCCTTCCACTTCCCACGTAAGATAGCTTCATTGATCACCAGAATAAAAACCAACATCGTTTACTTCCAAACCAACTACACCATCCTCGTCCTCTTCTCAGTGTTTCTCAGTTTGATATGGAAACCCTTCGCCCTCTTAATCCTACTCGCTATTATTGGTTTGTGGTTGTTCCTTTACTTCCTCCGTGACGAGCCGCTCACTGTATTCGACCACGAGATCGACCACCGTGTTGTCCTTATTGTCATGTCTGTTCTTACTCTCTCGATACTTTTTTTGACTGATGCAAAGCTCAATATTGCTGTGGCCGTTGTGGTAGGTGTGGTGGTTGTATTGGTACATGCAGCTGTTAGGAAAACCGAAGACATGTGCCCAAATGGTGATGAAACCAGTCCTCTGCTTCCTCAAGTATAAAATGATCTTCATTTGCTAGACTATATCACATTAATGATTTAAGATTGTTTAATAATTGCCTTTGTTTAAAAAAAACTTTTATCAAGAAAATCTTTTTTAAGTACCGTTGTTTATTAGCGTTTAATGTTTGTTTATTTTCTATTATATTTTCTGCTTACTACAATATTAAAACAAGGAAACGCAAACTTAAACACAACAAAAGGTGATGCTCTTTTGTAATTTATTAACCTCAGTCTCTTAACTGGAGTTCATATATTCAGCAAAGACGATTTTTAATTTTTCTTAGTTTTTTTAACTAAAAAATTAATAACTCTCTTAAATAAGAGATATAATTAAAAATCGTCTATTAACCGAAAAATGTAAAAAAAAATGTTAAATCATGAATTAAGAATCCTAGCTAAAAGATTGGGGATTAATCATAACTAAAAACCGTCTATTAACCGAAAATGTAAAAAAAATGTTTAATCATGAATTAAGAATCCTAGCTAAAAGATCGGGGTTAATCATGCATTCCGACGTAAAGCCCATTAAGTTTTCAAGTGAATTACATTACTATGAATCCAAAACAATCCATGTGCGTTCATCAACCATGCAACTTTAGGCACCTTATACGGTTAGTTATACAAATGTTCTCGATTGCATGAAGAATATAATATTTATAATCGAAACAAAAAGATCTTAGATTCTTTGTTCTATATATCTCTTCATCAATCACTTAACGAGTTTTAGGGGAACTTGAAGAGCAAGAGGCACCAAAGGTTCGTGAACAATCCCAACAGATATCTTGCAGTGATCACAGATCAACATCTTCTCCTTTTCTTCCTCTTCATTTGAAGAAGATATAACCTCGTTGATTATTCCCATAAGTATTCTCTCCATAGCTTCACCATCGGTCCAGTCTCTAACCGTAGCCTTAACCAAAGTCGGGTTTTGACTAATCAAATCCCAAACCGGAAAATCCTTCCTTGGCATCATGTAATCTTCAGCTTTGAGTCTAAGACTCGGACAGTAATCATTAGCACCATCTCCAAGATAGATCATCGTCATCTTATTTCCTTCTTTGGTAAAAGAATCTTGAATCCTCTCAATTATCAAACCCTGTTAAAAATAAAATCATAAAAGATTCAAATACAACATATTAAAATTGTATTAGACTAATAATCTTTTTTTTTTCTCGTGACTATTAGTGTATGTAACAGGTAGTAGAGTATACCTTGCACATGTTAGGAGGGCAACGAGAGCAACCGTGGGATGATTTGGTGAAATCATGGTAAGGAGAGATTGTTAACCTTCCTTGTTCATCTACATGTCCAAGGTTTGTATTAATCTCAGAAAAATATTCAAGAATCCCGAGATATTCAAGGATCGTTTCGATGAAGAACGTGTTCGCGTCGCTCACTATTCTCAGCTCGCACCTGGAAGTATTATTACCAAACCATATGAATCAACATGTTCGTGTCTTTTTCTTGAATTCAAGTTTAAGCAAAAATAAAATAAAATTTGTAATTACCCTAAAGCATGAGCGGCTTTGATGGCAAGGATGACACGAGGATGGATCGGGATTCTTGTCAAGACTTTTTTTATTTCTTCAATGGTTTTGCCATGATCATGAAGCTCCTTCATCATCCGAACCTGTTATGCAAAAAAACAAATATGGCTTTAGGGGTTCGATAAAAATTTTGAACAGAAGATGGAGTTAAACAAACCATGAGAGAGTTCCAAGGCATAGTGGGGAGAAGCTGGTTGAACAAATCAGTGAAACCAAGTTCATCAACCACCCAATTATCGCTGTCCACGTCGATGATCGTCTTGTCAAAATCGAACACGATGACAATGTTGTTCTTCTTAGCCATTGTCAGAGAAAGCTGAAATATAATCGTGCGGAAAACCGTAACTGTTTTATTTATGATTGTTATGGAATGGGGAAGAGATGAGTGTGATTTATATACAAGTGCAAGATGATAAGAATAGGGTTTTTTTTTCTCGGGCAGATGCCTTTGGAATATTACATTGCGCGTATGCGAATAATAGTAAACATTTGGGTCTTAAATTTTATTAATCGTTGGATCTTATACGTTTAAGGTCAAATATTGACTAGGTGTGCTGGTCCGACGGTGTTGGCGGCTCTTGGTTTATTTTGTGAGGTATTTATTATTTTTAGATTGGCTTGTTCAAAGTTTCCTTTTGTGTGGAATTTTAGGAAGTTGAGAAGACACGGGAATGAGATTTAAAGAAATTCCATTTATCAATCTTGTTTTTCCATTTTTGTTTGTTAAAATATTTTCTTATCAGAATATTTTTAAGAAAAATATTGAAATTATTTTTTCGTATAGATATAATTTAGTATTGATATATAATTATTGAGGGGTTTCATTTGTTCTTGTGTGTATTAAATAGACTATAGTTTTGATGAAATTTCTCAAGTAACTACAATTATGCCATCATCTTCGACATTATATTTTATCTTCTGGCAAAAGCATTTAGAAAAATGCATGCATGGGTTATGGGTAGTGGCTTTATCGATATTAGGTCACACACTTTACTCATAAAGTTAAACCACAAAATTAATACTCGGTTGGTTAAGTCTTCCAACATTGTATTCATCAAAATATTTAAGTATGGAATATGTGGAAATTGCATCAGAAGGCACTAGTGGGTAGGGAGGAAAGCTGGCAGGAATATTGAGTGACAAATCTATTAGGAATATTCCTAGAGTTAAGGGTCATCAGAGATCTCTTACGTGGCCACATCATTCAGTATTCATCAATCTGATTTTCTTCATTATATCAGTTTAAAAATTCGTCCCAAAAAAAAGAAACAGTTTAAAAATATTTAAAGTCGATCACCAAACAAGTCTTAACATGACAACACAACACTGTATGTGTGTATATCTCTATCTATAAAATATACATATTTCTCGAATGATCAGACGTTATCGTCAGAAGATCCGCATCAAAGAGAAGCTTCGTCAATTCCTCTTCATCACGTCTTTAAATAACTATGTAATATAGAAACTAGGACAAAGAAAAGTGCAACTCTGTAGCGCCACGGAAATACACAATAGGATAACTTGTATGTCACGCTATGTAGTAGTTGAAGGGTTAATTGGTTTCCTCTATCTAACGTCGCGTGGCCATGTCTCTGCTCTGTTTGAGAAGGTAGACAGGTATTATTAATATATTGTGAATTGTCCTCTATATTTAAAGAAGCATTTTCACTACTGTAAGTAGAGCTGTGTGCATACAAAATAACTATTCACAAAATCCAAGAGTCTCTCCCAAAAGCCAAAAAATGATAATACTGTGTTCTTGCAAATGAAGGATACACCTACATCTTATTATGGGTAGCGGTAAGAAAATCACAAAAGGGTGTCTGAAAATATAAGGCGTTCAAGAAGATGATATGACAAAAGAATCAATAAACAAATCTGAAGCACAAACCTCCCCATCGTCACATTCTCATACTACAAATCCCACACAACATAAAGCTGTTTCTTAAAAGAGTAATATTAATCGATTCTAAAAAATAAAAAATTATCTTTCGCAACCCAAAAGAACAAAAGACGCCCTAAGTAGGTTTCTCCATTTCAGACAATTACCCTTTTGGTAAAAAAAGGTATCTCCTTCCTTTCTTCCCAACCCAACATTTTTTTAACCTTCTAACTCCTGAAAAATATACTGTTGGCTCTTCTTTGGACTGCGTCATACTGACTGGTCAGGCTTTGGTCTTGGTCACAGCATACCTCTTACGACTACAACTTTTCTGGTTACATCATCACTTTGGTAGTTAAACAAGAGAGAAACAGAGAGAGAGAGTGCTTGAAAAAGGAGTGAATGGAAAGTTAAATTGGGGAAAGCTGGTTCCATGTTTCTTTTCTTCTTTCTTTGGTTCATGCATAATACATATACAAGCTGTTGGCTGCTGCACAAGCAATGGAGTTCTCTGTTGGGTGCCAAGCCATATGCAGCAACTTAGTTGTGAAATCGTGTGCGTTCCCGTTCGCATCTGATCCAGGACTCTCTGATCCTGCATCCAACACATAATTTTTTCACTCCACAAGAAAACAGTAGAATGTGTTTTACTGTGACCACTACCACTAACCTCGTCTAACCACGCTTGTCATAGATCTGGAAGATCTTGCAGGTGTCTGGATTTGCCTCCTAATGTAAATCATTGATTTGCAATTTATGAATATAGACTACTATGACTTGGGTTTAGCTATCAATGTTCTCTGTTTTTTAACTTACCTCATCGGGTTTTTGCTAGCTTCCAACGTTGCAGCTTCAGTACTTCCTTGAGACGCTCCAAATACGCGGAATAGATTGCTGGTTTCAAGCACAATAAACTTTATCATTTGTTCATCTCTTATATAAGATAGAATAGTAATGAATTGAACAGAAGACAAACAATCAAACCTGTAAGAGCCTGTTGCTACCCTCGATCCATCACCACTCAGACAACACTCGAATTTATCAAAGATGGAGTCATTTTCATATAGATCACACAGCTGCAACCGAGTAAAACGTAATGGTTAGTTTTCAAGACAAAACATCACATGATAGATGCCCATAGAAAGAAGCTCTCACCCTGGGTCGCAGATGTTCATGAACCTGGTAAGATGCAACTGGACCAGAATCCATGTTTATGTCCCACAACTGAAATGACAGAAAAGGCATATATCAGAAGGAACTGAAGGATACACCTATATTAACCTACTACCAGAAAGACTATAGACAAGCGAATCAGATGATTTCCAACCTTAAGGGTCATGTAATCCCGACTAAGTATGTATCTCCCATTCTTTGAGAATTTAATATCTGAAATTGAGGCAATTATCTCTGTGAAAAATGATCTTGAACCAGGTGCTTCCGGTTCTTCAAACCTGTGATAGGAAGTAACAATTGTAAGTGGTATGAAACTTTTAGCCTAATAATCTCCACTTCTATTTTCCAAGTAATTTGTGAGAAGATAAAAGAAAGATTGAAATTAACCTACTTATTCATATCCCCTGCTTACTTTAGAATTTCAACTTAGTTAAGCACATATCGCAACCAGCTCTGCAGATCCAGAAAACACTACCCTTTCGATAGAAGGATGAGGAGAAAAGAACTTACAATTTAGTATGAGAATCACACAGAGCTGATTGCCGCATATCAATCAAACGGATGGAGCCTTTTGAACTGCTATATGCGAGCATATTACAATGGATTGGATGAAACTCAGCTGATGTAATAACCTCTGCAGAGACCATGTAGTATATACAAACATGCTCAACAAGCATAATAATTATATGGGAAACTTGAAAATAGGAGAAATCAAATAAAGAGGTTGCTAACATATGCCACAATGTAAAGGCAATACAAGATATAACTTCTACTAATATAATGGAAGAAAGCATACCAGTTAAGTCCTCCATGTTTGTGGGCTTAACATCAACAATATTGAAACTCTGGTTGCTGACTTCCAAATTCCAGAGATTTACTCGCAAATCATCAGCCGAAATGAAGGTTTCTCCATCGCTTCAAAGATTAAAGGAAAGGCATTATCGCAATGCAAAAAAAAAATCAATGCACTGTAAGGCATGTATGTATAAGTTGTGAAATGTAAGATCAACGAAGTTCGATAATGAGAATGGTAGCGCTATATAATGTTAAAGCATATTCTGCATAATAGCATTGTTTCCCAAGACAGTCGAGAATTGGTTTAAAAGATATCAAGAGTATAACAGAACCTATGCGAAAACTTAAAAAGATTACCTGCTATTTGAGATTGAATTAATATGGTAGTCATGAGCATGCGCATACACTCTTCGGCATCTAGCCACAAGGCTTGTCTCCAGGCTAGTCACCTAAATATGAAGAACGAACCATTATTTCAAGCCAAGTAACAAATTACTAATGTAGCTCACACAATTTGGTACTGATCTGTACTTACGACAAAGGGAAACAAGGATAACTAGTACACTCCCTAACTTCACAGCTAAATAATATGAACATGCACAACCTCAAGTCTTAAAGTACAAATCAACCAGTTAGATTACAAGATCAACACCTCCTAATTTCACAGCTAAATAATATGAACATGCTCGGGCAACGACAGGTTGGATATATGTATGCATTTAGTTTTCAAAAAATCAGAATCTATAACTCCATCTGACACCAAAAAAGGAGAAAAAAAAAATTTGCATCGAGTATAACTACCACAGGTAAACGCAGAGATGGAATGCCTCCTGGCGGGAAAGGATAGTCCTTGCTTAGGTAGCCTTCTGGTTTATCCGTATATCCATTAGCAATTATTGGAGCAGGGCTACTTGAACCTCGATCATTTGATTGATCAATATTCATTTCAGAAATTTTCTTGATCTTCTTCTCTTGTACCTGTTTTTTATCAAAAATGCGTAGAAGGGGGTTTAAAAAACTATTCATCCTCTTTTTAATGAAGTCTTGGAAGCATAACCAACAAGTTTCTAAACCACTTTCACAAGTTAGACCTAAAATATTTGGAAACAAGATTAAAGGGTATCCAGATCTCGCACCTTCCAGTATTTGATGGTTTTATCATTTGTGGAAAGCAGAAACAATGCACCATTTGCTGGCTGACACCATCTGATTTTGTTGATTTTCTCCTCTATTTCCAAACTCTTGAGATAGTCAAACTGAAAAAAAACAAAATTGGGGAGCGAGATTATTTTGTAGCAGTAGCAACACACTTTATTCATACGTGAAATCTGATGATATCTTTCAATGTACCTCAGGTTCATGACTCTGAAACTCTGTTTTATATCGAAACTCAGGATGCCTAACTGTGTAATCCATCTCCTCAGCATCCCTCCTGGATCCACCATGCTGAAAATAACATTCCATAAGAAGGCATTACAGCACAAAAACATTTTTTGAAAGACAATTGAAGTAAATCTCGCAGAAGAAAAAAGAACGCACATCTTTAGTATCCGTTCTCTCAAAAAGAACTACTCGACCCCCACGGTCACCAGTTGCAAGATGGTCACCACTCTTATCAAATTCAATGGCTGAAATGATGTCAACTGCGGTAAAAAATTCATGCAAAGAGAATCATTAGATAAATAAGCCATCACAAAATCTAAATACATTAATGCCATAACCTGCAGAAATAACATTCTACTCCATAACATAGAGAAGGTGAAACAGTGAAGTAGACTACTAGAGCAACAAAAGAAATGCTGAGACACAGCAAATTAAATTTGTCTGAAAACCACCTCGTTACATTAAGCATACCACGAAATCACATCAGCCAAGAAAGATGCAAATTCAAAACCAGCTTAATATTACAATATAATTAATGAACCAAAAAAATGCATAACAAAACCAGCTCGACACACAATTCACCAAATGCTTCCCTTTGAGTTTTAGCAAAGTCAGAGAAAGCATTCTAATCAGTGGAAACAGTATGGCATTGGAACAGACAGAACCTTCAAGCTTAGATTCCCCCTTCCTAAGTGATGCAGGTAAATATTTCTTATAATTTATTTTATTGTAATAGCTTCCTAAGTGATGTATCCGTTGATTCTGAAAATACCCTGAAAACTATAATAATACAAAGATCTTATTTAGAATCAACGGATCACTATTCCTATCCCTAGAAGCTTCCGCTACATCACTAAGTCATACAACTTAGTTACAAAACCCTACTAACAATGCAATCAAAAACCAAGTCACAAGAGATTATTCATCAATGTGGCTCACTAAGCAGTGGAGAAATAAACACACTAATGTCCCTATAATTCCAAAATCAGATCCTAACCACAAATCAAATCCTTAATCCTCAAACACCCTCCGGATCTATAAGTCAATTATTACTACCTTCATGGACTTCTTCTCCTGCTGTTCGCTCGCCGAAGACCTGAGAGAATCTCCACTCTAGAGACGGAGGAGGACCACTAGTTGCCGCGGAGGAAGCAGCACCACCGTTCATTTTTTTCTTATTTCTTATTACGAAGATAATCCAATTAAAAAAAAAAAACAGAGCTTCGAGAAAAAAAAACAGAAAAAAATCTGAGCTTCTGAATCTTAAATCACCGAGTCGAAGATCGCGTCATCACTATAACACATTCCATTCCACAGCTTCGTTTCATCGGTTTGGCGATTAAAAGCACTTTGATCGATTGATTGATTTCGTCTCTTTTTCAAGAAGGAAAAAAATGGAATTTCGATTCTCTCTCTCTCTCTCTGTAGAAAATGGAGAGAAACGAGAGAAGAAAAATAAATACGCCTTTCGTCCTCTTTGTCTCTTTCTAAAAGGATAAAACTGGAATTTTGCCATTTTTTTTCTTTATTCGGGACCAAACGACGAAGGAACAAATCGTTGAAGTTAATTTGTCTATTACTAAAATGTTTTTGTCCTGTTATCAAAGTTATCGTTACAGTTACTGTCTGTGACATTCTTTTATCCGACCGGTGAATATGAGTGGACGGTAACATATGGCTTCGTGTATCATTGGTCAGTTGTGGAGGTGCGCTTGCCACTGTTGTTAGTTTGATGAGGGAATATGTATAAATATAATTAGTGCTATTTCTAAATAATTAATTTCCCCCAATTATCTTAAAATTCCATTTGCAGTTTTGCGCATTGTTTTCTTTTTGCAAAGAACTTTATGATAAAAACCATAGTATAGTATAGTAGGAGATGCTCACAACATTGTACTTTAGAATAATCGTTTTCTTTCTTAGCAAGAAAATCACCGTTTACTTACGTAATTTCCTTGAAAATAATACAAGTGTAGAAAACGATTGAACCAGTCTAAGACCGGTAATAATAAAATAAAATTAGTTATAATGAGGACCAGGTTAGTCTGAATTTCAATGTTTTTGAGACTTAGGATGTACACGGGATCTGATGTATTTTTTTTTGTTTTATCAGAGCCTAATATAATAGAGTACAGAACAAGCCCAAGTCAATGTAGAAGACCGAGAAACTCTAACACACATGGGTTTATTGACATATCTTAAGGCTCCTACATATCGTATTGGGTTTGTTATTTACCTAAGTGTATTGGGCTCTTAATAAACTTCATTGTTTGATGTTTTAATCACTTACTGCGAGTGAAAATATCTCACATGCTCTTGCTTTTGGTTAATGTCATGTTTATCTTGTTTATGGATGGGTGTCTCATACTCTCATGCTTTTGGTTGATGTCATGTTTATCTTGTTTCTTGATATCCAAGAAATGTGTGTGTTTTAGGGTTTAGGTTTTACTTTTTAGGATGAAAATCGTCCAGCTTGAACATTTGATTCTCTATTTTTTCACTAGTTAGTTGGGAAATAGAAACTGAATTTGGATTGTTACGTTGAGGAGTTTAGGGCTTTAATCATAGTGTTTAAGTGGGCCTAGTGAACTTTGAGACTGTATGCGCAATTTGCAGACCTTGTTGTCTTGTAATTCTCCATGTCACAATCCTTCTTTTTTTTTTATTTGGTGTAAATGTCACAATCCTTTAAAACTGTTTTCTTTTGTTTTTGAAAATATCCAAGAAGTAGAAAACCTCCCTTTTAAAAGAGTTTATTCATATTTCAAAAGGAATAAAAACGAAAATCAAATAATAAGTTAAAGATTATAAATTAAGGATCACCCTCTAAATCCTATGTTGCAAATCACATTTTCTTTGTTGTTAACTTGATGGACGACTCTCGTACAACTATTATTCAGTATGTTTATTTGGTGACTGAAACATATAAAAGTTCGTATTAAATTCGTTTGGGACCGAGGACGCGCAAACGTGGCGACCAACCAACAGAATATCTTTGTTTGTACTTTTTGAATTCGTATTGCCATGTGCGTAAAACCAATTAAATTAAGAACGACATTATATAATATGTCATCGTGCACATGGAATGATTGCTTTTTTGGTGGAAGGAATTAAAAATAAAATTTAGAAGATGAGTATATGATACTTAAGTATTTCAAAAGAAAACTGAGAAAGCAGGTTATCTTATTCCACTAATAATTAATACCACCCGCTTATAATGCTTACATTTTATAATCATGGTAGGAAACATAATTCAAATTAAAAATATGCGAATGGTTTAATAAGACTTGAAACTGTTTGAGAGATGTTTTTTTGTTTTTCTTTTTTTTTGAAAAGGCTTTCGTGTTGAGAGATGTTTACTATTCTAATGCTGTGATTGCCACTGGGATATCAAAAAATATTTCTAGATCAGGCCTGAGTTTCAAAATGATCTAAAACATGTTTCAATTATAAAATGTAAACTAAAATTTTTAGATATATAAGACAGATACATTATACCTAGATTATAATCATATAGTTCTTTTGTCAATTGGAAGATTTGAATTTAATTTAGTAAAAAGAAAAAAGATTTAAACTTAACCAACTACAACCAAAAAGAAAAACTAACGAACTAAAGTAATCATATAGGACGAAGGAAAATTAATATATGGCCCAAGAAGCCTTTATGAAATAAAATATGAAAAACAAAACGTGGGGAATACAAAATAAAATTACAAAATATCCCAAATAAAGAAAAGGGAAGATGACAGTCTCCGAGTGGAGAAGGTGAGGAAACAGCGATGAAGTCTTAAAGTTTAAGTTCACAATCTCTGACAGTGAAAAAGCGCGCTTCCACCAAACTTCACTCCTTTCTTAAATACTTCCATTTCTCCCCATAGATTCCCATCATATTTATTCACTCCCCTTCTTTATCAAGTTCTCACCTTTCTGGGTTCAGTGTTGGTGAGGTGTCAAAGTAATCAAGTTCTCACCTTTCTTCTCTTTCTCGTTCTGGGTCAAGTTTTGGTGTGAGCTGTGAGGGTTTCAAGTTCTCACCTTTTTTTTTTCTCTTTCTCATTTTGGGTTCAAGGGCTGGTTGTGGTGTGAGGGTTTCAAATTTTCAGTCTTGATACGTCTATTGAGAGATTTCAACACAAATGAGGAATCTTGGGTTAGTGGAAATTATTACTCTGCTTTGCTCTCTCTTTGTCTCTTTTCGAGTAGAGACTGTCTCATGTCTAAACTCGGAAGGTTTGGCTTTGCTTTCACTTCTCAGTCACTTTGAAACAATACCACCTGAAGTCAATTCCACGTGGAGGAAGAACGCATCAGAAACCACTCCCTGTAATAACTGGTTTGGTGTCTTCTGTGATGGTTCTGGTAATGTCGAGACTCTTAATTTGAGTGCGTCTGGGGTTTCAGGGCGATTAGGTTCTGAAATTGGGGAGCTTAAGAGCTTGTTCATCCTGGATCTTAGTGTCAATAACTTAACTGGTTCGTTGCCTTCCAGTTTAGGAAACTGTACCTTACTTGACACTTTGAAGTTGTCTGAGAATGGGTTTTCAGGGCAATTAGGTTCTGAATTTGGGGAGCTTAAGAGCTTGTTCATTCTGGATCTGAGTTTCAACAGTTTCTCTGGTTCGTTGCCTTCTAGTTTAGGAAACTGTACTTCACTTGACTATTTGGATTTGACTGAGAATGGGTTTACCGGAGAGATTCCAGACAGTTTTGGTAGCATGAAGAATTTAAGGCTTGTGTATCTAACCTCAAACTTGTTCAGTGGTGGCTTGCCTCAGTCCTTGTTCCAGCTTCCCTTGTTAGAAGTGCTGAATCTTGAACGCAACAATCTTACCGGTCTGATTCCTGCAAGTGTTGGTGGGTTGAAAGAGCTTGTAGATCTGAGGCTGTCTCATAATGACTTGTCTGGTCCCATCCCTGAGTCTATTGGGAACTGCAGTAAGCTTGGATATCTGGCCTTGAACAAGAACAAGCTAAATGGTTCGTTGCCTGAAAGTCTCAACCTGCTCGAGAATCTCAGCGAAGTGTATGTCAGTAACAACACCCTTGGAGGGAGGATTCGTTTCGGTTCAAGAAACTGCAAGAAGCTGGTGTATTTAGAGCTGTCCTACAATCATTTCGAAGGTGGTATTCCTCCTGAAGTTGGCAATTGCAGTAACCTTGACTCTTTAGTCATTGTCAAATGTAACTTGACAGGTAACATTCCATCATCCTTGGGGATGTTAAAGAAGGTTACGGATATTAACCTCGGCGAGAATCTTCTCTCTGGGAACATCCCTCATGAGCTTGGGAACTGCAGCAGCTTAAAAACCTTGAAGCTTAACGGCAACCAGCTCCAAGGCGAGATTCCCTCTGCATTGGGTAAGCTAAAGAAGCTAGAAAGCCTGGAGGTTTTCGAGAATAAGCTTTCTGGTGAAATTCCTATCAGCGTATGGAAGATTCAGAGTTTGACACAGATTGTCGTTCACAACAACACACTCACCGGGGAACTACCAGTTGAAATCACTGAGCTAAAGCATCTTAAGAAGCTTTTGATGTTTAACAACAGCTTTTATGGAGAGATACCGATGAGTTTAGGTGTGAACAGAAGCTTAGAGGGGGTGGATTTTACTGATAACAGTTTAACAGGGGAGATACCTCCCAATCTCTGCCATGGACAGAAGTTGAAGTTGCTTAACTTTGGTTCTAATCAGCTTCATGGTAGCATACCACCGTCTGTTGGTCAGTGCAAGACCCTCGAGAGAATGAGACTTGCAAGAAACAAACTTTCAGGTGTTCTTCCGGAGTTTCCTGAGGCACCTAGTCTTGACTTTGTGGAAATCAAAGGCAACAACATTGTAGGATCCATCCCTCGCAGCTTGGGAAGCTGTAAAAATCTACAGACAATCGACTTCTCTCAAAACAAACTCACCGGTCTGATACCTCCAGAACTTGGAAATCTGCTAAACCTCAGATTGTTGAATCTTTCACATAATATCCTAGAAGGTCCTCTGCCATCACAGCTATCAAGCTGTGTGAAAATGCTGAAGTTTGATGTCGGTTCGAACTCATTAAACGGTTCTGTTCCTTTGAGTTTTAGCAGCTGGAAAAGCTTGACTAATTTGGTTCTCACCAATAATCGGTTTTCAGGAGCCATTTCCCCGTTATTTGCAGAGCTAGGCAGCCTTATAAATCTCCAGGTAGCTAGAAATGCTTTTGGAGGTGAGATTCCTCCCTCACTTCGCTTGTTAAAGCACCTGAACAGCTTAGACCTCAGTGGAAACGGATTCACTGGTGAGATTCCATCCTTTCTTGGGGATCTTGTTGATCTCGTACGGCTCAACATATCCAACAATAAGTTGACAGGGAATTTATCAGTTCTTCAAAGTCGTAGTTTCTTTCAGCTTGATGTCTCGTATAATCAGCTCACTGGTCCTATACCGGAGATGCTGATAAATAGTTCATCAGTATATACAGGAAACCCAAGCCTCTGCATTCAACCTTCTCACTCAGTAAGTGCAGTGATCCGTAAGGAGTTTAAAACTTGCAAAGGTGAAGCCAAACTTAGCACCTGGAAGATTGCACTTATAGCAGTTGGGTCCTTTCTATCTGCTTTGGCTCTGGTTTTTGCTTTAGTTTTTGTTTTTATCACCTGCAAAAGAGGAGTCAAGACAGAAGACACTCCTGTCATCGACGAGGAAGAAGGTCTTTCCTTGCTGCTGAACAAAGTTCTCACAGCCACTGACAATCTAGACGACAAGTACATCATTGGCAGAGGAGCTCATGGAGTTGTTTACAAAGCCTCATTAGGTCCAGGTGAAGAATACGCCGTGAAGAAACTCAACTTCGCGGAACACGTACGTGCAAACCAGAATATGAAGAGGGAGATCGAGACAATAGGACAAGTTAGGCATAGAAACCTCGTTAGGTTGGAAAGGTTTTGGATTAGGAAAGAAAATGGCTTGATGCTGTACAAGTACATGCCCAATGGAAGCCTATACGATGTTCTGCACAGAGGTAATCAAGGAGAAACTAGTCTTGACTGGTCTACACGGTTCAACATAGCCCTTGGAATCGCACACGGTCTAGAGTATCTACACCATGACTGTCATCCATCAATCATCCACCGTGACATCAAGCCAGAGAACATACTCATGGACTCGGAGATGGAGCCTCACATTGGAGATTTCGGATTGGCTAGGATTCTAGATGACTCAACTATTTCAACAGCAACCATCACAGGCACCACTGGTTACATTGCACCAGGTAACATTTACTTCTCAGCGTAACATTTATCCATATTTTGTTTACTGTTCGTTTAATCATTACTTTTGCTATCAAAACAGAAAATGCGTACAGGACAGTGAGGTGCAAGGAATCAGATATCTATAGTTATGGAGTTGTTTTGCTCGAGCTGATAACGGGGAAGAGAGCAGTCGACAGATCTTTCCCTGAGGAGACTGATATTGTGAGCTGGGTCAGATCTGTGCTAAGCAGCCTCGAGGACGATGATGATGATACAGTTAGTCCAATCGTTGATCCAAGGCTTGTGGATGAGCTTCTGGATACAAAGCTTAGAGAACAAGCAATTCTAGTTACAGACTTGGCACTTGTGTGTACAGATAAAAGGCCAGAGAACAGACCGTCCATGAGAGATGTGGTGAAAGAGTTGGCTGATGTGAAAAATCTTGTAAGAAGTACTTCTGGTTCAGTTCAATAGTTTCGGTATTTTACAGGTTTATCGTAGCAGTAAGAGTGGAAAGTATCTTACTGTTCTCTCTGTAACCACTAATACTGATATGTTATTAAGTAGCATTGAGTGACATCAAAAGATCTGAGAAACATATGTGAAGTGTTTTTATTGTGTAAATCAAATTTGTGGGAGTAAATTAGAGTACAACAACGAGAGAAGCTTATACACACTTGTCTTATTTCAATATGTTTTAGTATGTGTTACCACTTAGCTCACCAGAGAAAGCACTATCATAGAATGTGGAACCAGTTGGTGTACGCAATGATGTTCAGATCCTCGAGTCACTCTGCAAACATATTGACAAGACAAGAACAATATTCACAATGTGTGTTGGGCCTGAAAAAAATTGAGAGGGCGATCAGTTAGTAGAAGCTCAAAAACAAATGGGCTGATTTGGGCCTAAACTACAGCCCATACATTATTTAGTTTATTTTAATATCTAAGAAACATCATTTTCGAAATCTTTCACTAATCTCCGCCTTCATGAGTAGATGATGTTGTTAGGGTTGGCAACTCCGCCTTCATCAACACTATCTCCGGTTAAGTTCTCTTCTATACAACACGGTGAATCATTTATCTCTTTCACTCGAACGGTTGAGTAAGCGTTTATCTTGTATACAATTATTTGTTAATCTCTTTTTGTTCTCACTATAAGCAACCTGTATTTTATGTCTTGAGAATCTCACTTACGTTTAGCCTTTTGGTAGGCACGAAACAGGAGCAGTGAATCATAAGGAGGCCTATCTTAATTGGTGGAATATGAGATTGTTTGATTACGTTGGTGATTAAGAACTTGTCCATATGTAAAAGAAGATGGCACATATGAAATAAGGTTAAGGAAACATTGACTATGGTAATTAGAAACTAGTGTACTTGAAGAGGAAGAGAAAAGCCACTTAAAAGAAAAGAATCTGATTAGAAGATAGGTAATATATCATCTACAATTAATAATAGATTGTTAAGTTTTATTAAACTGAATCACTTAAGTTTCGAAGCAGTTTATGATTAATCTAACATCATTCCACTATATCACTTAAACCTAACGTAAAGTTCTACCTTTTAATGACTCCTCGGAAATAGTGTAGAAGGTTAAAAAGCCCTTACTCAAACAAACAAACAAAAAAAAGTGTAGAATGTCAATTTGAATGCATTATACGACATTTTCCCTTCATTTTAATAAAGTTTAGTTTCCTTGTCTAAAGAGAATATAACACGATGTTTTTGTTTTGCTTCTGAGCTTGTTCTGGTGTTCATCATGCGGTTTGTGGTGGCTGAGGTATTAGTCTTCTTTGGGCTTGATACTCTTTCCATTGGTAAATAGAGTTTAAGTTATCTACTATGATGCCATTTATTGACATGTTTATTGATCCCTTGAGGCTTGAGGAGTTAAATGAATCGATTTATGTTAAGCATTTGAAATAGTTTTGTAAATTTTATTGTAGGATATCAAAGAAGTAGTTTCTGTAACACCAATGAAGTAGTTAATATTTAGGATTTTCAACATCAATTCAATGAAGTAGTTACTTCTTAGGATTATTAGTAGTAATTAATTGCAGTTAATCTATTACATAAAATTAACTAAGAGTGGTAAGGTAATATCATGGAATGAGCTACATATTTCATATCATTCGTTATGCATCAAAAGTTAGTTGTACATGCATTAAGAAATTGCACTTGAATTCTATAATTTCTGTACAAGTTGGGTAGTGCATTTTACATTGAATCTCAAGTTGGGAACTACATTACTTGATTTATGCTAAGCTTACATGTTATATGTATGATGTACGTATATAGATACATAAATTTACATTTTAACATGACAATGCATGCATTGTACGAGTTCTTGCCACGGTAGTTTAGCTCATGCGTTTGCACTTCTCGACAACTTCTAAGATCCATTTTCTCCTTTTTATCAGTTAGATTGAATAAACTTAACTAATTTCATCATCATCAGATTACTTGTGGTAGCCTGTGATTTGTTGCAGATCTATCTTAATCAGTGGAGGTGGATTGTTTAATTACATTTGTGATTAAAGAGCTTGTCCATAGAAGAAGATGTCAGAGATGTATGGTTGGGGAAACATTGACTGCCAGAACTAGCAGTGGCGAATCTAGAAAATTTATTGAATGGGGGCAAAAAAATAATTAAGAACAATAAAAATGGGTAAAAAGAACTTTAGGGGATTTGATCCCTGGTTTAGTGGGGGCAAGGTGAAGAATCAGACCAACTATTCTACTGAAATTCTAATAGTTCTTATACAAATGTATGTTATTGTAGATTTTAGTGGTGGCAGCTGCCTCCACCTTGTTCAACGTAGAACCGCCCCTGAGAACTAGAAATGTAACCGTAACTGAACTTATAATGGTGAGTTGTACAGTATGGATTATGATCATATTTTATTTTTTAGTTTTCTTATTATTTAGGCCATGCTTGATTAATGAGTAGTTGTTGCTTCGAACTGGTACTGTACTATAAGAGGAAGAAGGACACTGATTTACATAACAAAAGAAACTTATTATTAGATTAACTTTCCTCGAAGAAGGCCACTGATTTACATTGCTATTTTCTTCGTTTTGTTAAAGTGTAGTTTTCTTGGTATCGTATACATATGTCAATGGGTCTTGTTAGACTTCTAAAGAAGAATTATAACACCAATTTTTTTTTTTTTGCTTTTCCAGGGTTATATACTCAGGTTGTTCAGGTGGTGCTCATGCGGTTTATGGTATTATTATTCCCATTGGTAAGAAGGGTTTACGCTTGTAAACATATAACTTATGTTAACTGAAGAGTTAACTTATGTTAGATTTTATTGCTCCATGTAACATAATTGCTTCTCTCTTGTTTATCAATCTTCTTTAGTTCATTGAGTTTCAACATTAAATAGATATAGGTTTATATAGCTTTGCTTGCATATATATGTTAAGTATTATATATTTTCTAGATATATATTGGCATACGATATCAATGAAGTATAAATTTAATGCCAGGGTTTTCAAACTGAAATCAGTCGTAGTGATTTGCAGAAAACCCAATATCTACTATTGATTACGAGTACTAGTATAATGGATGAGTTCTGGATTCCATATAATGATTTATCCATCCAACCCCTTTTGAACTTCATCCAAATTGAGTAGATTGAAGAAATTTCATTTGAATGCTATCACTGGTGTACCAGTTGGATAACAAATTTAGTTTGAATCCCATGTAATATAGATAGATGCATGAGTTTGCATTTTAGTAAGACAGTACGTGTGTTTTAGTTTACGCGTGCATGTCGCATGTGTTTGCGCTTGTACTTCTCGACAGCTTTTTTTTCTCCTGTAAATCACTTCTATATCTATCAATGTACTGGCTGCATTTTTCTAGATGATTAATCTAATTGATTCAGTCACCATCAAAATTATGTACCATAGCATGATTTGTTACATTATCTTGATTCTTGACATGTTTGTTTTGTTTTAGACATGCTTTGTTTCTCTTTATCAACGAAGAAACAAAAAATTCTTGGCGTGTTCCTGGCAAATTATGATCCATTATCTATCTCTCTAGCATTATGCAAGTATTAGTTTCACATCTGAAGCTGTTGGAAAATATATCCTAAAATTTGTTGTATACAGTATATATACATATCTGATTTCAGTATATCTAGTATACAATTGTACGTATAGAAAATGTGTATGGTTCGTGTAATGGCTTTCTTAAATAATTAACGAAGAATATGAGAGACACTGGAAATCAAAAATATATTATTAGATGGAGTGTATGTGTAACGTTAAAAAACAACACCGTAATTGTGTATGTATGAATATGAACTCATAACAGTGTAAGAAAGGAATTGTAATAGGTCCTTCAGATTATAGTATAGTGTACCACAAACATACATTACTTAGCAAATTTGGGATATTGACTTTTCCATTATTCATGTGTTTACGTCTAAATGTTATTGCGTATAATAAATTTGCTATATACAGTAGAACCTTTATAAATTAATACTCGATAAATTAATATACACTAAATATCTCTATGAAATAATAGAATTTTATAGTTCCAAATTGAGTTTTTTGACTCGATTAGTATATCGATAAATTAATATCTTTCAAAATTAATAAAAAAATAAAAATTTGGTGTAATCCTAATATTATTAATTTATAGAGATTTCACTATATGACACCATACTAGTACTAATAACAAATTTCTCATACATGTATGTGAAACAGATTTTTTTTTTTAAATTCAATGACTCAAAACAAAATAACAGTCAGAAGTTTGGTATTATTTGGAATGTTTATTATCTCAAACCATTCAAATTTTGAAAGTTATATATAGATAGATATATTTATATATTATTAAAAATGGAAGAAACAGATTTTTTATGCATAAGTCAAAAGTTTTTAGACAAAACTGGTAAATAATATTAATGGCTATTATTAGATTCATTGAATAATAAAAAAGAAATCTAATGTTGTTTATGACTCAAATTTTAGACGGTTAAAGATGAATTAACCTAGATCTAAAGGCTATTATTCTTCTTGTAGACAACACCTTATCATGTTCAAATCCCTTTAAATAGAGGCTCTCTCTTGTGTTGTTCGTCACTACCAACCATCAATCAGTATATTGTTACTTCAACATATTCTATCAGTAAATTTTGTTTTCGTTTCTCCATTCACCTATCTTTCTTCTATTTTTAACGCTGAGCTACTCCTCGGTTCTTGTCTTTCAAAGGTACGTGTTGATTTGTTACATTTCTCTTTAATATATGGTTCATGTTGAACTTGGTATATAACTTACTTATCTTTTTTTGTTTATTTTATGTGTATTTAGTTTTGGTGATTTTATCATAGACTATATTTTTTAAAATACGATTTAACAAAAATTACAGATTTAATTTTCTCTTATTTCTGTATTTTGTTTTAATAATAATCCTACCAATAGTTGATTATCCTTTAGTTCTAAGAAAATAAAAAGCAAAATAAAAGGACTATTGTTAATTCATTGGTGTTCACTATATTTCAGATCTAAATATGTTGGTGTGTAAGATCTAATTGTTCTGGTTTTTCAGTTAGAGGTTAATTATCATTTTCAGTCTTTTATTTATGAAGTTTTGAGATTGAAAGAAAATAAGAAAAATAAGGACAAAAATAAGAAAAATAAGGAAAAAAATAAGAAAAAGAATATTTTTTTTATAAAACAATATTTTTTTTAATAAAAAATAAGTTTATTGAGGTTGCGCTTTTATCAGAAAATACATTTGCTGTTTTTTTGGGCCAAGTAAAATTGATATTTGTGTTATGATTTTATGTATCTAGTGCTATTTGTTTTCATAATTTTTTCTTTAAGTATTTATCAGATAACAAAAAGGAGATTTAATAGTTGTTTAGTCTTAGATATGATTTACGATTGACTTCAAAACACTAATAGTTATATATACATAAAATCATAAGATTACTTATTAGTTGATTTTTATATGATAGTTCTTGTATGAAGATAGCCATAGAATTTTTTTCTCAAGCTATCAATTCAAAAAAACTCGTCATGTCATGCACTTTTTAAATCATCATTAATCCTACTTGTCTCTTGTATTTTCTTTTTGCATTTCCATTTATATATTATTATGTTTTTAACTTTTTAATTTGATGTTCTTGTTTACGTATACTTAATTTTTCATATGCATTTACTATTTACTTATTCTATCTTGTGCTTGCTTAATGATTATGAACTTTTGATCATTATATCGTTTTTAATGCAGGACTTGCTTTTGCAATGGATAAGATTACTCCAATCAAAGCTACACCACGTCGCTATTTGAGACCGAGCTTTGCCAACGATGAAAACAACCAAGCCGAGAACATCTCATCACCAACTCCTCAAGTGTTTGCACCACTTCAAACCGTAGATGATGACACCTATAACACACCAACACCCTCTCAACTTATAATGCCCATACCGCTTCGTTTCGTTTTACCATCTGATGAATCCAACACTGTTGATGTTGATCCCAACATTGGTCCTATCAAAAAAGGACGAGGCCGACCAAAGGGTTCAAGGAATTCAAAGACGTCCAAGAAGAAGAAGGAAACGTGTCCTCCCAACAACGAAGTGGTTGTACCTTGTGATCATAATGATGAAACTCACAACACATCATTATCCCCTCATCCTCCAGTGGACACAAATCCTCTAGCTATTGTACCATACGATTACTCCAACAACTCTTTGGCTAATGATGTTGATCCGAGTAGCCGTCCTCCTAAAAGAGGACCAGGCCGACCAAAGGGTTCCAAGACCACAAATCCTCCTATGAAGAAGCAGAAAACATATCACCCCGAGGACAGAACCGTAACATCTTGTCCAGGTTTTGACTCGATGATAACTGAAGAAGAGAAAGAAAACGGGAATCAAGAGCTGGTGGATTCAGTTCTGATGCGGTTTGATGCCGTTAGACGTCGCTTACTCCAAGTAACCTGTGCTAAAGCCGTCCTTACAACCGCCTTCAGTAGCTTAAACAACCTTGGTGTCAGGACTAATAGTAAGAAAAGAATCGGTCCGGTTCCAGGAGTACAAGTAGGAGATATATTCTACTACTGGGGAGAGATGTGTTTAGTTGGTCTACACAGTCAAATGGTTGCTGGTATCGACTATCCAACGGCAGAAGACGGTGGTTCAATAGAAGGCTTAGCAACAAGTGTAGTAACATCAGGACACTACAACGATAAAACGGAGGATCTTGAAACTTTGATATATACTGGGCAAGGAGGAAAGGACAAGGATAATAAACCTAAACATCAAGAGCTTAAAAGAGGAAACCGTGCGTTGGACGCGAGTAGTAAAGAAGGAAATGAAGTTAGAGTGATTAGAGGTGTAGAAGATCCGAGCGATAGCAAGAAGAAAATATATATCTATGATGGTCTCTACGTGGTATCTGATTATTGGAAAGAGAGAGGAACCAAAGGCTTTGATGAATTCAAGTTTAGACTGGTGAGGAAGCAAGATCAGCCTCCTGGTTATGCGACTTGGAAGTTAGCTGAAGAATGGAGGAAGTGTGGCTCAGCTAATGATTCTAGAAACGGTTTTGTATTTGGAGATGTTTCTCTTGGAATTGAGACGTTACCAGTTCCGGTCATTGATGAGATCAATGAGAACGATAGGGACTGGCCCCTAGACTTCGCTTACATTGCCTCTTCGACAAGTTTAAGTATGATGGACGTTATGGACCATCAATCTAGTGGGTGCAACATTTGTGATCAAGGTCAGTCATGTGAAGATCCAACGTGTCCTTGTGTTCAAAGAAACGGCGGCAAGTTACCATATGATAACCGTATTTTAATATGTCGTAAACCAATGGTTTACGAATGTGGCGACATGTGTTCTTGTCCTCCGGACTGCAAGAACAGGTTAACTCAAACTGGTTTGAAAATCCGGTTGGAAGTGTTTAGGACGGAGAGATGCGGTTGGGGGTTACGTTCATGGGAACCAATACGAGCCGGGACTTTTATCTGCGAGTTGGTTGGGACAGTTAAGAGTAGAGATGAAGTGGAGGAGGAGGATGAGTATGTCTTTGATTCCTCTCGAGTTTACAAGAACTTTGTGTGGAACTACGAACCTGAACTTGTGGGTGAAGACTGTTGGGACCAAGTCCCTGAAGTTTATAAACTTCGGTCGGAAATCTTGGTCAGTTCAAAATGGACTGGTAATGTTAGCAGGTTCATGAACCACAGCTGCTCGGCTAATGTTATGTGGCAGCCTGTTGAGTTTGAAAAGGATGGTCAACCTTCGGTTCATATTGCATTTTTTGCAAAGAAGCATATTCCTCCACTGACAGAATTAAGGTATGATTATGGAATGTCAATTGATACTGGAGAGGTTGATGAAGATGGCAGGAAGATTTTTAGAGGTAAAAGAGTTTGTTTATGTGGCTCAGAGAAGTGTTGTGGTTTCTTTGAGTGATACTGAACATTTTATTGTTGTTGTTGCTGTCTTTTTTTTTTTTTTTTTTTATGTTGTTGCTTTCAATCTTATCATTTAGACCCAAAAAAAAATGTTGTTTTGATTATTTTGGTCTTGTAGTTCCTTTTAATCCTTAATAATAAAAAAATATGTTATTTCATTATCAGTTAGATTTTTATCATAAGAAATCCAAATCATGTTTAAGTAAAACCAGTATACAGTAGAACCTCTATAAATTAATACTCGATAAATTAATAATCTCTATAAATTAATAAATTTCATCGGTCCCAACTTGGGTCGGTGTAAAATATGACACAAATCGATAAAATAATAAGATAATAATATTTTTAAAACTTCCATGTAAATATATGGTCCCACTAAAATCATAAATTAATAATCTAGCTATATATAATTTTATATAAGTACAATCTAACATTATATTGTTGGATTTATATTTACTATAAAAATACTCTTATTTTTTAAACATTTTAGTATATTTTGATAATATTTAGTAGGGATTTTATATTTACTATAAAAATACTTTTATTTTTTAAACATTTTAATATATTTTGATAATATTTAGTTAAATTATATCGAAAACCATGTAACAATTCTATGAAACATAAAAATATACACCAAATAAGATAATAAAACAATATAAAACTCAATTTTAAAAAAAAATTAAATAATGTACATATGCTAAAATCAAATATTTTTATTTTATAAATAAAAATAGAAAAAAATCTAAATAAGGAAACTTTCGTAAATTAATATCTCTATAAATTAATAAAATTTCAAAGTCTCAACATTATTAATTTATAGAGGTTTTACTGTATGTATATTTTATGTGTGTTTTTAAGAAAAAAAATGCAAATTTTATTTTTAATTAGAGAAAAATACTTTTATTAGTATTTCATTATCGATTCATGTGTAGTTTGTTGTGTGATAGTTTTTGTTTCAGAAAGGTATTTACTTGGGAATTGATGTTACATTTCAGTATTGTTTTTGAGCTAGAGAATGTTAAAGAGGATCATTCTTTGCGTACAGACAGTGACTGACATTGTAATCAGAAAGCAACCACTTCCATTGCCGCAGCGATCAAGAATCTTCGAAATCTACTCAGGGCTTCCCTGAAAGAGCTTGTAATGAGCTAATGATGATACTTTTGTATCTCCCTCTGGGGATTTCTACGGGTGATTCACTTATAATCCCGCTTTCTGCACCTGCTCACGGCAAGGTGGCAAACATAAGATCCTTTAGTAGCAACACTGATGGGGGTTTGTGTGTGTGTATCTTGCTCATGTTTTCTACAAGTCTTGGAATTGGTCTCTTTGCAGTTTTGTTAGTTTCATTATGTGCAACTTATGATGTGTAGCTAATCAACATGAGTTCTTCATCGAAGAATTTAATGCTGCTCCATTGGATACCATTAATTTGTACGACATGACATTTCGTGAAGACCCCTCAGATTTTGACGACAATTTGCTTACAGGACTAGGCAGCTCAGATCATTCAAGATCCTCCTCTCTTACTTACTCTCTCTCTCTCTCTCTCAAACAAAACAATAAGTAGCCATAGACATGCGACAACATCTCCAGACCCTTAAAACTCAAAGAGTCAAACGTGCCAGTTACATGATTGCATCAGAAGATTCTGATGCAGGCTTAACTGTTATGTGATGCTTTGAAGTCTGGACAGTATAAACATTAAATTCTTCTCTTGCCACTTTTAGTTTCCTTTACTGTTCTAAACAAAAGATTTGTTCCACATAAGACGCAGGGAACAAGCATGTAGACATTACAGTTCCTTCTTCTGTACAGTAAAACATCCTAATACAGAAGACAATCCAATTGGGGAGAAGTCATGACTTAGAAAATAACCCAACTTTCCTATTTAAGAGAGAGAATAACAGAACTGTCACTATCAGAATCTGCAGACCCCAAAAAAAAAAGAGTGATGTGAGTCGTGATGTTGATAAGGTGATAAAAAGAGCTCTGACACATAGTTTCAACATTTACCACTAGAGCTAGATCCTGAGTCACTGCTGGAACTGTTAGAACTACTTGATCCACCTGCCTTGTTTTCTTGTCGAACAGGAGAAGACATGCGAATAGCTTTCCCTGGTTAGATCAAATAATCATTATACTCCATTGTTGTATAGTAAATAACTACTAACTACATCTGTTTTTGGTATGAGCTGGTGACCTAAAACTTTACCTGATTCAGTAACTCGATGTTTCGGTGCCAGTTGCTAGAGTGGTCTGTGAAAGCAAAACAAGAAACAAATGATTATGAGCCAAAATCAATTAAGAGCATAAAGACCTGAAATAAATAACATTCAGCTAAGGAAACAAATCTTACCGGTTCTTGGATAATATTGTGAGCAGATTCAGCATCTCTCTCTGAACCAAACCCCTGATCCTCCTTCTTATTGCTCAAGCTCTCCTTAACCCCAGTCACAAAACTATAAAGCTCCCAAAGCGTTTCGATGCCAAGACTATCAATATCCAACTCAATCTCATCATCTTACTCTTCTTCACAATCTGAACAACCGTCTCTAGTTTATCATAAGGCAAATCCTGAAGCTCCTCACTAAGTCTCAAATTCTCATCCATCGTCAAGTCCCTAATATCAACAGGCGCCTCCTCATCTCCTTCAAACTTCTCCATAGTAACAGTCTCAGGCTCCACCAACGGTTTCGTCATAAGATTCCGCTATCTCCAAAACCACAGTAGGTGGAATAAACAGAGGAGCAGGTAATGGCTCAGGAGTAGGACGAGGCAACACAACATTACTACGAAACTGCATCTCAATAGCAACCAATTTCTCCTAAAACAACCTCAACTAAAACTCAGCCATACTATGAACTTCATGCCCAACAGGATTATACAAAACAACATTCTTAAAAGTAAGCCTAACATCATCAGAAAAATCCAACGGAGTCTCATACAAACCTCTCCCTAACTTACCCTTCACAGTACCCAAATCCATAGGCTCTTTAACAATACTTTGGTAATCATGCAAACCAAACCCTTTAGCATCAACTGGCACATTAAAACCCCACCCATCCTTATGCAGGGCCGGCTCTAAGAATTATGCGGCCTAAGGCGATTTCTTAACGATTTCACCTAAAAAATTTTTTTACGAATTTGGGGGCCTAAAATAATTTCTTTTGAAGACCTATATACATGTAATTTTTTCAAAATATTTTGGGGTCTAGGGCCAATATTTCATTCGACTTTTCCCAACACCGACTCTGTCCTTATGTTTCATCAGTTTCGCCAACAAGTTGTTACATTTCTTGAAAATATCTTTATCACCACCACATCTCTTAGTAACAACAACTCAGTTACCTGTTTTTTTCATCTTCTTGTTGTTGTTGTTTCCGCCTTGGGGAGGATGAGGATCGAACCGTGCGATTAAGCTATGAACTGAATCTAGCTCGGAGGTTAGTCTTCGTTTCAGGTTTTTGACCTCGAGGTTTGAGATTGAGGTTAAGCTGACCTTTAACATGGGATGATCTGATGCGAAGGGGATTGACATTGGTTTGGTTCGTTTATGCTTCTTTGTCTTTGAAGCTCACGCGTTTGGAACTCACGCGCCACTACCAATTTTTTTTTTTTTTTTTTTCTCACTACCAAATTTTTACTGTATAAATCTTTTTATTTTCTGAATGATACTTAAATCATTAACACCAATTTAGATAAGTGACGGTTCTTAGTTTTTCTTAGATTTTAACTAAAATTTTAATTAAAAATGTAAAAAAAAAAAAGAAAGTTAAATCATGAATTAAGAATCCGACTAAGAGACCAAAATTAATATGATACCTTTATTATTTGTAATAAACAATTGATAATTTGATAATAGCTTTCCAGCGATAACAGTTTATACACTGTAATCATCGCAGTGTTGTTTCCAAGTCATATAGTTTACGGTGGTAATTATTTTATTTAAACATATAATCATGTAGACTGTTCTTCTGGTCTAAAGATGGGAATCAACGTTTTGGCCTCAAAACTCAATAATTAATCATCAAGTAGGTCTTATGTATCGCTCTCTAATTCTAAAGAAAGTTTTGATCAAATACATACAGTTTGATCTATCTTTTTTTTTTTTTTGAACTTAGCTTACAGTTTGATCTATCTTCTTCTGTTTTTTTTTTACTAAAAGATTGTGATACATCATGCGATTGAGAGTACTTCTGTTAGTCTGTCTCACATGAAATGACAAAATAGGTGACGAGGAGAGCCGAAACCGGAACAATATTTAGAGAACTATAACTTGACGATCCACTTGTCACACATGCAGAGAAATATAGTCATAACATGGATAACCATGCAAACACATGTACTCTCATGAACTGTCCAGATTGAGAGATGATCAGGTAGGATGGAGGAATAGATAGACACTAACAGGATCCACGTGCTCAGTTTTAGACACTCTTTATATTAACATCTGTCTCCAAATTACTCTACCACTTTTACTTCTTTTAAGCTCTCGTTCTCTTCTACTTCTATTCCTCTTCCCTTGCCTTTTGCTCTCTTTCTTTCTTCTTTATCAAAGTTATTGGTTTGAATCTTTCGTTTCTATAAAGAGTTCTTAAATGGCAACATATGCTAGAAGAACATACGGATTCGGTAGAGCTGATGAGGCGACTCACCCGGACTCCATTAGAGCCACTTTGGCTGAGTTTCTTTCCACTTTCGTCTTCGTCTTTGCTGGAGAAGGCTCCATCCTCTCACTAAGTACGTAGTTCCTAGCTATATATATATACATAGGAGATATCCAATAACTTTTAGCCAATTAGTATTGTCATCTTTGCTTGAAAAAACTATTAATCACAACGTCAGATATTTATTTATACAATTTTTGAATTTATTTTTGTCAACCATAAACATTTTGGATTTATCAAGATTTTTCTTCTAATAAAGACTATATAATGAAAAAAATATTTCATCTCTTTCATTATAATTGTCATTCTAGAGTTGTGTACACAGATTAACTAAACAATTAATTTTACATATATTTTATATAAAAATACAATTATCTATACATTTAACCACATTTTAACCAATGAAAAAATAAATTACATAATAAAATTAACAAATTTTGCATTGAAAACCGTTTTTTCTTTACAAGAACTGTATATCTTTTTGGTAATTAATATATATATTGTTACCAGCCATGCATTCTCATGCACTAATGATTTGAACTATATATTTTTGTTATGGGGCAGACAGGTTGTATTGGGACACTGCGTCTCACACGGGGACAGACACGCCGGGCGGCTTACTTTTGGTGGCGTTGGCTCATGCATTAGCCTTCTTTGCAGCAGTTTCGGCGGCTATCAATGTCTCAGGTGGTCACGTGAACCCTGCGGTCACTTTTGCTGCTCTAATCGGTGGCAGGATCTCAGTGATCCGAGCTATATACTATTGGGTTGCTCAGCTTCTAGGTGCTATCCTCGCTTGTCTCTTGTTGAGGCTTTCCACTAATGGCAAGGTATATCATTTCTCATTTGATTTTTATTCGTTTTGGAAAATACATATGCTGAATTGATCCTCTGTGATGCAGAGACCAATAGGTTTCCATGTAGCCTCTGGAGTCAGTGAGCTTCATGGGCTAGTGATGGAGATCATACTTACATTTGCATTGGTTTATGTCTTCTACTCAACCGTTATCGATCCGAAGAGAGGGAGTATTGGTATCATAGCGCCTTTAGCCGTTGGGCTCATAGTTGGGGCAAACATGTTGGTGGGAGGACCATTTGAAGGAGCTTCAATGAATCCTGCTAGAGCCTTTGGTCCTTCATTAGTAGGGTGGAGATGGGATAACCATTGGATATATTGGGTTGGACCCTTCATTGGAGGTGCACTCGCTGCACTTATCTATGAGTATATGATCATCCCCAACGTGAATAACGAACCTCCTCCTCGCCACGGTGTCCACCAACCATTGGCTCCGGAAGATTACTAGACTGGACCAGACCGTACCAAGCGTTCTCTCTTTGTATCAAGAATCTCTGTTTTGCTTGTGTTGTTGTTTGTCTCTCTTTTTAAAAGCAGCTTTATATGTATAATTGAGTCAAGACGAAGACAATATCTGTGTTTCTTGTATTGTATGTAACTATCTGATAATAAAGATTTCGGTATTTCACCAAAAATGGAAACAAATGATGGCTTTTCTCTCAAAGTTACTGTACATGTAACAATGCCGAACTTCCTTTGTTTCTATAAAATCAGTTTGTGTCTTAAAACCTGCAAAGGCTTCTTTCTTCTCGTGTTAGGAAGGTCCTCTCATCTTTTCAACAATCTGTCTACTCTTTTCCTCCATGTGACGCCTCTTCTCTTCCAACTTCTCGCCCATTTTCTTCCCAAGACCCAACATCCTTGCTCTCCTTCCCAGTTTCTTTCCCCTTGAATCATCATCTTCGCTCGAAACTATCGACCTAGATGGTGACTGAACAAAAGTAGAAGCTTCTCCATTCCTGCCTCTTGAGTTTGTCTCCTGCTTCTCGCTGCTGCTGGATAGCAGTAATGGAGTTTTCAGTTCTTCCAGAGATTTGTCACTCTCTACTAGAACAGGTTTGGAGTTATTTGACAATGGCGGGGTAAAAGCATCTGCTTCTGTATTGGCAGCTTCATGCACTTGCTCAGACTGAGAACAGGAGGAACCTGTTTCAGATATAATCGGCTTCTGTGTGGCGTTTGTAGTTTTTTGCATTTGCTCAGACTGAACACAAGAAGATGATGAAGTAGGTGGCTTGTCAGATTTAGATTTCCCCTCTGTTGTCTGGTGATCGCTTTCTTGATTCAGCCACATGAATGGAGCGGCTTTGCGTTGAACCCAATCATCTTTTTCAGCAATCATCCAAGGAATCGTTAGGCTTTCACAGTTTGGAAGAACCACTGCTTCTCTTATTGCCGTCTGCAGAATCATAATGTTATCTCATTCTGTAAGCTCAACATTCACTAGAAAGAGAAGCCAAAGGAGAAGATGTAATACCTTAAACCGGTTGATCAAGAACATAGCAACATGGCTATTGGTGATTTTGTGTTCCCCAACAGAAGACGCCAGATCGAATTGTATATCTGGCATGCTAGTGAATCCAAACCATAACTGATCAGAAGGAGGCGGCTTCATGTGTACACGCAGTGTCCCTCTAAGAGAAGAAACCCGTATTGACAAAGAGATAGGCACCTGCAAATGAGAAACAGAAAAAATCTAAAATCCCATATTGAGACATGAATGATCTGTCTAATAAACATTTGAAGTAAAGAAGAACCAACCTGGGAAACTTGCTCAGCAATATTTTTAAGAATAGACTTCCACCTTGATACACCATTTGGAGATACCTTCGTCCCTTTTGAGCCATTGGACTCATCTGCAACCAACATAAAGAAGGCAAGAACATTGTAATTATCATCCTGAGATGACTGTACTAATCCATATTCAGTAAACATTAAACTTGCTTGTTTTTTTAATACCATTTTTCACTTCCCCTGCATCAACAGGGATGACTAATTGCTTGTCAAAATCTTCAACACCGTTTGACGAGACTTCCCCAACAGAACTTGGCTGCAACCTTGTATCGGTTATACCTTTTTGAAGATCCACCTCACGGATGTTAACTCGTGTTTCAACGTCAATAACCGCTTCACCAGAGTATTCAATATCTAGTTCAAAAGCCCACACACCATTCATCTCCATAGGAAGAACCCGAGTACCATGTATATGAGGTGGCAGATTTCCTGTGTCAACACCGGAGCAGACTAGTTCGCTTATGTAACTTGGAGTCCTCATGTTAGATAACATCCTTTGGATTCGTGCTTGCATTGAATTCTTCACTCCTGTTTTCCGTTTAAGATCAAAGAAAAGCCTAGAAATCAGCAAGTTCCAAGCCAATGTTCCTTCATCCACATCAAACTTCTCTTCAGAGTCTCCATCTGAAACCCCAGAGAAATGACTAGTATGGCTCACAGAACGCGAAAACACAGGCGCATCAGTTTCATCTGCAACACCATTTTGGACGCTCCTCACTGAGCTACTTCCATGTTGTGAATCTTGGCAAGAACGAACAGAGGTTCTGTTTGATCGCTTTCTTGAAAATCTCCTCAAGAACAAACGAACTCTTGAGGAAGAGACATCGTTTCTGTTCCCTTTGTCAAGTGTCTCAAAACTAAACCCAAGAGATGGTTTCATAAACGAAGGATATGCAGCGTTGAGAGACGTCACGTAACTACGGAAGTCTTGTTGTAACTTGGTGGAGTACCAAATAAACCTTTCCGGATTCTCGCAAGAAGCAAGACGAAGAGCTTTACACCATGATTCTTTTTCCCAAGACGTCTCGAGATAGATGTAAAACACCTTGTTTCCCTTGTATATGTCTGAAGAAATCTTGCTTTCAACTTTTATAGGAAACCTTTTGGCCCTAATAAAACAACAATTAAGATTCAATTGACCTGATTCTACCTAAGTTTCACAATCCAAATTCTTTATTACATATATAGAGAGAGTTGATACCATTTTCTTGTAGGGAGATCAGAGCCTGAAACAGTCTCAATAGAGCAACATTTTAAAGACACAGTAGTCAGAGTACCATCAGACTCAGATAAGATGAGTTTGTGATCTTTGATCCGAGCGAATTTGCGAATTGGATGAATCTCCAAGAAATTTCTCTTCCTCTTTTGCTCTTTTGGTAACTTTTCTTTCAAAAAGTTCTTAAGACCTTCATCCAACTCCAATATCCAGATTGTTCCCTGAAAGAAAAATATTAAAAACTTTCATTACACAACATAATCTGAAGTTTTAGTAAAACAGGACACAACAGAAACTGTCTGGTTCTAACTTCAACTATGTTTTCAAAACCGTTGACTTTTAACTAAAAAACTCTCAAGTAAAGCAACATGCAAACATTTCGAGATTAGACCCTAAAAATTGGGAGGATTAATCAAGGAATTGAGATCCATCACCTGTTTGTTAGACTCGCGAGAATTGCTGATCTCCTTGGTAGATTGATCAGAACCGGGTTTTGACTCCACACGATCTCTCTTCCGGTTTAACCGGTTCAGAAGATACATCAAACCCGCAGCTTCAACCCCCAAGACGGCGATGATTCCTAGGAAGAATCCAGAGAGGAAGACTAAACTCATGAACGAAAACATCTCCTCTGGGAAGCTGGAAGGTTTCTTTGTGAAGGGAATCAAGAGGAGAAGATTCGTGTGTTCATGTCAGTGTACAAGGACAATGCCAAAAGAGAGGAAGAGGAGAGGAAGAAACTGTGGGATTAGTCATCTTTATTCTCTCTGGAAACGTAATTCTCAACTTCCAACTAAATTCTTTGACGAATGAGAAACATATTTAAACTCTTTAGGTTAATTAATAATACCTTAATAATAACTAGTTGATATACTATAATATGTAGATTACCATGTAGTTTGAAGATATATATTTAAAAAATTCACGACCAGGTGTTTTTAGGATTTTAAAATTTTCATAAAAAAGTAGACAAAGGAATTTCAAACTTAAAAAATAAAACTGTTTCATTGGTCAAAAATGTAAATAAAACATGCTTTATCAAGTTTAAAAAACTGTGATTATAGATTATCTTATGTACTAAGATGCTTGAGATAGCTTTCACTACAGATTCTTGTGCACTATCATAACTTGTTAAATTTTTATTAGTTGTCGTAAGCATGTTTCATTCATTAGACAGAAGTCAGAAGAGAGAAGTAACACAGCTCATAAAGGTTCATTTCCATGTACAGTCTCTCAAAAAACAAGTAAAAAAAGACC